CCGCTGATTGCTGGTCGTCTTGCAACTGTGTGTTGTGGTAAGCCCTGGTCACCCTTTCAACATGTCGATAGAGGTCTTTGACGGCTTTCCGGTCCTGGCATGTGAATGTCAGCAAACATTTGAAAAGACAATCCAGCTTTCTGTATTGAACTTACCCTGGCGAACTTCTCGCTCTCACCATCAGCCTGCTCTGCCAAAATGATTTGCCTGGTCTTCTCAATGATCTCCAGAGTTTGGGGCCACTGCTCCTTCTGAATCTAGATGGAATTCAGCATCCCTCAGCCTCCACCAAGAAACAAACTCCTACCATGAGACACCGTTTGTCCTTGCCGGGCTCGGCACATCTTGCGCATTTCACAACTGAAACGGTGAATTGTGAGTAAGAAAATCGTGGATAAGTAAGGTACTGGACACCACTCACGGTTTCTTCTACAATAGTAGTTGGCAACCGGCTTATTCTTACTGGGATAGACGCCAGTATAGAAACCGAGGCATCGTAGGCACCAGCGGTTGTCCTCCTTCAATGAGTTGGCTGAGGCTTCGGATCGGGGAACCATCTTTCTGGAGGCAATGCCAACTTTCGACTGATCTGAATATGGGCGTTGATACAGAGACAACCAACTTTAGGGGGTTGGATCGAGGGGCATGATATATGCCTCTGAGAAGTCTGCCGAGAAAGCTGCCGCCCCAGACTGGCTTCTTCGGGATTCCCAGGTGCTTCTAGCTGAAGTTGGTATGTCCGAAAGACACGGATGCGCGGCTAGGCAGGTACCCGTCTTCACCCTTTCAAAACCAAGATCTACGTCTGAAGGGATCTTTGGGAAACTATCTTCAGGCTTCCTTCAGGCTGCCTTCAAGCTGCCTCAGATGAATAGGTGGGCTTCTGGCAAGGAAGTCGAGGTGAACATTGCTAACTTCTGGACTTCATTCGCGACTGATCTTTGTCTACGTACATCAGATGGGCTTCAAGAAAAACAAACTTGGCAGAGTCTACAGCAAGTGTTGAAGCAATTTGAAAGTCCACTTATTTGCTTTGTCTGGCTCTCAAAAGACCAATGAGTCAGAATATGGTTGTAGTATTATGCACATCATAGAATATGAAGCTATTAAGAATTGCGGACTCTTTGACGTTTCCAAGGGATCCTGATCTCCACCAACGTCCAACAACGGCGAACTTTGACACACTACGCCGCTTGTGCCTCAGCGATGATCACATCAGCGGCCTTCTCACTCGCCATGTAGATGCCGAGAACGATATAGAACCCGGGAATCTTGGGGAAGATGGAGGCATCGACCACGCGCAATCCGTCAACTCCACGAACCTTGAAGTTGGAATCTAGGACAGCCAGCGGGTCGTCGTCGGCACCAATAGGCGCAGTGCAGCTGGCATGATGACCCCAGGCCTCATCCTTGGCAAATTGCTTAAGGTCAGCCTCGGATGAGATCTCCTTGGGTGGCCAGATGCGTTCAAACGAGCCATCAAGTGGGATGAGGTTCTCAAACGCCTCGATGCCGTACTGCATTCCCTCGTACACAGCCTGAAGATCTTCCTCGCCACCGATGCCTTCGAAAAGGCTGTGGAAGGTGATGTTGGGCGTGTCGCGGGGGTTAGTGCTCGTTAGGTTGACCACACCGGCATTATTACGGCTGTGGCCCTTGAGAGTAAGCCAGGTCCAGACGCTGAGGTCGGCGAGGGCGTGCTCGGCATAATTGGGGAAGTAACCGTTGAAGTAGGCCGGTACACCACCGAGGAAGAGGTCAGGGTTGCCGTTCTCCGCGACGGAAGAGTGTTTGAAGTACCCGAAAGCGATGCCGTTGGTCGTGTAGCCGCCCTTGAGGCCGCCGATACCCGACTGCCATTGGGAGAAGCAGGGGTCCTCGCCATTGTGCGTGCCGTTCATGTCGAGGAAGGTGCACTTCTCGAGGAGGGAAAAGTCGGTAGGCGCCTTGCCCACGATGCCGACCTCGTAACGGTCCTGCATGTTGCCGCCGACACCGGGGAGGTCTTTGACCACGGGAATACCAAAGGATTCGAGTTCGGAGGCAGGGCCGATGCCACTGAGCTTAAGCAGCTGAGGGGTGTTGAAAGTGCCTGCAGAAACGATGACTTCCTTGCTAGCGAACACGCGTCCGGGGACGCCGCCATCCTCTTTGGTGGCCCGGGGATCGGCACGGTACAGGCTCTTGCCGACGAGGTACTCGACGCCAGTCGCCTTGGGCTTCTCGCCCGTCGTGTCAAAGTTAACCTTGGTCACGAGCGTGTTCAGAGCCACGTCCAACTTGTACTTCTTGGATCCGTCGTCGTTGGTCGCAGTGACAACGTCGAAGATGAAGTCACGAGGGGACGAGCGAGTGAAGGAAGGATCCTTCATGGAGAGGGGAATCTGGTAGATCTTCTCTCCACTGTCACGGTCGGGTGAGTCGTTGTTGACGTCGACGGCCAAGATCTCGAGGAGGCCGGTGACGGTGTTGATCACCTTGCCGAGAAGTGACTTGCCCATCGTGGTGGCGGCAGCGAGAACCAAAGACAGCACCTTTTGGTCCTGAACGATGAGAATTGGGGGAGTCGTTTGGGTCTCGAGCCATCCGTCGTAGCCGTGCACGGAGTTGTCGAGGCCGCCGGGGAGGTAGTGACACTTTTCGAGCTTCTTGTAGTACTCTCGCATATTGGAAGCCTTTGCACACCATTATTGTCAGCATTTTCCAGCCATCACCGAGGAAGTCAGCAATTTCTTACCTCCCACGAGCTGTCACCAGTGATGGTGGCAATGTTGTCCCAGTCACTGTCTTGAGGCAGAATAGTAACTAGAGCATTGTGCTTCGAGACCGTTAGCTTATAGAACACTAGTCAAGACAAGGTCGAGAAATCTTACTTGTGAGCAACCTCCAAGAGCACCAACTCGAGGATACAAGATTCCTAACTGCTCAGACCCCTGCGGTGGGTCGAGGCCAACATAGATCTCTCCATCCGGCTTTCGATAAGACATCTTACTGTCTCTTTTGGCCTGCTCCGGATCAGAGTAGTGGTTGACGAAGAAATCCCATGCGATCGGCTGATGTTGGGAAGCCAGAACGTGCAGAGCCGGGACCTGGACGGCCGGGTCTTCACCTCGATCCTCACCTGCGTCGATGAGTAGGACGCTGAAGCCAGCCATGGCCAGGCGGGCAGCGAGGGGAGCACCACCCGGCCCGGAGCCGACTACGACGTAGTCATACGTCGAGTTGGCTGAAGGTCCCGTGGCATTGAGGGTTGGACCAAGGGGTTGATCGAAGCTGGTTTGTGTAAGTCAATGATTCGCACGATAAGCCTGTAAGTATTGACTAAGACTAGGTGTGAGAACTGACGCCGCATGAGCAGCCGCGAAAAGCGCCGCAACAGAGAAAAGGAACTTCATGGTAACATCCGATGAAGGTGACTGAAACGCAACCGAAAGCAAAAACACGATGAATGAGTGACTGGCTGGCGAGTTTTTTGAGATGCAAAGGAATGACTACTGCCGAATGGCTAAGAGTTGGTGGAACCAAGACAGGTCAAGCGACTCAAAAAGTCAGAACCCCAAACGTTAAGTATAGGTTCATGAGAACGCTCCTTTTCGGACTCCATTCAAACGCATCTCCACTGATTGGCGATGCTGATGTGATGAGAGGCATCATCTCCCGCGAAGCCGGCACGCTCATGAAGGGGGCACGAGAAGTGAGACATGGGGAAAAGATGCTTTGATCTGCCCGTTTTCTTTCCTAACTCGAGGTTGCATTGGCACCGACGACTCTTTGGCATGCCTGTCGAGGATTCAACCAGGGTCGTAGACGAAATGAAAGAAAACATGGGTCCTGTCAAAACGTCAAAACACCACCCCCGGATCCTGCTCCGCCAATGGGGAAAATTGCTGCCCGCACCAATGGAGCTCTACGACAAGCAATTGTACAACAGAGCAGACATGACAGAACCTTGCTGAGCGAGCAAAATCCGACGTGGACACATCCACAGCCAGGGGTCACGGATTGAGAAACGATAGCCCTACACTTGGCCCCATTGTCCGAACGCTCTTTGGATGACGGGTATGGAGATTCTAGAGGGGCCCATTGCTTCGATGCCACTACGATTCACGCAACGAACGACAGACGGGAGACAGACTGGCGACGGAACAGACAGATCAGGCGCGCAAGCACTTACCGCCTCCTTGTTGTCGGGTTGGCCCCGGTCTAGAGAACCGTTGATCTCACTCTTACTGTCGTTGCAGTGCATATACAGAATACTAGGCATAACGAAAAGCATGTTAGCGATCCACTGCGGTTCATTGGCCACTCATGAACCCCTCCCTTTCCCCCATTCGTGACAATTTAACCGTTTTGGGACTGAGCTCAACGGTTTGGACGTTGGCAGGCGGGAGATGGAGAGATGAAGAGATTTGGCTTTTACGTAGCCAAGTTAGCTCAACTGCCGCCGCTAAGAAATCGGACCACTCTTTCGGAAAGTTTACTCGTAAGTTTGCTGGTCGAGGACTCTAGCGAACCGTTTTTGACCGGCATCTGCATCCGGCGCAGGCCACATCCAGGTCTCCTCAGACTTCTTACGGAATTTTCCTTCTCAACTACACCAGGGGTTCGACGACGATCCAAAGCAAGATCGTCGGCTACAAGGCAACGCAGAAATGACTCGCCCATTTCAGAATGACTCCAGAATGAAGAAATTCAGGGACAGACTCCCAGACAGAGACGAACCCGAGAGCCAAGGATCACGGCAGATGCCGCCATCTATGTGACGAACTTGACAAGCGGAGAGAGAATGGCACGCAAGCCACGACATGAGGTTAAAAGTAACACCCCCTTCTTCCTCTTCTCTAAATCCGGTCTAGGGAACTCCGTCTCTCTCTCGGCTACGATTTACATACTTGAAAGGGAAACCCGGAATCCCGCTCGTGCTTCTCTCCCCCATCCTTCCTCGCTCTCTCGTACGACATCCCCCCTTCACAATATCGGTCGCCATGAAGCTTTCAGGCATGCTGGCGGCCATGGGCACAACCCTCGCGGCCTTCTCTTCAACGGCCCAAGCCGCGACTTCAGCTGCGGAAGCGTTGGCCATGGCTCAGAAACTATACCCGGAATGCGCAGTAAGTATTGAATAGCGGGCGGATCTCCCGCGCTTAGCGTCGTGACGGTGGCTTTTTTTGGCTGATCAGTGCGGCATCCCCATCTTTTTCGAACTACAGCTCGTCTGTCTCACCAAGCTTGTCCCGACGTCGGGTTGCCAGCTCACGGACACTGCGTGTCTTTGCACCAACGAGGAGCTCAATGCCAATCTCTCCGTCTGCGTGTTGCAGGGATGCAACTACGAGGATGCCCTCAGTGAGTGCCTTTGCCTTGGGTTTTGCTTTGATACCTGAAGGGATATTCTCAGCATCTCAAATGGGAATTTTTGACTGACTCGTATTGATGCTGAGCTAGAAACTAAGAATGGCTCGGCGACTATGTGCGGGCTTCCTGTCCGAGATGACACGATGAAGCCTCCTCTCGTTGCCGGTGTAGGATTCGGTATAGCTCTCATCGTTTACATACTCCGTATGTGTTCTGCTCTGCCTGGATGCAACAGAGAACTCAGCTGGGATGACTGGACCATCACCGCTTGCGTTCTTCTCACGATCCCGCCGACCGTCTTTGCTTTCACACGTAGGTGCTGTCAACAAACAGGTTTTCCATGCAAGCTGAGACTGACTGATGTAGTTTCTGCAAACGGGCTAGGAAAAGACATCTGGACTCTGCCGCTCAAGAACGTTGAGAATGTATTGTTTGTAAGTGATCACATCCCAAGCACCTCGTCTCGACAAGTAACAACGACTAACACCACCGACCCTCACCAACAGTTCTATTTCCTTGGCGAGCTCTTCTACTTCCTCGCACAGGCAATGAATAAGGTCTCCATCCTCCTCTTCCTCCACCGCATCTTCCAGCACAACAGCCTCGGCAAGGCCATCTGGGTCACAATCGGCCTCACCCTGGCCTACGCCGCCGCCTTCTTCTTCGCCACGCTCTTCCAGTGCTGGCCCATCAACCACGCCTGGTTACAGCTCGAGTCGGACCACCTGGGCCGCTGCAACAACATCCATCTACAGGGGTGGTTGAGCGCGGCCTTCAACATCGTGCTGGATATCGTCATCCTGGCACTCCCCTTGCACCAGCTTTACCAGCTGCAGATGCCTCTAAAGAAGAAGCTCATGGTCATGGTCGTATTCTCCATGGGAATCTTGTAAGTTCTTTCGGGCCCCCGCTCCTCTATTCCCCCGCCATCTCAACAAGGGGCAAGACTAACCGGCTTGCCACAGCGTCACCCTCGCCAGCGTAATCCGCCTCCGCACCCTCGTCGTCTTTGCAAACTCGACAAACATCACGTATGACTATGTCGACGCGGCCTATTGGAGCACAATCGAGCTCTACGCAGGCATCATCACGGCCTCCCTTCCCGCCGTCTACAAGTTCCTCTCCAGCGCCCTGTCCCAGAACGCCGCCTGGTCGGCCGTCAAGTCCAAGCTGTCTGGCGCGTCGTCGAGCTCGGGGGGTACTGGCAACTCGCACTCGGCGGTGGCGACTGGGTCCAGTGGTTTGAATCGACGGCTTACGCCAAAGAGGTCCGAGGCTGAGTTTGTGCTTTTGACGGATGTGGAGAGTGGGAAGAGTCAGAGGTGGGACTAGGTGGCGGACAGCTTGGAAAAAACATAATGTTACAGTAACGCAATGTACATAAATTCTTTAATTTCTTCTCTTGCACGCGGTATGTGCACCTCACTGAGTATCTCACGCGAGCAAGCTAGTTTATACATCCTCTCTCAAACGTCTTACCGAATGGAACTGCTATAGAAATTATAGCAAGGTATAAAGCCGCTGGTCAGGCCGCGATCACGAGGTCGTACGCTTTGGTAGAAAGTCGGTGTCGTAGTGTAACTGAGTCGATGATATCTTGGTACTGGGTCTCGAGCTGGTCGAGACGGCTCACGGCCCAGAAGAGTAGTGTATCTACTACGTCAGGTGACCTATACGTAATTTTACTCATCAGTGATGGAAAACGCCCTCTGCGTATTCGATCGTGAAAGAGCGAGCGATAGAGGGCAGTTAAAATGAAGAAGAGACCTCTCATTGCAATTGATGTCTGCCTCAGTCCGAGCCGTGATTACCATCCTCCGAAAGACCAAGTCCGGGACTTAAATGCATCGACTAAGCAAAGGAGCTTTGGGATCAAGGAGTGCTGTCTGATAAAGACCGAGACTCTTAAAATCTACCTGGTGTCGGCTTTTATTGAAACCCGGGCCTTACAGAAATGCGATGTTTGCAATTCTGATATCCGCTCCTCTGAGTGCACTACAGGTTGCTGAAGGCAAAGGAGAATAAGGCTAAATATTGACCGTTGTATTGCCTTTTCCGCCATTGACCCAGACGGATTTCTGTCCCGGAAGCACCAAATATCCCCGAGTCGACGCCGGTGTGTCCCATTCAACGACAGCCGTTCCATCATCTCCAACCGTGAACTTTGCAGAAAACTTGCCCAAACTCGTCGTAAACCCAGCCTCAGCCTCTAAGAGCTCACTCAACACAGGCTTGAGCTGCCACTCGCTTCCGCCGGGCTTGATGACCCTCAGCCCGACAAGATACTCCGTCATAGTTGAAGTTGGACCGCTGCTCCACCCATGAGCATGCGAGATGTAGGACGGATCATTCCGGTAACCCCGATCTCCTCGATAGCCCCAGGTTCCATCGATGAGATAACCCTCTACGACGGTAGACTGCGTGCCATTAGGGTTGTTCAGGTACCAGCCCCACGCGTCTCGGATAAGCTGCAAGGCCCGATCGGGGCGTCCCGTCCGGAAGTGCGAGGCGATCTCGATGCTGGAGATGAATGGCGACACGTTATTCTTGAGTTCGGGGCAATGAGGGCCGATCGGGGTCCAGTTTGATTCGAGGTAGTCGGACACCCTTTGCGCTTCGGCGCTGTCTGCGGAGACGACGCCAAAGGCGACTGTCATGCTATTCGCGTCTTGAGGGTACAGCGACGTGTTGTTGGGACTTTCTTTGAATGCCCCCTTGCTGTCATCCCATATTTCAGTCATGATGGACGTTTGTAGCTTGCTCGCGGCGCTGGTCCATTCTTTCTGGTAGCTGCTCGCGTTCGTGAGGGTGGGAGACCAGGAGGCGATGTCGGCACCGGTGCGCAGGGCTCGATATAATCTGGTGCTTGAGTTAGCAACTCTATCCCTTGACCGAGAGGAACAATCACTCACAGCATGCTCGCTGAGCTGCGCTCAGTGGAGTATGTCCATCGACCCCAGTCCGCAGCGCCAGTTACGTTCATAATACCCTTGGATGTGACTTTGCTTCTACTGAGGTTGATCGCTTTGAGGTACTTGGGCCAGATGGAAGTCATGAAATCCGTGTCGCCGGTGTACAAGAAGTAGTTGTAAGTGCCGACCAGTGTCCACAGATGGTAGGCTGTGACAGCGCCGTCAGCTCGACTACATGCTATCCTGATTGTGTCTCAACTTACTGTCGCTCGAGAGATACGGTGGACCGGCTTTTGGCAAAGTACCGTCGGCAGACTGATGAGCCACGCGCTTAGCAAAGTTCAATTCCATCATCTTTGGGGCAGCTTACCTGGTAGTTGTAGATCGCCAAGAGCGCATTCTTCGTGCTCTCCATGTCGCCGGTACTCACAAACGCAGAAGGCACCGCAGTGCCCATATCCCCAATCCAGACCCAGCGATCACGCTTCGCTCCATCCAGCAGGACAGTCTCCCCAGGCCCAATGTAAGCGTCATTCTGCCAGCTCGTGCGTCCACTCGTACCAGACACGCGACCAGTCCTGCCCGGCACGGAGTTCGTCTGGATGGTATACGCCCCGCTGTACCAAATCTTGTTAAGGAGCTCGTCGCTGGAGTGGAAGTATCCCTGATAAGCCCTGAGATCGGACCACGTCGGCTGGAAGCTGATCTCCAGACTGATATTGCGGATCTCCAGCGAGACGGTTGACGATGAGTCGGCAGGCGTGAGGAATAGAGTCAGGTAGCGGAAGCCGCCGCGCAGCTTCGAGTCGGGCATGACGTAGGTTCCTGCAGCGCTCGAGGTTATGTTGTACGCGAGAGCGCCGTCTTGTCCGGTGCCTCCATTCGAGTTGTCTGACTTGCGGCCAATGTAGTCTTTCGCCTCTGTGAAAGCGAGGCCGAGAGTGGCGTTGGGGGACTCGGAGAGCTTGTAGTCGATGGTCACGATGCCACCCACTTCGACGCCAAAGTCAAAGACCAGGCCGTCGATCTGGCTGGATAGATTGACCGGTGCTTTAAAGTCGGAGATGTTCGCTCCAGATAGTGATGATAAGATGTACTTTGGTGCAATGTTTCGAGATGTAGGTGCATAGTTGTATTTGTCCCAAGCTCCTGGGAACGACGCAGAACTTGGTCCGTCGCAAGTCGAGTTTCGCCAGCATTCAGCAGAACAGTGACTTGCCAGAAGACTTGTTGCCGCGAGGGCTCGAATGGACGGTCGTGATATGAACATGCTGAAACTGGGTTTGCCGTTCGGACTGCAATAGTGCAGAAGCGATTGATGCGACCTGGTCAAGTTCCGATGACACAGAGCATACCAAGCGCCTTAGACTTTATGCTGGGGCGGTTGTGGGAGATCATGTTCACGAGACAAGAAGCCTTGGTGGAACATCTTGACTACCTCCCTTGCCCTTCGACAGCTGAGCTTCGGCTGTCGTGACATTTACTTGCGCAGAGTCACCCTCAATTGAGTCCATCTTCGGTGTAGATTGCCGCGGATGACGCCAATCACAGCAATTACAACCCAGGCACCGATCCAGAAGCGGGAATACCCACGCATACCCCGGTATAGCACTTTACCAGATTGAGGACCGAACTTCATGTCGGTCGTGGGGTTCCCCAACTTCTGCTCGTGTACCCCGCAATACCTCTCTATACGAATCTGTACACAAATGGGATGTGGATTGATTTCCTTTGGACCGACGATGCTGGGTTTGCGTAGATCGTGGATCGCGATCAAACGTGGGCCTGCAGTGCTGTGATGTGACCTCCATGCTCCCGCCCGCATAGCTCCAGGTGGGCGACTGGACTCTGGTCTTTCTTTCTTTCGGAACGAAATGATCCGAAGATACGATGGATGTCTTCAGATAGTATGATTATCTGTTCAGCGAGAGAGGTTCTGTGACGCCCTCGGAGATGCTGAAAATCTTGTCTCGTAGACTAAAGGCGAACAGACATGGGTATCTGGCTTTGGAATCCTCCACGGATCAAGCCTCATCGTTGTCCTTTATCGTCAAATTTTACCATCGAAACACGACTCTGAGTCACATCAGAAAGGTCTGGACAGATGCATCGTTGGTGCAGAACCTCGCTGTCTAGAAGCTGGATGTTACGGCTCGTGCAATGCGACTGAAGAGAGAGACGGCAACTTGATTGAGACCCATCTATTGATTTTTCGTCTCCATTAAGTCTAGTACTCTAGATCTATGGTAACTTTAGGTATTCCTCGACGACTAACCTAGGGCCCCTGGCCTCTACGCCCGTTCCCACCTGAGTACTTGACACAGAGGTAGAGTCGAAAATGCTGGGTTAGTGAGAGGACATGATGAGCCCAAAAATGTTGTCTAAAGCTTCGTGGTCCGAGTCTCAACTGGTGGACTCCAGACAAAAGGGTGCTCCAAGGACCCAAATCTCCAAGAAACCGTCCTTCCAGGTATTGGTGAGGGCCTGAATGGTCAAGTAAGGAAGAAGTTTTCTGTCGTAATGAAGTGCCTTCTTTGATAGTTGATGACTTGACTTGCTCTTCATAATCATGAAAGTCGGCCGCGTCGAACAAGCAGCTTGAAATCTTTCCAAATGTTTCGGCAAAATCACTTCTTGACGGCTCCCTCAGCTTCAACATCCACCGACACAGTCACCCAGTAAGCCAGCTACAACTTACACAAGCCCAGCAACACAATATGGATCGTCTCAGACGACTGCTCGTTGATCACAACCACCATCTCTTCCAACGATTCCCAGCGGAAACAACAAAATCGTCCTCTCCCGACAACACTTCACCGATCCAGTCCCTCCCAAACGAGATCCTGTACCAAATACTCAGTTCCCTCCCGCTACACGACGAATTCGCTCTCTCCCACACCTGCCAAGACCTTCGCGCCCTCACACACAGGAACTGGACCCTCGCCCTCGTCTCACTCCCCCGCAACCACAAACTCGCCTTCTGGATGGGCCTCGCTTACACCAAGCCAAACCACTGGGTCTGCAGCCCTTGCTGCCATCTTCATATGATTTGTACGCAAGATATCCCCGGAGCCCGAAACTACAACCCCTTTACCTGCCAGCAAAATTCTCGCCACATTTTTAATCAGAGGAACTACAACCTCCGACATGCGCACATACAGCTCGCTCTTAAGTTGACTCGTATGAGTGACAGCGGAGGACTGGACAAGAACCAGCAACGACTCCTCGAGGACATCATGGCACCATTCACATCGCGAGTAAACGTACCTGCAAACCTCATCTCCACCTCGAGCGGGTACACCGTCACGCCCAAGATCGTCGACGGCAGGTTCCTGATCCACGTGGAGCACGAGGTCCGCGATAACCGCGAGGCCGGCTTGCTTCGGATGACCTGCTCCAGGCGCGTCTGTCCGCACCTGATGATCTTGCTGGAGCCCAATCGCCAAGTTGTGTTCGACGACGACGGCGTCAATATCAACCAGTGGTTGGGTTGGGGACACACCCGATATGCCAGTAGATACATGGCGTCCTCGGACGTCATGAACGGCATCCGCGTGGCGGTCGATGGACATGGGTACGAGTCAATTGGCCACTGCGACCGTTGCGCGATGGATTACACGATCATTGCTTCGTCTGGTGCTGTGACGCTTCGCTCGTGGCATGATTTGGGGGCGTATGGGTCGCCCGAGAGTAACGAGTGGATGACGCATATACAGACGGCCGAGAACGACTCTACAAGGGGTCCGACTGTCTATCATGAGCTTGGTAGTGTGCAGCAGATGTATTTGGAGGGCTGATGGACACCTCGCATCATTTTGAGGTTGCCTAGTGAGACAGATCAGCCTTTCTTGAAATGAGATTGAAGTAGAAAACTCCGGCAGCTACTCTGGTAAAGCTAACATAACTCATGTCCTTGGCTTCCAAGGAATGATAGACAGCTTCTTGAATACGGAGCTAGAGACTGAGAATTAGATTCTGTTTTATTATCACGGCGCTAAACGTGCGCCGTGTGTCCAAGCAAGCCAGGGTGCCCAGCTGGCTACTGCCAATGCAGACAGCTCGAGATTCCGACGACAGAGGTCTATGTCTACAAATAAGCAAAGCCTACTCCCAAACGATTCTCGAATGGAGCTCTCAATGCCATATCACAGCTTCTCCTGTATCTTCCCCCGCTTCGCCATCCCAACAAAGTACGCTTCCGCCTTGGCAAGAACCGTACCATGCTCGTCAGTGATCTCTGCCTCGACCAAGAACTTCCTAGGCCCGTCCATCCGCTTCAAGACCGCCGTGCAAGCCACCGTCGACATGGTTGGCACTGGCTGAATGTACGTGATATTCAAGTTCTGCGTGACCTGTGGCAGCATCGGCATGAACCCCAGCAGCTTATTGATGAACCCGATCGCGCCCATGCACTCGTCAAAGATGGCCGCGACAGCACCACCGTGGCACCACTCCTTCTTGAGCGTGCTCAGCCCGTGGCCGAGAGTCAGGAAGCAGCGGACCTTGGTCATGTACAGTTCGTCGAGGGGCCGGTTGTCGGGAGGTTGTCCAACGGCGCCCGGTGGTGACGAGGGCATGTGGAAACAGCCGATGAAAAAGGGCACCGTGGCCGCGCTGAAGAGCGTGGAGCCCCAGAACTCAAAGATGCGATTATCTGGGTCGAATTCGCGGCTGACGAGGGGTCTGGCGATGATGCTTGGTTCCGAGAGGACTTTGGCGCACCATGGTATCCCTCGGAAGTGCGCGATCTGATCATCCCATGGTTCCGGCATGGTGAAGGGGGTGAATGGACTGTTCAGACGAAGATCAAACCGAGCGAGCCAACTTGAAGTTCTTTCGTGGTGCAATGGTGAAGATCACTTATCCTTCCGTGGCTACTATCCCGGAACATGATGTCTGGTAGGGTCAGGACAGTTCCTAAATAGGACAGCTCTCACACACATAAAGAGAATCAGTAGAGTTTACGGAGATTAAAGCAGGTGCAACTGTCCGGAGTGTCGCGATAAGGTGAGTGGTAGTCTGATTAGTGAACTTCAGGAAAGTTCTCGAAGGCCCCAAAAAAACGCTAGGTTCAAAGAAACTTAGATAAATACCACAGTCAATCTCTAGTTTCTGAATCGTCAGAAAAGCAAAGGAAACATGTGCCGGTAGACTCAATTTGTAGCATGTGGTGGCATGAGCTTGGCATGAACCTGAGTATCACTAATCAAGAACAGCGTGTCAGCAGGACTCCGAGCCGTGGATGGAGCTTCGGAATGCTGCTAGTGTGGATATTGGAGCTCTCGACGTGAACAATACACTCAAAGTAGGATCTTAGTATAGCTCAAGACTACATTTGCTGCTCTTGGAGCCTCCGCAGTTGCGACATCTGGTTGGCCAAGGTCGCCCTCCTCTAGTTTTATGATGGGGAGAACGAATGGCAAAGCTGGTTCGTAGAAGATTACTTCCTCAACTCACACCATCATTCTCGGCAGCCTGCAAGACCTTAAACGCCTCGGGAAATCGAGACCTGGTGCTACACTCAAACGGAACCGGGCGTCTAGCGTCCAAAGTCAGCGACAGCAACAAACTGGCAAGAGTCCAGGGGTATCTCACACAACGACACCGTCATCGACGCATCCATCAACATCTATAGGGACATTCAGTCCATCAAATCCCACCTTCGGCTCAATCTTCATCGCCCAAAGCACTGTCGCCATAGTGATGAAGAGATCCTCATTCGCAATCTGGCGCCCGACGCACAATCGACGGCCGAAGCCAAACGTGACGTGGCCCTGTTCTTTCGTCTCCGCTGCCAGCGGCTTGAGCTGCCCAGTCTTGTGATCGAGGAATCTAGCCGGGTTGAAGTGGTGAGCGTCCGGGCCGTACGTGTGCGGATCGCGGTTCATTGCCCAGACGTTGGGGATGAGCAGTGAGCCTTTTGGTAAAAAGTGCCTTTCGTACCATATGTCCTATGTGGAAGAGTTAGGCAATTGATAAACGATAGACTCGATGTTGTGACGTACCTCGGAGCTCTGGTGTGGAAGACCTATTGGGTCAACGGGTCGCCACCGAAGTGACTCCTTGACCTGGACAAGTTGATCGTCAGCAATGCCGTTTCACGCGACAGAGAGGATTCACTGAAAAATTGACAACTTACCATAGCCTGAATGTAAGGTAGCTTCCCATAGTGATCGGCAAAGTTCGGCATCACCTCGCGTCCCACGACGCGATCCAGCTCCTCGTGAGCGAGCTGCTGCACCTTGGGGTACACAACCATGGCCAACATCCACCACTCGAGCACGCCCGTGATCGACTTTGCCCCGGCGCTGGAAGGTTCCGTTAGAAGATTGATCACCTCAAAAGGGTTGCTATACTCCACGGAGGTACTTACATGACGCTCGCCGCGAGCCAGTTGATTTCCGTGTCGGACAAGTTGCACCGGCTCTGGTCCTTGACGAAGCTCTTCACAAGACAGTTGCCACCATTGACGCCTCTCTGTATATATCTTCAGCACACCAAAGCTTCCAAAAGACATTAGTAGGCATAGATGAAACACTCACAAGTCGGGCCTCTTCAAACCAACTCCCGAAAATAGCAGAATCCGCCGCGAACGAATCCTCCACCCGCCTCTTCCAAGGCGCGAATCTAGACCGAGACCATCAGCACCACCATCACATCCGATGAGATGACACTGTCCAATCTGCCACATAAACGTACCTAGACGGTACATGTCTCAACCAAGGGAAAACCTGACTTAAATGCGCACCAGGGAGCGCAGCCTTGGTCAACCGCGCAACAAAATCCTCGAGCCAAACCAGCTTCAAATCGCTCGCCGACGCAAGGGAAGGCGTCCCGTACACCAGGTTCATATTCGCCGAGGATACCGCGCGGTGCAGGTGCGACAGCCAGTCACGCGGGTCCTTGAGCATGTCCGCGGCCAGGAGTGTGGCCTCCTTTTGCTGGACGAGGCGGATGTCTGGGAAGGAGATGTTTCGGAGGGCTCCGTGGGAGGCTTTACGCATACGCATCCACCTATGGACGCAGTGAGTCTTGGAAGTTTTTCTGCAGCCCTGCGATGAAAGGGGACGTACATTGCGTTCTGGCTCTGGAACGGCACGAAGCAGGACCCCGTCATCATGTCTATGATGACATTACCGGGCCGGTCTGCTGTGACGGCAGCGCGACGATCCAAGATGTCGAACGAGGTCTTGAGGTCGTTGAGGACGATTATATCGCTTCCGGCAGCGGTAAAGTGCATGATGGGGCCTGGTTTGAATCGTGTTAGTTGTTTAGCCAGTAGAGGGAATCACGGGACGAGCATACCATACGTCTTCATCCAGCCGCCAAAAGTCAGCCAAGGATCCTTGAGAATGTCGAGGGCATTTCCAAGGAGGGGCAGTCCTCTCGGGCCTGGCGGGAGACGCCGTCTTGGGCTTCGAGCGTATGTAAAGAGGAGAAGGAAGACCGAAACCACAGCGAGGGCCGTGATGGACCTGTAAGTCCACAAAAGACGTAAGAGAGCATGGGCGAACTGCATTCTGGAGGTCATGGGTTCTTTTCAACTAGATGAGCTACCACTGACGGCAAGCCATTGTCCCCTTCTTATGTAGCACAGCTGCTTTCTCTTGATATATCTCGTATACAGCCAACAAGCCAACACATGGTCAGGCTCCGCCGGACTTGCCGGCTTTCTCGACATCAATGTGACCATCGCCCCAACCTGGTGGGTGTTCCAACAGAGCAAACAGTCCAGCGTAGAAAGTATTCAGCTTTCATGGCCTCTAGAGTGTCTTGCCACTTGCATCCAATAGAGTCCTTGGATCCAAGAGTCGAAACATCGGTCAACGATGCGCTGCAATACGGGAAGAAAAATTGGCCTGTTGGAAGAACGAACCCCCACGCAGGGAGGCTCAAAAACTAGATTCCCCGTCTTTCTAAGGCGATTCTTGTTCCCTTTCTCAGTCTAAGGGCCCTGATAGACCGGAGATATGCGCCGGACTTGGAGCTTTTGAGCTGAAGAATCCAGGGTTTTCGATATAAGGCTACGGAAGAGGCGTTGTCAAAGGTACATTAGTACCTACTTAGTTAGCCCCGGGTTTGTGGATTGTTTGCTCCCTGCGCCTTTGTGTCTCTCATTGCGTGTGAGGCCTGGCGGGATCACTTAGTCCCAGCCAGCCTGCTTTTCCCCGTTGCGAAAGGTCCGTTGTGGCTTGAATGCAGGGATGAAGCAAGTCTCCCAGGCCGGTCGAACCAACGCCGGAGCTAACGACAGCCTGATCCGGGACCCGTGGATCTGGCCAGGTAGTAATTCTGCATCGAATATCGCCAAGAGCAAACACATCTAAATACATTGAACCAATGGCGTGGTACATTTTGGAGGGGCTGAAGATATGGAGGGGGGAATACCTGGGTGTGGGCAGCCTCAGTATTTGGCTGTATCCAATCCTGTTGCATTCCGTGGTTCCCAAAGCTTGTTGGTCGCTACCCGCGAGCTAGGTATGCGAATGTTTGTCAAACAATGCACTTCAAAGAAAGCTAGCGTCTTCGTTGGACACCACTCTTTTTTGTGGTGCAACCTGCCTATGGGAAATGAGGGATTTGAGACATGGCCGCGAGAAGCTATCTACTCCATCTGGGAGTAGACCGCTGGACACCCGAGCTGCCATACCATGATCCGCCTTCGTGCCTCCGGCTTCCGAATCGGCATCACCCCCCACCAAACGGAGCGGGTTCCGGTGCGGGCATCCCAAGCCCGGGGCGAAGGAAGGAGTCCTGCCCGAATCAAGCTCAGCGGAACTCTTTCTTTGACAGCGGTATTCGGAGCCCCATCATTTAAGGACTTGACCACCCCGTCACTCTTCGGTTTGTACGTCGTCGGAAATACAGATTGAAGTCTCACGTCCCGAACAACGAGACCAAGCCGCCGCGGCGACTTTGCTGGTCTCGAAAGACAAACGTATCCAAACCGTTCTCTCAACGTTGTTTCCCTCAATTATGGAGGAAACGCCGTTGCCAGGCACAAACGGAAGGTCCAAACAGACTTATAGAATCAAAACGAGTCACTCGCAAACTCAAAAGGCTACACCCAAGACTGTCGTTCCCCCCTCCCCGAGGAACTCAAATCTCGCCCTACCTCACCATCTCTCGGCACACTCAATCTTTTTATCTTCAAGAGAGGGTGTGCGTGTGTAACCAGAAAGGAATCCAAGGCGAAAACAAAGGAGAGCTTAAGAAGAAAGCAAAAGAAAGGCGAGAGAAGGAACAAGGCCAAGATGCCAGTTCACGTCGGTCGGGTCGTCCCCGAGCCTCAGACGGGGCCGGCGCTTACCCAACCTTTACCTTTATCTCGGGACGTTGTTGATGCTTTTGCTTCAAGAATTCAGGCGAAACTTATGACATTAGCCATTTTGCAACTTTTTGCATTCTACTCGCAGACGCCGCGAATGCAGGCAAACTCGGGACGACAGCGGCCCACGCCTCTCGGCACCGAGCCGGAAAAAATGATAACATCTCTAAGGTGCGTAAGCTAAGTTACGTATTTTCCCGATGGAGAAAAGACGGACTTTTCATCTTGAGCGGCTCGCCGAGAAGGGGTAACCTCCGGTAGGTGAGTCGCAAGACTTGCGATTCAGTTGCTAGGTTTTGGTACCTGCATCATCACGGGCGAACTATGATAAGATAGGGTAGGGTAGGGTAGGCCGTTGAAACTCGCGCAACCATACCTTACCTCAAGGTGAAGATCGAAAACAAAGGACAAGAGAAGAAGGGCAACAACCCAAATCCATGTCGCAAACTTTGACAAGAAAAAAGTCACGATCCCGTTGCCAGACAAACTCCGACATGGAGGATCTTGGTCTGTTGGAACCTTGGAGATGTGGTGGGGAGAGTTGACCTTCTCATCGTGCACTTGCTCATTCGGTGGCACACTTGCGAAAACCGACGATGAATCAACTCAGCTAACACGCTAAAAGCCAAAAAGGGGTGCAAAACGGGTATAACGGCCTCGCAGGAACAGACGGATACAGGCAACGCGAAGAGAAAAGGTTGAGGTAAAATCCTAAGTCAGGTACACCTCTCCAAGTTCAAGTCAAAGAGTCATGAAAATAAACCTTCCGACGCAAGCTCAACGAAGAACATCTTGCGCGCGCGCGCGTGCGTATAAGAGATGCGCAATCGCGGAACGCCGAAAAGAAAGAGAAACTTCAAGATAAAGCACCCCAAAGAAAGAAATAAGCGTCAATTAATCTCTCTTTTCGCTTCCCCCCTTCCGAAACGTTAAAAAGAAATCTCCTAATTAATATACCTCCACTATCCGTACTGCTAGCAAGCCCATTGCCCCCCTCCTCTCGTTGACCTCAAACACCCCCTGCCCAGAAACCCACGCACCACACCAAAAAGTGCCATCCCAACCCATGACACTTGCCATGTTCAGATTCTAGCCTCGACTCGTGACATCACAGAGTCGGACTGGAAGCCCTGTAAATATAACTCTGCCTGTTAAGCCTGTTGTATGGTACCGCAAGCCCCCTCCGTCGCAAGATCCCTTCCATCCGTCCCAACTCCGGCACTAAAAGAAGAGAAGAATGGGCAACATGAAACGCGACTCAACTCTTTTTTACCCTATTCTTCTCTCATACCCCTCCATCTCAAGACCTGCCAAGTCGAACGCCAGTCTCCAACCCACACACCCGTATCCTACTCAATGGCACATAACGCTGGAGAATCTAGCTTAGTCACGCACAATTCCCTCCCGCCAGAGCAACTAAAATCCTACTGAGAGGCTCTCCCTCAAACAGGCAGACCCCGACCCCAGCCAGGCACCCTAGACACCAACCCCAGCGCATAACACGGCCCCCCGGCCGAGACATGTCCCCCCCATCATCGCGACACGCAGATCAGACGCCGCAGCTCGGACCGCTGCTCGGCACCGCAGCTTCTCACCACATAGATTCACCAGCATCAGACAGAGAGGAAGTTCGGCGCAGTGTTGCCGGTATACCTCCTGCCACCCCGACTTTCAGTCAGATGGGGTGACATCGTGACTTGTCATCTGTTAGTGGATCGTGGAACTCCCAGTGTAGAGATGTCACAACATGTCGAATCAGTAAGAACCAAGAAACCAAGCAAAGATAATCCAAAAAAACTGTGTGCACTCTCTACTGGAATTGTGTCTTCCATTTCTTTCCAAGCCATGCTGCGTATCCTTTCAACGGAAAAACAACTCCCTCTAAATGTACAGAAAGGTCGGATCGTAAGATTTTGTGTCATGGTGATGAGGTGATGAGATGTGTGTGTGAGGGTTGTCGGGGAGGGGGGACATTAGAACAATAATATAGAGGGGGAGGAGTTTGCCAGTGTTGTCGTTGATGATGTGTGAGTGTGTGGTATCGAAGCACGGGGAGCGCTGGTTTTCATCAAACAAAAGAAAAAACCATCCACGCCAACCTGCTCATCTAATAACCTCCTGCCAGTTCGTGTAGAATATAACAACCCAAGAAATTAAAAACAGAAAAACACCAGAACACTTTTTGGCGACCCGGGTGAACCCAAAAGCATGGAGACTTGTCGTTGTATGATGTAAAAGGCCCGTGTTGTCCGTATGAGCGCGCGCGTGCATATCCCAATAATCCCTCGGTTGTTTGTCGTCCTTGTCGTCGAAAAGGCATTCCGATTATGAGAGCTCCTGGATGCAGGTCTGAACCTGGGCATCACAGTCGGCCGTGGTGACCCCGTTCAACTTTCCACCGTTGAAAGCATTGAAACAGGCATTCCGTTGAACATCGCAAGCACGCTGCGCCGCATTGGCCTTGGAAACGAACGAGTTGCCATTGACGGAGAATGGTCGGCTGCTATCGCCAGAGTCCGAGACCGCCGGGGCCGCGATTCCGCCGATAGCGTTCGACGTCGCGCCTCCCTTGCCAGATCCAGAAGAAGTGTTACCGTTGCCGTTCTGTCCGGATCCATTGCTGTTGGCCTTGCCATTGTTGGAGGCACCTCCGCCCTGGGTGGGCGTTGGCGTCGCTGCCGCCGGGTCTACCGAAGGAGTCGCCGTCGCGTTCTTCGGATTACTGGCGGCGTCCCCGTCCTGGCCGGAGTTGTTAGCATTGGGAGTCTCCTGTGTGTTTCCGGTCTGGGATTGTGTTGTGGCCTGTCCAGGGGGTGCGCTTCCAGGGAATTGAGGAAATTGGCCGGGGAATTGGCCTGGGAACTGTGTGTTTGGAAATCCTTGAGGGGGTTCTGAGGTGTTGCTTGAGCATTACCTTGACCAGCGCCTCGTCCAGCACCGCCGCGACCGGCACCTCCTGCAGCACCGCCTGCAGCAGCGCCGGCGCCTTGTCTGCCTCCGGCTTGCTTACCTCCACGGGCAGCTCCGCCCTGGTTGTTGTCTTGTATCCGTTAGTACCTCAACTGAAACTTGATGTATCCCTGATGGACTTACTCTGCTGGCCTCCGTTGGCGGCGTTGTTGTTGTTGTTGCCACCTCCGTTGTTACCACCGCCGCCGCCGTTTCCACCAACGGTGAACTTGTTGCAGTCATCCTGGGCACCACGCTGGGCGACGGGCATCAGAACGGGCTGATGGTTGGAAGCACTAGACATGGTGCAGACACGGTAGTTTCCGGCGGGGAGACCTCCAGTGACGGTAGCCTTCAAGTTGCCATTGCCATCGCCGGCATCGTTGATACCCTTGAAGAAGACAAACTTGGAAGCGTCCAGGGGAGTGTTGGGCGTCAAGGAGTTACCCATATCCTGTACAGTGACGTGAACGTGGCCGATGATGGTACCGCCGCCGCTAAGATCCTGGGGAGCCGAGTAGTAGGTAGACTGAGCGTCAGTGAAGGAGCCGGCTTGCAGGTTGTTGACCTTGAGCTCGACATCAAAGTCCTGGTTGGCCTGGATGTTGCCGTTGTGAGGGGGGTTGTTGATGACGGTAGACACCATCTTGGTCTGGGCGGGGATCTTGCCCATGGGGATACCGTTGCAGGAACCGCCAGTCTTCTGCTCACCATCGGTGAGGGTAGAGCCGGAGCAAACGTTGATAAAGTTGGCATTGTCGCTGCAAAGCAGCTGGTTAGCGTGTTTCGAGGGTTGCCTGTGCTGTGTATGTGTAAATACTTACGTCTTCGAGTTGGCTTGTTGGGCGTTGGGCTGTCCGGCCTGCTGCGAGCCCTTTTGCACCGCGTTCGTTTGCAAACACAGAGCTCCGTTGTTACCAGCGTTGGCATTTCCACCCTGGTTTGCGTTTCCACCCTGGTTTCCGCCTTGTCCACCACGGTTACCACCACGTTGTTGACGCTTGGCGAGGGCGGCGCTCAAAGGCGAGGCATCGAGGAAAGCGACAGAGGCCTCGGCGACGACAGCCATGCCCGCGAGGGCGGTGATGAGCTTTTGAATCTGCATCTTGTCTCTTTCTTGTTGATCGATGGGGATAAATCCGAGGGAGTTGTCGACCGAGTCGCTATCAATAAAATACTAGATTGTCGTTCGAAAGGGTTGGTTCCAGACCGAGGAGCGAACAAGAGTAGAGTACGAAAGGAACGGTCACAGACACCTGAATACGTAGCACAAGCTGAAAAGAAATGAATGAATGAATGTGAAGACACACTCCCAGCGTGAGGCAACAGGATGAATGGAAATAAAAGTAAAGGGTGGAAGGCGAAAAGAATGATCGAGACTGAGCGCTGCTGGGGATTAAGAAGGGAGAGGCCGAGACAAATATGCGATCAGTGCCAAGCTTTCAAGTCTTATATGCACAGGGCTGTGGTTGCAGGCTGGTGCCGGTTCGACCAAGGGGTCGTATGAACGGAGACAGGCTCCATGGCGGCTTGGGGAGGAGGAATCGTCTCCACGAGTCCAAAACGCGGCGCAGGGGAGATGGGAGAGGAGGAGAAGGAGGAGGAGACAAGGGCTGACAGGAGCCCGTCTGCAGACTACCTAGTATCTAGCCATACACCATACTACTGAGTATACCTTACGGATAGTACACGGCTCAAACTGTTGGCCGGGGGTGTGAGTACATGGATGCTGCTTAGCATCTGATGCCCGTGCGGGCAACTGGCAGACCCGCAGTGGGTGACGAACCGGGGGGTGGGAAAAGGTAATGAATGGGGGTCTGCTCTCTGTGTGCAGGTGGCCGTGGAGGGATGAGAGAGAAAGAGAGAGACTGGGTAGGTAGCATCTGTCTGATGAGATGGTATGCGACAACTAGTTGACAAGGGCAGACGCCTCCAGGCTCCGAGAAAGTAGGAGGAGGAAGAGTAGGGATGATGGATCGGGGGGTTGAGCGAAGAGACGGGAGAATAGAGATCTGAGCTTTGGCAGGGGTGGTCGAGTTTAGCTGCATGGATGGGACGGGAACGGCGACAAAGATGTTGGTCAGAGGCGTAGTGTATGAAGAGTCTCCGTGGGTAAGTTGTGCAAGGAACGGAGTAGTGTAGACGGATAGAAAAAGGGAGACAAGCTACAGATGAGCAGGGGATGTCGTTGTCCGAGACTGGGAAAGGGTGGGCACCCTTGACGGACGGTTCCCGACTTCTTCAGGATGGCAGGTAACGAAGTTGAGTCGAACAGGGCGGCTCGGGTAACGTCAGTGTGGTGTCTCTAGTCTCTGTGGCAGGTGTCTACAACACAAGTATTGGTAGGGGTTAAAAATGCGAAGTAAAGAAAAAGGTTGTTGGCACCAGACGTGGACGACAGTAAGAGACTACGCAGTGAGGCAAGAGTAAGGTATGGCAAGGGTAAGGATAAGGTAGTTGGAAGGAATCCCCCGTCCGGTGGTGGCTTGTGCCGTCGCGAGGTCTGGGAAGGTCTGATGCGGCTCCTGTCGTCGCAGAATGGGGTCATGGAGTCCCCACCTGGCCCCGGCGCGGCTTAGCGAGCCAATAGCGGTGCGTGCTGTCTAGCACATCAGGCAAATGGCGTTTCGCCCGAGGCGTCGATGAAGCGAAACGAGACACTGGACGACATTTTTGTGCTCTTGCCGTCCCTTAAGCGCGGCACTCTACGGAGTGCCTCGTCGCCGTACTCGGCCAACGTATCGTCACCGTCCAAGATCCCGACCGTACTGAGGTAAGCTTGTAAGGCGCATTCTTTCCACAACCACCCACGGGTGCTCGATTGCTGGCTATCTGAGCGAAGCCTCCTCCGTCCTAATTTCCCTGGTGCACTGGCAAAACTGAGCAGTTCGCTCCTCGATGCCTGCACCGTCGCACGTCAAGTTGCACTCATCAGCTGGCAGATTTGTGACCGTTAGGCCAACGTCCGTCAGGACAAGCATCTATTCATACGTGGTCTCCACGGACTGTTGGTAGTGGACCGATATGTGAGAGCCGCACCTTGTCGAGACAAATGGTACACTGGACTGCGGATGCGTATGCAACTGAATTTGGCTCATGAGCCATGAGTCGTCATGGGTCTAGCTCCTCATGCTAAGCCTTTGAGGATCGGCCATGATTTGCCTCCGGACGCGGGCTTTCCTGAGAAGCCTAGCACGCTTGTATTGGTGCCAAGACTGGCCACGCAGAAGCAAAGCTGTTGCTGTTTGCTGACAGCGCGCACACATCATCATGTTCGCGATGGGGGTTCTTTTGATTCACGTTACCGCTTGAAGATCCTCCGAGCCGCGCTGTGTTTCTTTCCCACGGTGCTTTGCGGGTACCAGCGACACGACAACGGTCTCAAGCTTGGCCGGGAGAAAGCGGCAATGTGGATGATTGGCAACGGACTGTTTAGACGGGTGAGACATGCCGTGCTAGTGCGACCGCCGGCCAGCTACACCAGAACATTAACATTGACATTGACATTGCCTGTCATTTCTGGCGATTCTCTCTATCAGTCAGTTCGTGTCTGCGACTTTGCATTAGAATGGAAGCGCCCGTCTAATTCCGGTGGGCGATATGCAACGCATCAACTCCACTGCATTTCGTTCCACTTCAAAGCTTGCCCTTATGGAATCCGTCCCGCAGATAATGGTGGGATAGTGTATCGTGTGCCTCGTCTGCATCGCGGGCGAATGCCTCGTATCATGTATGTGCTTGGCCAGAGGTGCACGGAGGCTTTTCGGCGGAAGGGCGGCGGAGCCTATCAAAAAACCTAGTTGGGCTTTTTCTTGCCGTTTTGCAGGAAGTGGAAGCAAACGAGACGCACCTCGCATACGGAGTACGTTGGCGTTGCTGGCCGGAATGTGGAGTTGGCGAAGCGAGCGGAAAACCAAGGTCAGCAGCGGGCGTGCAGCAATGATGGTATCAAACATCCAATAAACTTAATCTGTTATTCGGCAAGTTCGGATGACGGCAAGGCCCCCTGGGTTGACCAGTCACGGTACCGTTGATTGTCGGTTTGAGAAAAGAGGGCGAGCAGCAAAGGGGTTTCCAGGGTGAGTGGATGAGGGAAAAGAAAAAAAAACTTGACTTGTCGGTGTGGTCCACCGTACCTTACTGCGGTTGGAGCGTCGGGGATGATCTTCCTCCCGTCAAACGTCGAGTGCCATGGAACCCATGAAGTTGCCAAGGAAGGAGTTAAGGAGTATCCGTACCTTCCTTACCTTACTGATAGTACAAGGCAATGGAAGGTGCGCAAAGGAACCAAGAAAGACACTAGGTACCTACCTTACTCCGTAGGTACACATTTACGGAATTGTGGGATTGAAAGGTGCGCCGTCTTCTTTCCACTGGTGCCTCCCCTCCTATTATCAAAACGGAGGCACGTACGTACCTGATCTTTACGTCTCGTTCCTGACACTTCCAATTGCAACTGGAAGGAAAGCATGGCGAGGTGAAAGGAGGGCACCTTCCACGCCCCAGCAGGAGTGCCAAGCGCCGTTTACACTCGGTACCTGCAGCGGCCCAAGACCCGTGGAGATCCCCGACTCCACTTGGGTCGCCAAAACAGGAAAGGTTGATTATCTCATCCCCTCTTACCACGTTTAAGGTTGTCCTTAGCATCCCGCCCGCCAGAAACCCGCCCCACCACCGCAGCCCTGGAAGAATTGCAAGGGGAAGGGGTGTCCCTTGTCAACGGTGCTGCTTCACCTCGACTTTCGAGTCTTTTCCCCCTCCCCCTTCTTCTCTCCCATGTCATTGTCCACCGAATCCTTGGATATCTGCCGCCCCCACCGTCAACGACGACACCAACCAACCTCTCACCCTCACCTGGCACCGAGTTCACCCCTTTCCCCCTTGCCCCCTCGTTCGTTGGACAACCGGCCAGTCCTGCATCAGCCATCCGAGCAAAAGGTTAATCTGATCTTCCTCATGGCCGACCCTAGCGCGCGAGATGCTTATCCATGAGATGATGGTTTCGATTTTCATCTCGTCTACTATTTTCTGCTGTCAACCCAAGTGCTCGAGTCGAGAACTTTCCTTTCTGGGCTGCCAATTGTCGGACATTTTGCAAACGACGCTGAGTTTAATGCTATTGATCGTCCACACCTAAAATTGCCCTACAACGTTTTGCTCACTGCACTGACAGATCCGCCATTGTCATCGTTGGAAACATATGCTCGGTCTTGATCCCGCCATTCAAACTTCTACTTTTACTTACGGATCCCACTGATACCACATTGTGTGGATGACTATGCCGATTCTTTTGATGGGTACGGCCTGTCTTCTCGCCGATTGATCCTCGAATACGGCACCCACGGCCCACGGCACCACATGACGATGCCTTCGTGCCCTCGCCTGCGTCTGGCAACGAACGGCACGGCTCTACGGCTTGATGCTTGAAGCTGCATCGCAAAAGATCACCTGGCGAAACCTCGAATTTCCACAGACGCACCCAAATGACCGGCACCACAGCCGACGCCTCCCCCATATTCGTCTCATCCCTTCCGAGATCCCGTAAACGAGCAGATTGTTTTCCCCCTGAGATGCCATCCGACTCCAACATCAATTAAAGGGCCTGTCATCAATCTTCCCTCATCTGGATCCGAGCCACCGGGGTTGCTTGCGGTGGACTCGTGGAGTGAGAGTGCTAGTGTGTAGTGTGTGCGGTGCCCCTGTCGCGAACCTCCACTTGCGCCAAGGAGGCGCACCATCCTGCGACACGAGGCTGAGTTTGAAGCCTGTGCCAAAAATCCAATGGTGAAACAGGTTCACCTCAACTTCCGTCCATTTGTCACTTGGGCCAACCGGCGCAACCTCGTCTTCACCTTCAACTCGCAGGCATCTTCCTCGGATCCGGCACGCAGACCTGCCTTCCATCCCAGCTCGGGAAGACGAGTTGAAACCCGTCGACTGTCACAGAGGCAAACGCCTTGTACTATCTATCGTCGCTCATTGCCTGCACCATGGTGGCCACGCTCGCCCACGGCCCAGTCACCCAGCTCGGTTGAACCGTCATCGCAAACTTGAGATGCAGAACCCGTGCCAATCCCGTTGCGTTCACTGCCATGCACACAGGATGCGCCAATCTCCTTGGATGTATTGCTCGTCCGGCTGCTCTCGGACCCCCCGGCAAGGGCTGTCATCGAACTTCACTTGTCAGACGTCACCTATCATCCCAATTGTTCTTCTTTGCCGTCACGGCTAGACCTCCAACCCGTTCTTAGTCTGATTCCAAATTCTCCACCACGAGAGGGAAATGTGTTCAAGTCACGCCACTTTCTTGTAGCCAGGCAATGTTTGCCGACTACGCCTCTGGGAAACAGCTCTTCCATGTGAATCAAACCTGGCTGCTTCAGCCGTTGCGGACGCCCTCTCTGCTGACGAAGGCCCGGCCAAGAATTTGTCGCGACCAGTGTGATCAACATTATTCCGAGTCTTCTACTCAAGGCAACTTGGCAAGTCTGTGAGCTGCCGCGTGGCAGCTGTCACGATCTTTAGCACTACTACGGCAGATGAGCCTAAGGTGAGCCTCGTTTCGTCATTGGACATGTCATTATACCAGCCCAGCATCCAGAAATGTTTACTACTAGGCTCTAGGTCACGAAATCAAATACACACAGAGGACCCCGGCAGAGCCAAGCTTTCACTGCATCAAAACACGTTTTGCTGTGTGATAAACGAGGGTCTTGTACAGAAAGTCGCGCGGAGCAAACAGCGCAACATGCTTGGCGTCTCATCTCATAATCTTACAAGTCTTCCATGACAGGTTCAACCGTCTTCGCCTGGTCTTGGTATGCTGCCGCGATGAGGTCCAGCCAAGCAGCCATTCTCACACCCGCGCGGGCGACCTGGAGCTCAATCACAGGTGCCGCCTTTTGGAAGTACTCGCCGCTAAGTTCTTGGCCGACAATAGCTCGCGGACCCTCTGGGAATACTAATGCAAGAGTCAGTTTTGACGTCGCCCTTCCGGGTTTTGGGGGGCGCCGATGACTCGGGAATCGACATACCGTGGGTGCACACGAAAGCGTTTCCCTCTCTCGCCCACTCCAGGCCGGTAGCGTTCACGTTGTTGAAATCCAGACTCTTGAGCCACTCTGCCTTGTGCGCAGCAAACTTTCCAGTCTTGACCTCATCAGCAAGCTCATCCGCCCATTTCTTCGCGTTGTCGTAGGGCCTCCGACGAGAACCTCCAATCAGCTTTTCGGCAATGGAGCTGTCCCAGACGTGGTGCAGGTTGTAATCGGAGCCCTGCCATTTGACGTGGATGCCGTTGCCTCCCCGAGCCACATCTTCGTTATGGAGAGGCTGATGCATGTCGCCGATGAAGTGCACGACGAATCTCGCCGCCTGGTTGCGTTCCCACCCGCTCAGCTTCGGATCGAGAGACCGAGCAGTGTAGTTTGCGAGTGCCGTCACGACGCAACCTTGATCTTTGCAGTCCCGCTCGAGGTCGACGCCGCAATAGTCGGGCGGACTATCTTTGGCGTCGATGAAGTGGAAGGGCCCGGTGAAGTGTCCCCAGCGCGTGTACCGGATTGTGTCGGCCCAGGTGGCGACGCCAGCAAGGTAGTGCTCGGAGTCATTACGCAGCAGGTCCTGGAAGAATACCTCGGTTGTGTTGGCGACAAAGTGGCTGGCTAGGTACGCAGTCGCAATGTGACCCAGACCTGGCAAGTCAAGTCGGTCAGCGAGGGAGCTCGAGGCACTTTGCAGCTCGAGGCCATTTTGAAGCTATCGTGGATATAGGGAATCGATGACATACTTCCCCACGCAGCAACCCCGTGCAGAGATGCACCGAGGAGTGCAACGGTGCCCGAAAGCCTCATGATGGCTTGCGATTTCTTACTGGTGAGTATGCACTGAGGTGCGATTAGGCTTCACTGTTTTGGGACTATATTTCGGGTCCGTCAAATTGACTGAATGACGACAAGCAAGACAGGGACAGGATGGACTCGAGATTATATGGGAGCTTGACGCGTGGTCGGGTCACCGGTCTTGGGGACGGGAGCTATGCACGCCAGCTCACGTTAACGTCAACACGGATGACTGGCGCTGTGCGGGCCGCTGGTGTAGGCCCCGCGGCAGAGGTGAGTTGGCCGAGGAACGCGGGGCCGGGGGGTGCTCTCGCCCGTGACCTTTCACACCCGCCTCAGCCACGGAGGGCGAATCATGGCGGTGCATGGAGGGGACCACGTGAAACACCACTTGGGAGGGGGAATGCTGACGATCGGCGGATGTCCGGTGACCGCTGGAATGCGGAATCTCAGCCTACCTGATCGTGCGGTGCGCCTCTGCTTCTGTGATTGGAGACAGATTTTTAGACTTTTGGCTGACGGCTTTCGCTGCATGCATTCGTACATGTTATCTGGACCATACGAGCGGTTCATCTCGAGATTGGTGCAGATGCAGATGCAAATGCGCAGAAGCATTTTGGAAGAATTACACAAGCCCAGGTTGTCAGAGACTCAGCTCCAGCCTCCAGCAGGTGAGATGACCAAATCAGGCCTCTCTATTGGCGCAAGTCTCTCAGCTCGACATTTTCTCCGTCATTGGGCCCCTCCGAAAATAGGACCTTTGCGGCGGTCAACCCACTCTGCCCGCCAAATTCTTTCCAAGTTTTCCTGGAGTGACCCTTGCTGAGTGCTCAACCTACCCCCACTAATTGCTCTCTTCGTCAACCAGCACTCCACGACGCCAAGGCCGTTCTTGGTCTTTTTGGTTATGTCATGCGGCGGCAGGGTTTCTTATCGGATGCGGTCTGCGATAAGAAATGCGATAACGGGAGAAAAGCAGAATGCTGCACTCGGATTGGACGAGACGTGAGCGCTATCAGTCCCCTCTACCCGTGCCGCACCAACAATGTCTTGTCTGCGTGACTCTCCATCGAGAAAACCATCCCACTTGACCCCATTCCAAAGCCCACCTGACCGAGGAACGGCACAAGAGAGAAGAGCTTCCCCCAAAACCTATCTGTCGCTGCGGCTCTTCTTACCCATTCTTTTCACCCTTCACGTTTGTTATTGTGAGCTTCACCAAAGTCGCATATCGAAAACACACACACAATGGCTTCTGTTGCGGTTACGGCCTTTGCCGCCTTATCGTCCACTCCAAAAGTCGAAGAGGCCCTGTCGGGAATCTTTGGCAGCATCAGCTTGACCGCGTGGATATGTCTCCTTGTACGTCCTTCTTTCTCTGTGCGAAGGTCACGCGACCTCGGATCACGACTTTTTTGCTCTGCATTTTCTGTCCAAGTAAACTGACCATTCTTATCTACGCACAATAGCTTCCTCAGCTCCTCACAAATTACAAGTCGCAAAGCGCTGATGGCTTGTCCATGGGCTTCTTGATCATCTGGTTGATTGGCGACGTGACGAATCTCATGGGTACGCAGAAAACCACCTCTCCAGCTCTTGCATTTTTTTCTCCTGGCGCTCTTGTCCAATGTTCCATGTCATCTGCGCCTTGCGAGTTTTCTCCTACACCGCTACCGTTCTCCAAGAAAAAAAATGCGCCTATTGTCATACCGAAAAATTTCTCCAACCACCAACACCAACACTACCAATGCCATGAAAAGAAAATTTAACCTTTTGACGCGTGCATGCTCCCGCTAACAAAACCACCTACAGGCGCTCTCTTCACCCACCTCGCTCCCACAGCCGTCGCCCTCGCAAGCTACTTCTGCTTCGCCGACCTCGTCCTAATCTCCCAATGCGTCTACTACAACACCAAGAACGCCCGCCACGCATCCTCCCGCCGCCGCTCCTCCGCGCCCGTGACCGCCACCGGCGCGAACCCGACCGAAGCACGCGAAGATGAACCCCTCCTCGCTCCCCGCCGTCGTAGCTCTTCTGCAGCCGCCGGCCTCCCCGGCTCGCAGCGCCGTCACGCTCACCACGAGGAGAGCTCGCTCGACCCCCTGCGCAAGATGGTCACCGGCGAGGACGACACGCCCGACAGCAACCCCTGGCTCCACAACACGCTGAGCATCCTCGCGGTATATCTCGTCGGCGCGGCGGGCTGGTTCCTCTCCTACAAGGCCGGCGCGTGGGACGCCCCCGACAGCGACACCGGTGCGGGTTCCGGCGCGGGCTCCCCCGCGGCGGCGGACGGCACCTGGGAGAAGATTGGTCTGGCGCTGGGCTACTTCAGCGCCGTGTGCTACCTCTGCGCGCGCATCCCGCAGATCATCAAGAATTACAGGGAAAAGTCGTGCGAGGGGCTCGCGCTGCTGTTTTTCCTGCTGTCGCTTACGGGGAACCTGACGTACGGCGCGAGTCTTGTTGCGTTTAAGCAGGACCGGGCGTATTTGCTCAACGCGCTGCCGTGGTTGCTTGGGTCGCTGGGCACGATGGTGGAGGATTTTGTGATTTTTGGGCAGTTTCACATGTATGCGACCAAGAGGGAGGGCAAGAGGGATGATGAGGCGTAGGTGAGTGGTTTGGGTTGCTTGGTGTGTTGACTGCATGATGACGGGGAGTGCTTTTCTCTCCGTTGTAGCGGGGATGCGCGTTGGGGATTTGCATGTTGACGGGTGTGGACTAGACGCATTTGAGAGATGAAGGTCTGGGGGTGACGCTGCATTGAGAGGAAGTGTGGACTGTATCATTACGGGTTTTCCGTTTTCCTTTTGGGGAGCATCTTGTGTTCGACATGGCGTTAACAGAGGTTTGCGGGTTACATTTCGGGATTTGCATGGTCACGGGGGTCTCTGTTTCCAACCCATTTGTTTACCCATCATGATGGCACATATAATGATAGCTTTTTGCCTTTTCTTTTACAACCAGTATTAAGTTCTACAACGTCTTGCGATAGCTTCTATGGTGAATCTGTGATTGCGAATGACGCCTAAGGAAAGGTTATCTAGATGGGGTTCTTCTGGGCCGATGATATCCGTACCCGATTCATCACGGGTCATTGGATTGAGGAAGATCCAAGTCACGCGTTAAGGGCATGACTCAAAATGCGATTGTGACTTACTTTCTAAACCAAGAATGATGATGTTCGTTGGTAAGATTTGAAGTGTGTTACGTAAGAATAAAAAAAAAGGGGGGGGGATGGGTTGGTTGATTGGTATAGATCGAGGCTCTGCTATCTCTGGACATTAGCGACGCGACGAGGTGAGCGGAAGAAAGGGAAGGCTTAGAGGTGGTAGGAGAGATGTCCTCTACGGCGGTCACCCTTGGAGGGGTCGGAGGGGGAGTGTTCGGAGTGTTCGGGACCACCGATATGGTGGGCAGTGCTCGGGACCGGAGGTTTTTACTCACACGACACGAGGCGAGGTCCGGGCCGGGAGGTTTGACTTGGGCTGGGACGGAGCCTGGATACGTTGACATGGCGTAATCGTGGACTTGAGGTTGGCTTGGTGCGTGATCGTGGTCAATGTAGTCTACTCTGAGTTTCTGATGTTGATAAAGGGCTCGAAAAATACTGCCGAGATAGCAGTAGGTGTTGATATGTTGTTGAGACCTTATGACATGACGGCCATCTCCATTGAAATTTTGTGGAGATGAAGCTCTGACGATGGATCTTCGACATTATATGGAAGTCCTTCGAGGGGTTGTTACCCCAATAGCTTCCGCGAGAAATGCACTTGAGTATGTAGGGAATTTGGGGCAGCGAAATCAAATACATTGTGAGCGTATCTACTACTAGCCAAACACCGGCCTTCGTCTCGCCCCGAAGGGCACTCTTCAGCCTCTTGGTCGATTCGCTTACTCGGTGCGCGATGCATTGGGTAAGTACACATTTAAAGGGCGGGCTCCGTTGTGTGAGATCGATCGCGGCAAATGTCTCGTCCGCCCACGCCAGGCGGTTGAACGGCTCGTACTGGTCGTTCCACTGCGAGGTGGTGCTTGAGCGAGTTTCTGGCGGCTGAGAATTGATCTGCCCGTACCGGGACGCCGGACACCGGATACCGGATCTCTCTTCCGATCACTGCCCGTACTCTGAGCATAAGCTCCGAATATACCTCCAGAGACGAAGGATTGTGAAGACCTTATTGGCTTGAAGACATCATGTCGGGGGGATGGGATCGTCTACGTTGGTTATAATAGGAGGCTCCCCTCAATTGACAACCTTGATGACGCTACTTCAGTGACCTTATCCTTGTAGATCAAGAACGCACGTGCTGGAACAGAAAGTTCTCTCATGACAGTTATCCTATTCATTTATACTCATATCTCATGCCGAAGCTGGCCCGGCAGGCTTCCTAGCGTAGATGGAATGGCTGCTGCCATTAGTCAAGGAACTCAAAGCACGAAGCGGGTTTGAAACTCACACCGGGAAGTACGCATGAATGCTCCGATCGCTGAACTCCTTGCGCACCTGCATCATGAGAACCAAGACCTCCTCTCTAGACCAATTCAAGGCCCTGGTAAACGGAGCCATGCAAAAGCCCTCCCAGCCAGCAACCAGATTCTCGTGGGTCCAGACCCCAAGCTCCCTATAAAGGGCATCTCTCGGCCAAGGATTCGTCGGCCACTTAAACCTCTGTACAGTCACATCCTCAAAGCCAACCTTTGTCAAAGTCTCTTGAAGTGCTTGTGCGGTGTGATAAGGGCGACCGAAGATGTTGGCAGCCTGTTCCAGCATGCGAACCGACTTGATGATTGCAGACGTCTCCTTGAGGGTGCCGTCATCGGAGAGAGGGCAGGGGTCGATTTCGTTTAGCTCGAGGTATCCCCCGGGGCTAAGGTTCCTGGATTTAGTTGTTTAGCTTCCACCCGCGACTGTAGATGAGCAGGGATGAAAAACTCACTCGAAGCACTTGCGAATGAAATCTTCCCAGCTCTTGACCGACGAGGTCATGACCCGACTGTGGATGTAGTCGAATGGCTGTGAGAATGTCCAAGTGTCCTCGACGTCGTCAATCTCGAAGCGGACATTGGGAGGGGTGCTATTGGCGATCAGCTGCTTCGCCTGCGAGAAGGAAGAGGTGGAAATCGCACTAGTTGGGCCATGTGGCAGATAGATCGACTCCGAGAACCTGAAATGGGAGTGAGTAAGACGTCAGACCATGAGATTCCCGGTGCAGTCAAACTTACTTCAGCCTCGGGATGCTCATCGCCAAAGTCAATCGCCCAAATGCCCGTGCCTGTGCCGATATCAAGGGCACGACGGACTCCAGAGCCAGCTGCATTCGGTGGAGCCGTTCCGAGTTTGTTGTCAAAAGTCATGAGAAAGAGGTTATGTGACAGGTCTACGGGGTTTCCTGGATTAGCCCCAGACGGTTATGGCTGAGTTGCGCTTACCAAGTCTATCGAGCTCCCGTTCGTCGTTGGGAAGTGCATATTCTACTTGCGTAAGCCGGAGATACAACCTCAAGTTTAATGCGATGCGGAACTCACTGCCGTCTTTGTACTTGTGATACGTGCGTCCGTTCTCTATGCGGTAATCGAGAATCGAACTGCTTACACTCGTGCTGGAAGACGCAATGCTCTGAGACACTTGTCATTAAGTTGCTCCTCACAATCAGTGGGTTTCTCAAGAAACTTACGGGTCCAATGGGTGAAGCGTCCTCATTGTGAATCTGAGTTCACGATTAGCAACAGCTCTCAGAAAAGATACACGGGCCTCAGAAAGACCTCATCTGGAATAATAGCGTCGATCGTATCATCGCCATAGTTTGGGGGCGAGTTAGGCGACGATTTCGGAGAGGATTTGGGCGGAGAAGGTGCCATCTTCGTCGCGATCTAGGCGGGCGAGTAATGTGGGGTGGAACGAAGATAATGCGTAAAGTTCTCTCTTTTCACTTCCTCATCGTATTTATATCTGCGAAACTTCTTCTATCACAAATTACCCCTCTCTTGGCGCGTGATGGTTATGCATGCCGTCGGCAAGCAAGTCCTGTTGGTACGATTCCTGCATGAGCATCTCCATATCCGGAAGGCCAACATGGAACAACCAACAAGTGTTGACAAGGTCAGCCGGCGCAGTCCGCGTCATTCCTTGTTACACTCTAAAAGAATCGACACAATGAATCAAAAAGGCGGAATAAAGTCACAGGGCTTGCGAGCGGGTTCGATCAGTTTGTCAACCCGATTGGTCGGACATAATCTGTCATGAGCGCTCGCTGTACTTCCTCAGTGGGCCTGCAAGGATATCCACTCGAGCAAATCATCTCAAGGGCAGATTCATCTATTTATGAAGATATCTTGATGGTATATTGCACGGCATAGAGGGGGTGGGAGTGGTATGTAGCTCTTAGAGACAACTAACCACGGCCCGTCCGGAAACTTCTCCTTTCTCGAGCTGGGCCATGATCTCGGGAACGTGTGAGAAGTTGAATAGATCAATGGCAGCCCGTATCGTACCCTTCTCAGCTGCTTGAAGCAGCTCCGTCATTTGCTCTTCCGTCCCGACCATGGCACCCTTGATTGTCAGAGCTAGTGCGAACGTGTCAGCCTTCGTCTTCACTCAGAGAGCCTGCGGTCCAGAGGTAGAGAACATACCTTTTAGGGCACACTGAGCAACTGAGATGGGTAACTCGAAATCGTTTCGAGGTAGCCCGACACAAACGATTGTCCCCATCGACCTCAAGAGCTTTGGCGCAATCCGATAGGCGTCCTCTGAACCGGGAACCACGATGACAGCATGGGCTCCCTCCCCGGTCAGACTAATGATCGACTTTTCCACATCGTCAGTTGTATAGTCAATGAATGCATCTGCTCTACTCTCCAGGTACTTCCGTTTCTCATCTCCCGTGTCTACCGCGATGACACGGAACCCCTTGAGCTTAGATGCGATTTGCACTCCAAGATGACCAAGCCCTCCTCCAGCGCCTTGGATCACGACCCAGTCGCCTTGAGACAAGTCATTGTCCAGCATCGAAAGCGCGCCCATCATCGTGAGGCCCGCACAAAGCAAAGGTCCCGCCTCCTCGTCGCTCATTCCCTCCGGTATCAGGGTCAAATATCTCGAGTCAGCGACGACGTATCGCTGTAGGGTTCCAGGACGGTGCTTGCCCGTATTCAACTGCTTGGAGCAGTTGTTGGGGAATCCGCGCGCGCATACGGAGCACTCTCCACAAGCGCTGTAAAGCCACTTGACTCCGACCTTCTTCTTCAAGAGTGACTCTGAGACGTTTTCTCCCAATTTCACGACTCTGCCGATACCTTCATGGCCTACGATGGGATCGTAAGCACCCCAACCACGGAGCGCTCGGACTTCTGACCCGCTAAGAAGATGGCCATGGAGTTAGAGAGTTGGTTTTGGTGAGAAAGGTGGCTGTCTTTCAACTTACCACAATCCAGTGAAGTCAAGTTGGACGAGAACTTCAAACGGCCCGGGGGTTCCGACGGGGACATTCTCGCGAACAACGACCTTTGCATCAGGGCCGGGGTTCTCAAAAAGAACTGCTCGTTGCAGTGTAGGAATATCGGAGCTCATCTTGCTTGAAAGGTGACGTCGCAATAAGATGTCTGGAAAGTGGCTCTTGAATGTGTCAAGTGAACGTTGGAGTGGTGTCTGGGGGGTCAGACGTCCAACGGAGTTTGTTACCTCGGGAATAGTGGGGTGTACCCCGCGCCGGGAACGCACACGGCAGTCAAGAAAACGGGAATAGTGGATCACATCACGGACCATAAGCGGCGCCGGTTAATCGGGAGATTGCTACGTCGAAACTCAATTAACTTCATACAGTTGATTTTTGATTATGGAAACTACCCAGTATGCGACCATTATCGCCTCACAACTCCTTTCTGTATCAAAGCAAAACCATCAGCCATACTCATTTCTACTTTCAATACATTGCCTACATACCCAGACGCGAGTAGATGTAAAAGCTTAGCAAGTCCAGACATAAGTGCACTTGGTGCCAGCAGGGACGCAGCCCGTCTTTCCTGCGTTGCCGTCACCAGAGAAGTGTCCGTTCTGGTTGCCGCAAACCAGCGTAGGGCTGGTGTACTGGTCGTCGATTTCGCACGTGAGGTCGTTGGAGCATGTGCCGGAAAGGTTCCAGGTCTCCGCGAGGGCCAAAGGCGCCAGGAGAGCGATGATGGCGAAGAACTGCATCTTGTATGTAGATGGAAAAGCAATGGGCTGGCACTTGTAGAGAAGTTGAAATGAGGGGCTGAGATTGAGAATGATGCTGTAAGTATTTGACAGTTTAAAGGCTTCTTGCAACTTATAAATCTCCTACTGTTCTCCTTTTTTCTTTCTTCCCGCATTTTACTCAACATGAATTTCAATTGCTAAGCGGCCTTCGAAACGGCGGTACGAAGCGAGCCATTGCTGGGAACATTAAAAGCCTGACTCGTCCAGGTAGATCATCATTTACGGTGTAAGCGAGGGGGTCTTAGAGGTGAGGGCCCTCAAGCGGGTTTACGTCTGGTCTGTTGAGTGCTGACTCGCTGATTCTTTGACGGACATCAGCCGCAGGGAGGTACGCGTACGGTGTGATCCACCTCGCCCTCAAGCATTTTACTTATGTATCACTATCGGTGCGAATGGGAACATGATCTCTCCACAATGATCAAAAATCAATTAATTTCTTTAAGGGGATTACTTTACGAGCCGAAGGAACAGCGGTTAACTGCGACGCAGTCGGAAGTTCTCAACGATTTCGGAGCATCGGCTAGGAGTTTGGCTAAGACCCACAAACTCTAACATTAAATAATCGCTGTTTTGGTATGACAATTGCTTGCTTAAATACCATCGTATTCAGTACGACAAATCCGCCTTTCAATCGGAATCAGGAATGCTTGTATAGCCTTGACTCGCTTCTGGCCCATCTTCCCGGTGGGAGTTCCAAGGTGGGAAACATCCCTTATTGCCGAATTCCCATATAAAAGACGAGGCGTGGGAAAAGAAAAACCCGTTCCTAGTCGCCAGCAATTGTCAATGATGTATTCAATGAGGCACTGGAAGTTTCCTCAATGGAAGGCACAGTGTATCACCTACCTGAGCTTTTCCTATCTCCCCGTGTCCAATCGAGGACTCTTACAATACGATAAATTGTCTATTTTTGTCCCGTGTGTACTACCTAAAGAGGCCCAAATGCAGCAATAATTACACAAGCAGACTTGTCACGGAATACCTGTGGCCTCTTTCCCATGAAGAACTCACAGACCCAAATTATCCTTACGGAGTCATGAATTAAGTTCTCGTTGTGGGTCAAGTTCGGAAACCCCCCACTTGCGGCACGCCGAGTTGCGGACGGCCGAAGTGGGAGAAAGCAAGCCGGTAATCTGAAAGCCATAGATGGTAGATTACGTTTACGAAGTTACACAGGGATTTAAAAAAAAAGAGTTCACCTCGGTAGGCTACATCTCTTGGTGCTCATGCTGGAAATCGAAGTCGAAGCCTGTCGTCGAGTAGGCTGTGGGCGTAATTGATTGTTGACCTTGAATCACTCCACCACCCAGTTATTTTGACCTGACCCGTCGACCCAGACGGGCGCCTACTGACTGGTGACAGGAATGGGATTGAGAGGGGGTATATAGGATTCTTGTATATTCAGGTGGAAGGTACGTCTAGATGTTTTCTATTAGGTCACAGAATATTCACCTGAGTATTCGGTAATAAAGCCTAGAGTATTCTGTTGATGGCGAGGCATCAACCTCTGAAGCTCTGAAGTAGGCACACAGTACATTCATAAATATGCCTACTAATAATGGGTGCTTCGCCCGATGGAATGATTCAACACCATATATTGCTTGAGAAAAATGATGAGCAGAAAATGGAGGCAACTGGCATCTCCATTGTCCATTCGCCCAAGAAACTACAGTCAGAATAAGTTGCGAAGCTTAGTCTAGCTATGTGGTTCAGCAACTCAAGAGGTTGTCGTATTGACTCTCGAATCTATGGCATAGCAACCGCCTGAATGGGGGTCTATGCTCGTGCCAGTTCACTGCCCTCTCACACTCGAGACCCAAAGGCATTAACAGTCATACCACCCATACTAATACACGCCCCTCTCTTCCACGAATTGTTTTCATTATCAGCATACCACGGACCACGGAGCTCCTGGCCCGCGATACACCCCTTGGTGGAATAAAAGTACGCTTTCTGGTTATAACCCCCATAGACCTCGACCCGGACGGACTTGGGGGCAAAATCGGTAGTAGCGCAGGTGTTATCGTAGACGTTGCGTCTCTGCGAGGCGCCTCCGCAGTTCTCGCCTTTATACAGGGTGAGGACATAGCCGGACGTAGTGGAGGCAAGTCCGAGGCCGAGGATGAGCATAGATGAGAGCTGCATTTTCATTGATATTATCGTTGTCGTTGTCGAGATGGCTATAGTCGGTCTAGAACAACAAAAAGAACAAATATTCAATGAACTGGGCTTATGTCGTATTCGATCGCTAACTTACTAACTTGATGCTCAAGAGAAGGCTTCCGTGAGAATATGAAAGAAGAGTTGTTTGATATTGTGATAAACCTCTCAAGCGGGATCATGACTCTCTCTTTATACTCAAGAACGTGAACTTACAATATGGTCCTGATAGGATCAACGTCAGCGGGATTTACGACTACATTAAATTAATTTCTAGTGTAGTAACTGCAATCGTACACGATTTCCAGATCTGCGACACCTTTTTGCCCGGGATGCGTGGGGCTTGACCTGTCACGAGATCTCCAAGCCTTCTGGATCGCCGAAGACTGTGTGTACTATGACCTTGGATTTCCGATTAGGGCTAATACGACTTGGCATCTGACATATGCTTACCTCAATGCTGTGTCTCCCTTCGTGATACTGACACCTGAGCATGCAGGATTATACTGATACTGAGACAAAGAGGAAAGTATGCACGTGCTCACCGGCCCAAAGAGAAAACTTGACAGCCTGCCGATCCAGGCATTTTCCATCTTACAGTATGTCCTGCTAGGGTATTTCCTTTGAGACCTTGGAAAAGATCAATTCGACAGAAATGGAACTACTCTGAACAACCTGGCAGAGATCAATTTAGAAGTATCATATTCATCTGTACTCTCAAGTGTGTACGGATGAAAAGTCTTTGCTGATACTCCTTAATACCAAGACTGTCTCAAAACCGTTGGTTGGAAGCGCAATTTGGTAGTAGATCAATGATGTCAATTCAGTACATGGAGTTGATCTTGTACCTCCATACGATATAGCACATGCAGATAAATCATCCTGCGCTGACCGCTCTCGTACCACTGCCACGCGTTGATCTTGACCCGTCTATTGAACAGCCTGCTCGATTTTCGATTGATTGCCTTTGAGATTAGAAATCAAGCAGCAGACATGTTACACCGATTTCTCTGCCGTACCCATTTGTCATCAACTGGCCATCGTTCTGGGAAGTCATCAAGATGGGCTGTCGCGTGATATGACCTAACGGCAGACATTCGCAAAGACAAGTGTAATTCAGGATTACTTAACAAAAGATAGCGGAGAAGTGGCTTGAAAGAGCCGTGAAGAGCCATTTGATCCGAAGGTCACTAACAAGAACAGCCTTGTAGTTCTACATTTGCGTGGAGAAGGGGTAGATGGGGATCCAGCTTTTGTGGTTAGATCGGTGAATTATATGCAACATGACTGATGATCTAGGCGCTATTACAGAGGCTATCTCTTGTTTTGGTATATTTCGATACTGGCTTCTTCTTCTTCTTCTTCTTCTTCTTCTTCTTTTTCTTTTATATGGTTGCCCTAGCCTCTAGTTCGTTTCTATTTTGACAGCACCTCACCCACAAAAATAGCCCAAATTGAGTGGCGGGTGATTCGCGAGTCAAGAAGTACTGAGTGGTCCTCACCGAGGGTGATCTACGAAAAATATCTCATCCATCTGTACATTGTACATATCACCAAAGCCAGTGAGTAATGCTGTTTTGCTATTAAATGCTGCAGATGCTTCTCTTCTTCTTGTCTTAATAAGAAACAAGATCTTGACAGAAAAAGATATTGCCAAGAAGCAGCGCGGCAAAAGGGCAGCAACCCATCTTGAGAATGAACAGACAATCGACAAAAAGCCCGCAAGGTATTACCGATGCCTTGAAAACAACAGATAGCATCTCAACTAATACCTCTCGGCTTTTAGTGAAGGCGTTTCCTCATCCGCCTTGTCAAAATTCTGCTGCCTCTACCGCAGAGTCGCCGAGACGCACTCTGAAAAAGGCCTCTCTCAGTAACTCAAGATGAACATAGACTTCTACAGCATCACAAGTAAATTCAACATAGAGTCTCAGGCAATTGGTTGTGACGCCTGATGAGTCACACAACAACCTCAAGAAGGATCATTCCAACTTCACACTTGAAAACATGCTACTACCACATGAAGAAGTGTAGAGGATATGTCCTGGTGCAACATAGACTTGATCACCTGTTTTACGGGGCGAAGGAGGAGATCTCAACGGCGACGTAGATTAGTGACTGCGTTGTCAAGGTGTGAGCGGATATAAGCCTGGTTAGGATATTGCGCCGTTAACTCGTTCCGAATAAAATGCCAAACTATGTGTTTATGATGGAACATGAAAGCTGGCTATCGAGAAAGACAAAGTATCTGTGTCGGATTGGAAGTCCAATTCGACCTCGAGGCAAGGGGCCCGCGCAGGGGCCACTTACGGGCTGTACTTACGATAATCGCGGCCTGCCCAACCTGCGGTTGGAACCTCCCTTTTCCACCTTACGCAGAAGTTATTACAGATCAATTGACCTCGTCAACCCACGGTTCGAACCAGAATCCCTGTGATAGGCATACCAACAACCTGCGTAGTTAAAGCATCAGTTCCACGTCTTGGGTCTGGCGTTCGTTCGCGATTGCAAGTGCTTGAGGAGGACATGGCCTTGCAGGACGTGCCTCATCACATTTCGCGAGGAGAGACTAGTGCAGCATGGAGCTGTCGTGGATATCGACGTCGTTGGTTTTACATCCTTTGGCGGCGAGTAGAAGAGTCTGAGCGTCTATCCTAAGATGAAGTTGGCCGAGTAGACGGCGTTACATCAACAGGCAAATTGTCGGTTCAGGTTCTATTAAAAAACGTCGATATGGAAACATCGCTACTGGCTGAGGAAATATCACCATTTACGAAGGGTACCGCAACATAGCCTGCTGTACTACGAAGTTGCGAACTTGTCTTGTGCTGCGATCTAGCGATGAGCATGGTACTTCAGGATCCTTACGTTAACATGCGCGAGTAGGACGCCTGTCTGTAAAAGCTTCCCTGATTCACAATGGTCATTTTGTTTAATGGAAACATCCAGGTGGAAGAGAGAAAGAGGGGAGGGCGAAGGAGAAAAGACATGATGGAGTGAAGAAGCCACAGCCCCCTGAATACTGCTTCGGAAGCTAATGGGGCATATCCTGTAAGCCGTGAGGTCTTACAGAGCCATGGCATAAATATCTCCACATTGGTGGCTTCGGCGCAGCAATTCTGTGGCAGGCTGATAAGTGGCAGCTGAACATTCCACAGCGAGAAGCTAACCAGATTGGTCCTCTTGCGAGACAACCTGGCTCCAGCCGTTGAGGTGAGCCGAGTGGCGCATTTGCAATTGATTGCGGTCACAACGGTGTTGGACGACAGGCCCTACCGGCACCATCTCTGAGAGATGCTTCAACCGACACTTTTCTCGCACTTCGACTTCCCGACCTTTCACTACAACGTCGCGGACAGACGGGTCGTCTTGCCAAACTCTATGCGTAGGGTTGAAGGAAATGGAGCCATAGAAGCTCTGAAACAGAACTGTGATTGCAAGACGGTTATCCTGCCCTAAGGCTGCTGCGGCTGAGAGCGGGAGAAACCAAATACCAATTCGAGGGATCCGAGAAGGCGAATTTGGTTACACCAATAGGACCCGAATCAGACTGGGGTGACAGCAAAAGGCTTGCGACGGGTTGCGCGCGGTGTGACAATATCACATTAAGGTTAAACAAAATATCTATGAGCCATGAGTGCAGGGATCTGGTTGTAGATCTTGGATAGACTTTGATGCCTACTTGAGTGAAGCATTTCAAAGGGGCCATGCTAGCAGTAGTGAAGACAGCGACAATCTAGCCAGGTGATAGCAGGCTGGCCTTACTCGTGCAACCAGCTGGGAAATTTTGCTCAACGATGGACATGAGCGACAGAACGGCGCGGAGTTACCGCAAAGAAGCCTGGAAAGTACATTAAGGTGCGGGAGGAGAGCGGATGAGGCTGTTGTAGTCTGCCTGGCGGTCTCACTAGATTTCAGCTAGCTGCAGGACGTGACCACAACCTCGAAGGATCTGGAAAAGCTATCCGCCAACTCGTTCGTATCTGGCAGTTCTGCCTCAGGGCTGAGAGCTAGTGCGAAGAAACTGACTGGGGCCGGGTGCCCGAGAATCCCAATTAAGCGTACAGTGCCAGATTCTGCCGTAGGGTCGGAACGGGTCCGCGCGAGTGAAAGAAGCATGATTTCGTGAAGATGGGGAAGCCGAAGGCCCGAACCCCCCCCCCTGGGTCGAGCGATGCCCGCTTTGGCTTCGCGGTGCCGAATCAATTTTGCGAGCCAGGCGAGCCATGCTTGGGGCTGGGAAAATCGGAATCTTTGGTTCTCCACTGCGGGTTCCGTTCCGAGGGAGATCTGCGCCCCTGCAGCTTCAATGATCAGGTTCTGGGTGCACTGAGACTGAGAGTCACGCGGTGGCACGGTGAAGGAAGGGCAGGACTATTGGAAATTCAATCAAAGTCGGCTGCCAAGACCTGTGTACGGCATCGTGGTAACAATAGCGTAGGCAGAGCCTGTGGCCTCGTCCGTTTTTCCCTCTGGGTTTTGAGCGTCATCGATTGGCTTACCGGCGGAAACCACCTACGCTAGCGAGAGACAGCGCGGTGGCTTGAGGGGCGGATGGAGGCTTGCCCGAGTCGCGACGGCAGGCTGGCTCCAAGTCCTTGTATCGACGTCGATCGCCTCATTCCTTTATTGCCTGGTTAAATCCCGACAGAGGCTGCAGCTCCGAAGAGTCAGGAGACGTGCCGCTGCAAGCCAACGGAGTCCGTTTGCTTCGATGCCACGACAGCCAAGACTGATGAATAGCAGCCGAGCATTGAATAGGGTTAATGTCAAAGACTATTGTGCATGTGCCAATGGCAGACTAGCGACTGGAAAAATCGGCCGAGACGGATAGCGGCGTGGCCGCATAGCTGCCATGGCCTTTGTGCAGTTTCGAGAAAAGAGATGCCAAGGGAACCTTTCGAGTCTACGAATACATAGATATTCGTCCGGATATGTTGGCGAGGGACTGCGGGGAGAGAGATGAGGTGACGGCGTGGACGGGCCCCTAGAGGGCCTGTGTACACTAAGGTACCTATCAAGAAAGAACCTTGGTGTTTGCCTGATGCGCGCGACAGCGACCATTCTTGGCTTTGGCCTTGGAATATCGTTGAAAGATGGTTTACTCAAGTTTCTGAATAAAGAGGGTCGAGGGCGATCGTTGGTAAAGAGAGGGTGTACGGATGTCGTCGTAATCCTCCCGCCACGACGTCCAGTCAGGAAGAGGCTGGGCGTGCTGATGGTGGACCAGCCACACGTGTCTCGAAGAGAGCACTGTAGTGGTGACAGCTGAGAGCAGCCAAACACCAATCGATGGTTCGCAAGAGGAACTCTTTGACGAGGGCCAGTATTGCTCTGACACGCTGAGAATGCCGGCGGCCCAGCCAGAGAGACAAGACAGCGACGGGAATGGGGCCAAGGTTTGTGCTGTGCATTGAATTTCAGTCATCCATCCACCGGGAGCTTCGATGTGGTCGTGCCGAAAGCCGGCGCCTTCCTGGAGGGGGCTGTGCACGGCCGTTGCTTCCGTTGCCACGTCTGGGCTGCTTGCTGGCGCCAATTTCTAGTGCGAGGTGGCGCCTGGATCCTTTGCTGGTGTCTTGCGGTAAGAATTAGGTATCTGTCATGGTCAATATTTGAGAGCAAGTGGTCGAGTAGGTCATACCTTAATTATGTGAGGTGCCGGTGCAGGTAGAATAGAGAGGACGAACCTGCCTCAATAGAGTGCACACAATGCTGGCGACATCCCGGTCGTCGGTCATTGCTTTCGCGGGGGATGATGCAGGCGCTGTCCGAAAAAGGCTGTCGCTTTCTTTTCTTCCCATTTCGTGGTCAACAGTTAATTGTTGCCAAACCCTTGGGATTTCCAATCCTGGGAAGGTGAGAAGGAGCGATATTCAGGGACTGGGCTTGCTGCTTCAACCCATCATCTGGAAGTTTAGGCCAATTGGAAATTGTATTGAAAGCAGGTCCCCGCAGTTCCTCAGGGACCAACGAATGAAATCTTCGTGTGGCTGGCAGTTGCCTGGTGTGTAAGCATGGCAATGCCTGTTGGCGGTCTCAGCAGAGTTCGGCTGAGCTCAGCCTCAAGAAAGCTCCTTCCCGCACCAATTTTGGACGGAGGTAAAGGTACTCTTTCGCGGGCCCCACCACCAAAAAGTACCTTACTTGGTCAGCAATGACGGCAATACGCCCACACAGTGCAGTGCAGTGCCACTCTCCCGCGCCTTCCTTGCCAAATTCAGTGAGGTCACCAACGCACCTGCAGTCACTACTGCCCCCCCGGTCGACTGCCTTCCAACTGTGCCTTCTTCCCTGGGGGGCGGTCTCTCGGTGATGCAGGCGCCTAGACAAACACAGCTCGCGTATCCATACTCCTCCACGCCTTTCTTGGCCTCTCCTTTCCCAATCCACGCTACGAGTCTGGGCAACCAATCTGCCAAGGCAGCACCCTCAGTCCTTAAAAGCATTGCCATCCCACTTCTTTTCTTTGGCCTCCCCCCAGTCGCCGTCGTCGTCTCCCCAGTCATCAGCATTTCGTGTTTTTGGCATCTCTATCGAATTCGGTTCTCGTGGCTTGGAATCCTGCCTTTGCGAATCTGCATCTACGAACTCTCGCCTGCATTTCTTACACAACGCTCACAACGTCATATCGCTAGACGTACACCACCCCAACGACATCGATCCGGAACCCCGAAAACCGAATAGGATCCGAATATCACAATGGTCGCTCGTAGCCTGCCTCTTGCCGCCCTCGCGGCAAGCGCATCCGCTCTATCGGCTCGTCGCGACGATACACAGTCTTCTGGTGGTGTCGGTGCCATTTCTCTGCCCGTCTACCAAGACGTCAGACTGCACCCTCTGGACAAGCTGCGCAGAAGACAGGTCTCTGATACAGACGCCCCAGTTCTCAACGTGACGACGACTACCTATTTGATTGAGCGTGGGTATTCTCCCAAGCGCTTGAAACCCAATCATATTTACTAATCATTGTTCTTAGTGAACATTGGTACACCCGGCCAAGACACAAAGGTTGCCATTGATACTGGTTCTTCCGAACTCTGGGTCAACCCCAACTGCGCCAACGCTGGTAGCACCGCACAGACACAATCCTGCAGAGCCAACGGCCAGTACGACCCTCAAGACTCTTCGACTTCGTCTGTTTATCGCCAGACGGGCCGCATTAAGTATGGAAAGGGAGAGGTTGTCCTGCAATATGTCAGCGATAACATCACGCTTCCCGGCAGCGGTATGTGCTGCCTCGCTCTGGCGCCTGACCAACCCCACTAATTGCAACTTACAGACATCGCACTGCGAGACACAATCTTTGGCTATGCCACTGACAGTGTCGACCTTAACAGAGGTATCCTCGGCCTGAGCTTCGGCGAGGCGACCAACAACACCGGGTACCCGACCGTACTTGACGAGATGAAGGCTCAGAACATCGTTGAGTCTCTCACTATTGGCATTGCGCTTGGAACCAAGGACGAGAAGACGGGCAGCGGTCTCATTTCCTTCGGCGGTGTCGATACCAAGAAGTTCAGTGGCACCCTGCACTCGGCGCCCATCCTTGGGCCCCAGAACAACGAGAACCTGTGGAGGTGAGTAATTTCTCTTCTGCTCTTTACGACAATGACTGATTAATTTTTTTTAGGTACTGGGTTCAGCTTGATTCCGTGGGCCTGAGCAAGTCAGGAAGCAGCTCGAAGACTTACGCCAACTCCCAATTCCCCGTCTTCTTCGACACTGGCGCGACCCTGAGCTATCTGCCCTCAGCTGTGGTAGACTCACTCGGATCTGATTTGGGAGGCCAGCTTGACTCATCTGTCAACATGTATGTGGTACCTTGCAGCACCACAGGCACCATCGACTTCAAGTTTGGCGACTACACCATGAAGGTGCCTATCCAAGAGTTCATCTGGAACGTTGGCAACAACCAGTGTGTCCTCGGAGCTGACAAGGCGACCGACGGCTCGTACCTGCTCGGTGACTCGTTCCTTCGTTCGACTTATGTCGTTTTCGACCAGGAGACACCCGCCCTCCACTTTGCCCCCTACAACAACTGCGGTTCGAACCTTCAGAAGATTCCCCTGGGCGCGAATGCGGCGGCGAAGTTCACTGGCGAGTGCTCTACCTCCACTGCCCCCAGTGGTAGCAACCCGACTGGCACCGGCAATGCTGCTGGCCGCTCAACATCTACCAACCTCTGGCTTGCAGCCGGTGCTTTGGTTGGCGTACAGACATTCATGTCCTTCCTTTAAATCCGCATACATAATTGAACGGCTGAATATCACTGCATGAATCGGGAGTTGGGGCAGGACCAAGACGGTCGCCACATTGGCGAATAGATGACGACGAATCGAGCCTTCTGTACATGGCGGATCGCTTTATACCCTCTTTCCCTGGCCATGGGACTACATAGTTTCTGTTATTGATTAATGAACAACTGAAACCCACAGAGGTTTCTAGATTATCTCACGACACTTGCGCTTGCAGCTGAATTGTGATGCGATTTGATGTATTTGATGCGACATAGTCTAAGCAGGAATTAACGGGTTGGACACATTGCTGAGTGAAAGGAGTGGATGAAAGCAGGTGATGGTGAAATCGGGGCAGAAACCCCTGTGCAATGCGATTTACAAAGCATTCGTTGCCAGTGGACTTCACAGAGAAAAGATACAACACTGCCCTTTGAGAACACAATTGAAGCAATTTGTTCCCATACAATGATATCCGAGATCGAGGTATCGACCAGGGTGCAGCCTCTGCTCCACAAGGGCGCGCACCTGCACAAACCCCAATATTGTCAGGAACATGAACGATCGCAGAGCTGCCGAGATCTGACAGAAATTGGAGAGTTTGAGAGAGGACAACTGCCCAGTGCCTTTTTGTAAGCTGCTGGTTCGTCCCGAGTTGTGAGGGAGGTGCGGGATGTCAAGGTTGAACCCTGCCTGCATCTCGTTCTTGCCCAATCTGGACATGCAACACATGGCAGGAAGCCTCCTTTCCAAACTGGTGGTGAATACCCTCACTTCCTGCCTTTCGAGAATCACCATTGATGAGAGTTCACTGCAGACCCGTGCGAATCTCTGGCTCACTCTTTTCCTCCAACCTTTATCTTCGCTGTTTGATCAAACCATTTTTTTCTGGCACCGCCCTTTGACACCTACTCACTCACGTTTCTACCCTCTTCCTATTCCTTTATCCTTGCGATAGTTTGTCGTAGCTACACCTTTTACCGCCTCAATACCTCACCTACGAGCAAGCACCAACAGATCAACCTTCAAGATGCGCTCCACCGCAGTCCTCGCCGCCTTCCTGGCCTCTGCCCCTGGCCTGGCCCTCGCATCCGGATACCTGGGCTTCGCTCTCGGTTCGAAGCAGCCGGACGGGCAGTGCAAGTATCAGGCAGACTACGAAGCGGACTTCAGGGCCATCCGAGATGCTTCGGGAAGCAGCATCGTCCGCATCTATGCTGCTGACCAGTGCAACACTACCCAGTATATTCTTCCTGCGGCCAAGCAGGAGGAATTCCAGGTGATTCTGGGCATTTGGTAGGCCAACCTTGTTCGGCGATATACTTCACCTTACCCCAAATCGAATGAAGCTTAATTGGGAAAGTGCTCCCGCTGACTCGGACAGGCCCGATACCGAAGAGTCGTACGCCGCCGACAAGGCCGCAATCCTGAAGCACACACCCGGCTACGAGGACCAAGTCTACGCCATCACTGTCGGATCAGAGTCCATGTACCGCGGCAACTTCACCGGCACCGAGCTGGCGGACAAGATCAAGGACATAAAGAAGGCGGCCCCGCTCTTCAAGATCGGCACCGCGGACAGCTGGAACAAGTATCAAGACGGCACGGCCGATGCCGTCATCAAGGAAGCCGACATTCTTCTTACCAACGCCTTTTCCTACTGGCAGGGTCAGACGCGCGACAACGCCACTGCCTGCTTCTTCGACTCCATCATGCAAGCGTTTGGACGCATCCAGAGCGTCAGCGGATCGCTCACCAAGCCTGAGCTGTGGGTTGGCGAGACGGGTAAGTCGGACTGCTTTACTCGTCACTCCGATCTTGGTGGTTGCCTTATTGGTGATCTTGATCATCTATGTCATACATCCTGAGCAATGATCGCCATACCGAATGATTGTACACGCGCATCGTGAACGTATTGCTGACAAGTTCGACTGAACTTAGGTTGGCCCAGTGAAGGTGCAAAGTATCAGCAGGCGATCCCGGGACAGGACAACGCTCAGGCTTTCTACGATTCTGGTGTCTGCGGTATGGTCAATTGGGGCTTCAACGTGTTCTTCTTCGAGGCCTTTGACGAGCCCTGGAAGCCACATGCCATTGGTGAAGATGGCAGCGAGGCACCCGAGACTCATTGGGGCGGAATGAAGGCCGACCGTGCCCCCAAGTACCCCCTCAGATGTTGAGCGATGGCGGCTACTGATTCACTTGATTACACACACCTTGGAGGAATGTTTAGTATCGGGCAGAGGAAGGCATTTCAGATGGCATGGGCGGCGTTTGTTTCGTTGACGAAAGATTGTCACAGAAAACCATGATACCCTAAGAAACGGAATTCAATATTTACACTTTGCTTCCTCATCTGGTAGTCGATGGAATGAATCCCAAAGAAGTCTGACAAGCGAATGAAAAACCTCGATCGGGAGGGCCTGTTTCTATTTTCTGCGCATCTGACGCGTGGGCAAAGTGGTCAGTGTGGGTGTCGAATACTCGAGTTGTCTCGGGACCGAGGGGGAGGGAAGAGCGCGAGGCCCAGGTATCCAGGTCAACGGCCAGGTACGCGCGCATGCAGAGCGTCGATACGTACTTACGTAGGCCAAGCTCTCGGTGAAAAAGGGCGAGTTAATGTACCTTATTCTCCGTGCCCGTCTGTGTGGGTGCTCGAGGGTACGATGTCATAGGTCATAGGTCCCACGGGTGCGTTGTTGAGTTTGGGGGATTTTGAGTTGCGACATTAAGGTTTTTGCGGCTCACGTATAGGGCATGGTGCCGTCCAGTGCCGCAATACCTTAAGAAGTAGGGTAAGGTATTTCGTGGGCTTTAAGGTGTGGAAGGTTACAACGGTTGCCGCTGGCAGGGTGGAGATTGGGGGCAAGAACATGGAAGAGACAAAGGAAGGGGGGGGGGGGGGGGAGTGACGGATTGGGGGATCTGGAACACGGCCAAGTCGGGACGAAACCGAGGCACGGGCGGGGGAATGGGGAATTGGTCTCGGGTTTTGCTGCATTTTGCAGTGGGCAAGCTGAGCGTCTGAAGTCTGAGGTGGTTTCGCGTATCAGGATTTGCGGCTTGGGGGAGTTTTAGCATTTCAGGCACGCGGAAGTCTAAAACATCTATGCCGTTGGAACCTGGCAGGGGTGGATGGACGACGTGCGTTTGTCGCGGTGAGAGGGGGGAAAGATGGTTGTAGCAGACGTTGCGCGAGGCGTTGCGCCACTTGGGTATGGTTGTTGGTGTTTGATGGGCGCCATGGCTTGTCTGGCGTGAGTATCATCCGCGTTCGCTTAGATTCATTGGTGGGGGTTGAGCTTTCGGTGAGTAACGGTTCCAGGCAGTTAGTCGCATCATCAACGAAGAGGGGAACGGGGGGTGATATCCAATATTTTTGAAATTCTTTTGTAAGATGAGAAAAGGGTGATCTAGTATATGGTAAAAAATTGGAGGGGAATAAGAAGAGAAATTTGGTGAAGAATATGCCAAGACCGCGCTGGTGATGTCGTGCTGCCGGCGCTCCCACCTCGCGGAGGTCCGTAGGGGAAGCTCAACGGAAAGACCAGCAAAAACAAGCAGACGCAACGTCTTGGATGCCAACATTAGTTTTGGGGGTGACCATAATCCTCCGCTGTAAGGTCCACTGACGACGTCCTCCTGTCTCTCTGCCACTCCATCTCTCACTCGCCCATGTCGTCAGTCATCGTCGTTTTGATGGAAAATGCCCAAATAGTATTCCGCCTGAAATAACAACCGCTGATGCTGATGGATGCTTTGTGAACCGGTCACATATGTAATAAGTCGTAAATGGTACAGACGACGAGCCCGATGGCGTCGTGGTCCTCTCCTTCGTAAAATTTGGCCGTAGAGAAAGGAGAGGCGAGGCCGGGAGTGAGGCGGTTCATCGGAATCGTCGGAGCAAAGGATGCTCACACATCCGCCCATATTGGCTTCAGCAGTGAGGCAACAAGTTGCGTGATGATTGGCTTGCTCCCGACGAGCTCCGGCCTGTCTCTTTCCCGCCGCTTCCTCTCATCGCTTATGATGATACGTTTGACGCTTTGCATAGTAAAGCCAGGCTCACGTTCTCAGAGGACTGGATTGTTATGTTAGTTGTGATCCTAATCAAGTCTAGTTGAGAATGAAGACTTACGCGCAACCTTGAGGCGTCACAACTCCAAAGAAGCAGTCGCCCGAGACCTTTTGTGCTGCGGGCACTACCTGATTTTGATGGACGGGAGTGATGACCACGCCAGCGGTGGCGAGTGACGCGCACAGCGTCGTCAGAATCGCGAGTGAGACCTTCATCTTGTCGTCGGTTGTTGGTGTTCGAGGAGAGGGCGTATTAAACAAAAAAGAAGGCTGCTCAAGATAGCTGCCTTTGCGTTCGCGCGAATCGGACCGGTTCGTTGACGGAGTTCCCAAGTTCCAGTCTCTTTCTGATATCCCGCTTTTTCGTGTTTTGTTTTTCCCTTTGATTTCCAGAATCCTCCTTCTCTCCGAATGATCGTGGAGTTGTTGTTGTTGCTGTTACGGACGTCGAGCTAGCGACGAGTCGTCTTGGTTGGTGAAAGAGTGGCGTTGAAGAAGTATGTACCGGCAGATCGGCAGAAAAATATGTATAGCGAAGGCAAGGTTTTTGGATCAGACCAGCTGGACTAGCAGACACGAGTGCGGGCGGGCGCTCGGTAGGTAAAAAGAGAGAGGCGAGGTGCAGCTTTTGCTGTCCGGGCTACGAGCAACACACGGTAGAGGTGTGATGTAGGTGATGGTGTGCGGAAAGGATTAGACTTTGGGGAGGAAGAATGTGTGGGATGTCGGTGTGTTAAGAGTGAAAGCCCGAAAAAGTGCGTGTGAGCGTGCAGATCTCTTGGCGTGCGTGTGTGGGTTCGTGCGTTGGGTGCGTCTTGCTAGAGGCCGTGTGTTCGTTGTATGGTACGGAGTATTGGTGGCTGTTTGGTGGTATAGGTATGGGAGGTGTACTTGGTTGGTGATCGTGAGACGAGGAGTTGAGATGGTGAGAGAAGACGAGGAAGAAAAAAGAGGGACACGGGTTTTGTGATATCGGACGATGATGAGCTGTGACGAAACTCGTCTCGACAGGGGTGGTGGCACCGGGTAGGCGCGAGTACCTCACTTTTCGACCTCGTACGCACCAAAGGCAGGGAGGGAGACTGGGACAGAGAGGGGCAAAATATGGTGTCGGAGACGAGGCCCAGCTACGTCTCTGGACCCGTACCCAAGCCTTCTTTGAGTGGGAACATCTTTTGACTATTGATGCTAAGCATTCGAGGGACAGGGCATGCTCGACCTCGAGAGCTTGAAGGCAGGGGGGGGATGGTGACCCCTTTGGGGATGGAGGACCGAGATGAGCGGGTGGAGTTTCAGGGTTGAAACCCATTGCGGCGGTGCGCGGTTGCGGTGAGAGTTGGCTTAATGAGTGTGGTCACTCTGGTGAGTCGGTTTTGATTTGCTTCATGGGATGGTGGTGTCGGTTCATTTCACGGGAGGTCTTGGAAGGTGGTCGAGATGGTTCGTGATGGTGTTGTTGAAGCTCGTGGTCGAACGTTGGTGAGTCGACATAGCTTACAGTGCTTCTTTCCCACGGTTACTGACTCTGTGCCGTGTGGCTGCGGACCAGCGCTCGGAGAATAATAACCTAATGCACAGCGCGGACTGCACAAACACAACCGCTGAAGCCGCCGCCAGCAGACCGAGACTAGGACAACCAGGCCACCGTCAGGACTCCAGGAGGGGAAGAGCGGATCGTCAGAGGCTGGATTGGCCTGAAAGGTCTCCAGAGTCCAGCCGCCAAAACCGAGCAGGGCCAAGGAATTAAGGTTGTGCGATTAAAGCAAGGGGCAAAAATCGATTCGATTGGATAGTTGAGGCGACGATATGTCGACAGCCCGAGATACGATGGACGTGGAAAAAAGCAGAGCCGTTGGCATTGGCAGTGTGGGCTCTAGACCTTCTGGAATGGCAGCGGGGATCGATTGGATGGGAGAAGGAACGGCAATTCGGTGCCTGAACCCCTGACTCTTTCCCTGCAGGTTATTGGGCGTGATTGGCTGGAGAGGATGGACTTGGAGGGGACATGCGACACGCCCGGATTCTGAGCCGCGCCACAGAAGGTGACCAGGGGCCACTCAGATGGGCGGGTTCGCCGTTCTGTGGTGGGGAAAGGCGCTGGGTGGGGCTACATGTCACGGACGGGACCGAGGGATGTAAGGGGGAAAGAGGGACGGGGTGATTGATTGGCCAGAGATGGGAGGAAGGGGGAAGGAGGGAGCTTAGCGAGCAGGTCACGTAATCAATCAGTCCTCGAGGAAGGAGGCACCATGATGAAGGCAAGCACGACGAAGAGGCTTGCGCCACAAGCAAGAGGTAATTGTTAGTGTGCCTGGCTGGCGGGTTCCTACTTGCTTACTTAAGGTAATGGAAGCAACCCTCCAACGACAACCCGAGACAGCAACGACAAGGTAAAACCTGGCTGTCGCAACTCTCACGCACATGGCGCACTTGACGGCGTGCCTGGCTGGACCAGGGGCTCCGCTGTCACTTTGGCGGTTTGGCTTTCCAGCTTGTCAGTCTTGATGGGAAAGCCACTGAAAACTTCCTTCCCCCTTGACATGGATTCCGGGATTTTGGTTTGGGAGATCCCATTTGCATTGACTCTCATCAGCCCCCCTCATGGTCATCATCAGTCCACAATCCCACCCCGTCGTGCCCGTCAGCGATTCATCGACGTGATCCCTGGTGGTGATCTGGCGACTCTTCCACGAAATCCTGCCTTGGAGGCCAGTGTCGTTCGCGGATCACTGGCCATCTCTGGGCGCGGCGCCAACTTCAGACCGTCCCTTACGGGATGCCCAGCCCAGCCAACTCGACTTTCCAGACTTGACGGGGGGCTCGGCGCTGGGGGCGGCCTCCCAGGGAAGCTGGACGCGTGGCGGACATGTCTGGACGAGGAGGATCTACCTGATCCAAGGGGGCTTGGGTGAATCGCAGTCGCGGTCATGGATACAGGCACAAGATACGTCGTACCGGCATTTGATGCATCGTGACGAACCCTCGAAACGTGGCTGATGGGCCTCTGATAAGTGGACTGAGTCTTAAACCACTAGCCCTCCTCTTAATTCTGTCAGGCAAGCCGCATTTGCTTCGCCAAAGATACCACGGTACCTGGCATGCAGTCCTGACTGCAGTGGCCCACGATAAACGCAGATAATGCAGCATCCCGCTGATGTAAGTCGCGCTCGTCCTCATCGGCCTCCAACAGGATCCAATTGCCGGGCAACATCTGCCGGGACATACCCTGTTTTCAAAGCACAGTGCTGAAGGGGGGGGAGAAACCCTCTCGTCGTCGTCGAGTTCAGCTGAAGCGGCATATGCAAGTCACAAACCGTCGTGCTTCCCCCTTCAACCGTGGCCCCTCACTATCTTTCCCCCTTCTTGCAGGACTTGCGCCCACGCACGAGCCAGACACTGGACGATTCTCTAGTCTCCCTGTCTGAATGGATGAGTGGATAGATGGCAATGCCTGGCTGACTCTCCCTTGCCCTCCGTCGCCCGTGTGTCTCCTGCGATGCGGCTCTGCCGCTCCGTTCCGTGGGTCCGCCTGTCCTACGCTGATCTTTTGATACGCGCCGGGAAGAAACTGATGTATCTTCCGCGAGGTTTTCTTCATGCCGCGTACAAACGTGTTCTAACCTGAGGGGGCCTGAATACCACCAGATCGTCCGTGAGCTCACGGAAACAGAACGACCTCCCTTCCGGACGTCTTCCGGATGAAGGGTTTTCATCAAGACGATACAGGCACACGTACACAGTCTAACACGTTGAATATCTGCCCAGTCGCCCATCTCTTTCGCTGACCTGTCGATTTCCGTGCCGTCTTGCCCGAGACCCCTCTGTCCTGGTGCGGTCGTGATGGAGAAGGGTCCCGACTCCTTGTTACACAATGTCTCGCTAGGGCGGGTTGGCGGCGGGTGGAACGATTGGATGGGTCTAACGGGTAAATTCTCATCACGCAGACACGGCAGGACCGTTGTCGATGATGTCTGGTGGCTTGTGTGAGGAATGTGATCGAGTCATTGGCCACGTAGGTACGCGCCTTGCGGCCGCGAGTATGAGAATTCGTCATACTTCATTCCTCGGCCGTGCTCTCTGTCGAGTTGAAGCGACGTCATCAGCCTTGGTCTGTGTTACTTCTGAAGACATATGGGTAAGTAAACTAATAATTTTTTACTACTTTGATTCAGGAGAATGGGCCGTGAGATATTTGGTATGGTAAGCGCTGCCCGCACCAAACGTATTGTTCTGAAGCCTCCATCCCATAGGGTGCCGAACACCACCGGCACACAGATACACGCATTCAATTAAGGTAGTAACGAGTAACACGTCGATCTTCTCTTATTCTCATTATATCTACATGTGGAACATATGTATCAAAGGCTGTCGAAAAGAAATTGAGGAAGATATTGACGCGACTCGTCACTCGATGAGATTAAGTCAGCTCTGATCCGTTTTGTGCCATAATTTTAGTATAGCCCAACATGCAGCTATACTACATTTCGGTCACCCAACCCTTAAAACGGTGTTAAAATTACGTTCCGATAGGCGTACTCATTACTGGTATCTCCTGCGGAGACTAACACTCGGGGGGACTTGGCGGGGCGCCTCCATCTTGTTTTTATTTCTTTTTTTTCTAAAAAAAATCCAGGCACCTGGTCAAGGTATTACGAGATAGATGTGGTGTTGTTCGCATTGACCGTCTTGTTTTTGGAACACAACTTCGGAATGCGAACTGTGAATTTATATTATCTGACAGCTGTCTGGGCGATAATTTGAGACAGGCTGGTCTTTTCGTACCTCTTTAGCAGAGGCAGAAGTTGGTAGTCCTAACTCCTAACTTGTCTTATAACAGTCACGTTGAATTTATGGTCATTTAGTCACGCACGGGTGTTCATTCTTCAGCCCCTTCGATAGCTAGACTCATGAAACCGCCTACTACTCAAGCAGCCTATTCCGAGCTTTCAAGACTTCCTGCTCATCCTTTCTTTCTTTGGTGGGTCCAACTTCTGGCTTTGATCCTCAACCTTTTTCTTTCATTCAACCGTTTGTGAATCCTGCGTATGTTTCGCGATACACTCCATGACTTCTGTGAAATTATGTGTAAGCGGATGGTCGGAGCCCATTTCATCGACGCTGCGCTGGTAACCGTTCTCTAGGATGTTCTTTGATTCTTCCCACTTGCCAAGTTTGTGCTTGATGAACCCCAGATGATACCTGCAGCTAAGTACAAGGTATCCAGTGTCGCCATGTATTACTTGAAACAACTGCAGCGCGTGAGCGATACTTTCTTCTGCGTCTTCGAACAACTCTAGTTCATGCTGTAGAATGGCCAAATTCCGAAGTGCGTTGGCTTCCTCGCTCGACCTGGGTTGAGATTCTCCGAATTTCTTGCACAGACGCACAACTTGGCGCTGAGTATTCATTGCTTCTAGACCGCGACCTTGTCGGTGCAAGATAAACGCCAGCATACTCAATGCATTGGCATGGATATTAGATGCCTCGGATCTATCCAACGTTTTGGATAGGAGCTGACGACATATTCTCTCTGCATCTTGCAAATTCCCTTCTGAGGCGAGCGTGGAAGCCACTAGGAAGACAGACCAAAAATTGGCAGCTTTACCGGATGCTAACGTCTCTTCCACTATGCTGAATACCTCTAAGTATGTTTCTTCCGCATTTTCTATGTCGCCCAGCTTGTGAAGTGCCATGCCTAAGTAAAGCATCAGGCATGCTTTTTGCCTGAGGGGCGGAGCATCGTCACTAATTAGTAAGTCTAGTGCTTCTCCGTAATCTCCTAACTTTAGAAACAACCTAACAAGGTTTTCTATCGTCAAAAGCTTGGTTTTACTATTCTGAGGTAGGATGGTATGTAGCTCTATGAGGATTTGCTTCGCTTCTTGGTTGCGGTTGAGACGTTGAAGAATCGTTGCCTTGAGCCGTCTTGCTTCAAAATAGGACTCTTTCTGCTGATTGTATTCTTTTGTTTCCAAGGCTGCTTCAACATAGTCGAGTGCGAGCCTATGCTGGTCAACAAAGCAGTAAAATATCGCCATGCTGTGCCTAATCCTGAAGATCGAAGCGTTGCCCACGAAGGTATTCTCTGCATTTGCCGCTAATAAAGCTTGATAATGAGGAATAGTCTTGTGAGAAAAAGGGAAAGCCCCTATTGAAGCTGAGAAGAATTCGGCCAGCGTTTCTAGCGCCCTTCCGAAGAACCGCCTGGCGGAGCCCTTCCGCTTGAGCCAATCTGCGGTTGCCAACTGAACGAGACGATGCATGCATAAGGTCCCGTCTTTGTTCTCCTTGATGAATGAGAAGGCCTTGAGAATACCTAGAGCTTGCTCGAGAAGAATCGAATAAGCCCCATCTCGCTCAAAATTTTCTAGACTTTGGTCTGGATCTCCGGAGTATTCACTGATGTGGTCCTCACTTGAGTTGCAAATTTCTTTCCTGGAGTCGTCCTCGAAGTCATTTGAGGTTTGTATTTCTGCGTCGAAATCGAGATACGCCTTGTAATGTCTGGCTTCGTCTTGTCCTGGTGACGATCCACTGTCGTCGCTTTCATTGTCGAATAGTTTCTTTTTGCGACGTACTTCCAAGTACATATAGATAGTTATGAACTGCCTTTGAATCGCTTGACGATCAAAGAAAGCCATCATCGACAAGATATCGGCCGCAAGTGGGTTCTTTTCCTTGATGTGCTCGAAAGACACCACCCACGTCGCCGTTACAGCGTGTGGAACGTCTGCGTCTCGACCAACGGCTTCGAAATTCCCACCCAGTAACTGAACTTCGACACTATTGCTCTTGTTCAGAATATCAAGATATTTATCTAGGCTCATGCAGTTTTCATGCATGAAAGCTGCAGCTTGGGCAATAGCGAGTGGCAGGTTTTCAAGGCGGTTTGAAAGGACGGTAAAGGCATCCATTGACAGCGACGAGTCTCCAGTTATCTCGCGAATCATTTGTACCGACTCTCCATCGCTCATGGGTCCAACTTCCAGCAATGGTTGGCCCGGGACAAGTCTCGATCCCGCTTCTTTGTTCCGTGTCATAACGAGGATCGAGCCATTGCCATATTTAGGAAGGAAGCGGGCCATATGTTAAGAGTCTAGCCCACGTAAGTCTACGTTAGGGGGATTTTAGTATATAGAATCTAAACTAAGGAGTAGAGGTTTTTAGAGCAGAGGTTCTATAGAGGTTCTATAAAGGAAAAGCGTTTAAATAAGACCTCTATAAAAGCGGCGCGGTAAGCCGTAATAATATTTAGGCTAAAGCTCGGATTTATTAATCGGGTTTAGCCTGTAATACGTACCCCCTTACTTCGCTTCTAAAGCGAATCCGCTACTAGTCCGTTTTTTAATTATAAATACCCTAGGTAGTTAATTACTTTATTTTAATTTACTAACTAGCTACCCGCGGTCCTTTTTATTAATTTCCATTAGGCCCCCCCCTTTTATAAAAAGCTTTTTCTTTTTAACCTTTACGTAACGATTTATAAATACTCTAATTTATTTATTTCCGCGCTTTTACTACTTAAATTTCGTTAATTTATTATAAAAATCTAATTTTTAATAAGCCCGCCGTCCCCGCTATTATTTTTTATATATATAATCTCTTTTTTACGCTCGCGCGCCCGCGCGCGTTTAAAAACCCTTTTTTAACCTAGGAAATAGTTAAATAAATATTTTATATACCGCTACTATTATATTTTTTATATATTATTGCTCCGCGGCCTTTTAGCTTTTTATTTATTATTAACGTTTTAATAATTCGTTCTCGTTAATTAGCCCGCCGCTATTACTATACTTACTAAGCCCGTTACTTTATTTAATAACGAGGGTAGTGCGGATAGTAAAGAGTTAGAGTTTAGCTTTAACTCCGAGCTATTATCCGTTTACCTCTTTAAGGACGAGTCGGACGTCTAGATAGTACGTTAAACCTATATAGCGTATCCGTTCTCTATTTATAAAGTCCGTTAACTTTATATTTAGTTAATGTTTAATAAAAAGGGTAAAAGAAAAAAGAAGGAAGAGGAGAAGAAGAAGGAGTATAAACTTAAAGAGGCTCTTATATTAGGTACCCTATACGAGGTCCCCTATTTCCTTTATATATAAGCGCTGGCTAAAGGTAGCGATGCCCTAGCTAGCGTTAGTTATTACGACTACTTTTATATACTAAGCTACCGTTATTTACCCGTTTATAAGTTATTAATTTATTATAAAGCTAAAGGTATTATTTGCTGCGCTATTTATATTAATAGTAAGGCTAATTATTATTACGACTCTATATATTTATTGCTATTGTTTTTTATTTATTTTATAATTATTAACTTATTATTTTTAGTTTAATGACGTTATTAAAGCTATTTAGGTAGAGTTTTCCTAGGTAGTCGAGGAGTATTACTAGCTATTAACCTCTATTATAAACGACCCTGCTTTTAAAGCCGTTATACGTCTACTTAATATCCGTTATTTATATATTGTTAACCGTTCTTTTTTCGTTATTAATATAAGGACTTTATAGGTACTTTTAGCCGTTTATATATTGTCGCTATTACTTAAACTAAGGCCGAGAATAAAGAGGCCCGCGCCCGCTATAATACTCGCGCTATAACTACTTCTTTTATTATTAAAATACTTACCCCCCGCGTAACCCCCGCTATTACCTTTACCGCTACCTTTATTATTAAAAGCGCGGCCTTTTTTATTATAGAGGAGGCCCGCGCTATTAACGAGTATTATTAAGCCCTCGTTTCTCTTTACGTTACTATAAGTACTTCTTTTATACTCTCTTTTTTTATAATTAATTTATTTTTAGGCCGCGGCTCGTTACTAGCCTCCCCTTGCCTAGGCCGGGAAAGGTAGCTAGCCCTCGGTCTTTAGACCTTGGGCGGCCCCTTTTTACGTTTATAGTATTACCGTTAGCTTTATATTATACTTTGCGGGGCTAAATAGTTTTCTAGCCTATGGGCCTTAACTTAGTTACTTTTTTATTTTCTATTTAATACCCGTTTTCTTTTTATTATTATGATTTATATAATTATTACGGGCTTTTAGCGCTTTTTAATTTTATTTTAGTAGCTCGGGTTACTATTAAACTTTTTAGCGGGCTTATAGCGTAGTTTAAACTCTTTTAGGGCGTCCGTTAAATAGAGTAAAAATAGGGGTTTTTATATTAGTTTTTAATAGCCCTCCTATTTAACGAGGACTTCCCTTTATTATCCGCGGCCTATATGCTTTTATTGCGCTATAAGTACTTTTTTAATTAATTAATAGTCCTCGTCGTTTTTTTTTAATTAGAAGGGGCCTTTTGTTTGTCCGCTATTAGTTTAGTAAAGGGTCGTTCGCTATATACTATAGTATATTAATGTAGAAATAGAAGTAAATATTATTAAGTACGTTAAGCTATATAACGGTAGGTTTTATAACCTCGACTATTTTATATTTATAGTATAGTTAGTCTAACTTTTTGCTAGGTCTAGAGGACTTATAATTGCCTATATATAGCTATACTTTATTACCGATTTCGAAGCGCTTTATTAGCGTTTTTTATCTATTAATTAAGCGCTCTATTCGTTTTTATAAAGCGGCTATAGTAGCCTAGGTAAACTTCGTTATTTTTATAAGTTTTTATATTATAAAATTAGCTTTTATTTCTTGCTCGTTCGCTACTTTTAGTATATTTTTTTAAATCTTTAAGGGCTCGACGTTATACTCGTACTTTATAAAGAAAGGTAAGAGCTCTATTATTAAAGCTATTCGGTTATTAAAGCTTAGTTAAGTAGTTAATAGCTAGTCTTTTTAGTTATTTTAAGTATATATAATTATACGTTATAAGATTGTTTTGATCTTCTAGTTAAATTATTTAGTTAACTTATCGGTCTATAGGTAAAAAGCGGTACTTAGGCGCTACTTTATCCTTACTTTTATATAGAATCGGTATTAGAATTTATTAATTTAATTACTATTATAATCGTTTATAATAGACCGAGGTATTCTATAGAATTAAAAGTAGTAGTTAATAAAGCGGTCTGCGTAGGCCTTTATTTTTATAAATATTATCGGTTTGAGAGTAACGGACTTTATGAAGCGGTTAATTATTATTTATAAAAACTGGGCGCCGCTCTTTAATAATAGGGGGAGGTCGGTAATAAAGTTTATTGCTAGGTCGCTTTTTATTTATTTTAGTATTATAAGAGGCTATAAGAGGCCGCGTTTAGCTTACTGTTATATAGTATTCCCTTTATAAATATTATAATTTTAAATAAACCTTTTTATTACGCTAGATTAGCTTAGTTAATAGAACTACCTAGATAGGATAGCCGCGGTAGTGTTTTTATTAGGGTAGTTCGTTATTAGAGATCTATAGTAGCGCTAAATTATTTTTATTTAGAGCGCGTTATCGTTATAGTCCGGGTCTTTATATTTAGAGACCTATAGTCTTTCTCGCTAAGTTAGTTTTAAAAGTGCGTTAATATTGTATTTTATGATTTATAGTTTAAGGCTTAATTTAGGGGGGAGCGCCCTAGCTCTACTTAATATTACTTTATATATTTTAAAGTATTGCTTATCTTTTGCTTTTATTTTGTTCTATTGTTATTAGAGCTCTATATCGTTTATAAAAATATTAGTCTCGGGTAGCTCGGGTATTTTTATAATTTTAGTTTAGCGGACTACGCTAGTTACTAGCTAAATAGAGTCGGGAATTATTTAAATAATCCTTCCCCTCTCTTTTTTATTATCCTAGCCGGTTAGGGCGTTTTATTTATGCTTAGAGAGCGCGTTTAGGGTGGTTAATAAACGGCCTAGGTAGTATTCGATTTTAAAATAATATTATAAAAGTTGTTCTATTTAACGGCTCTAGCGCTCGGTTAGCTTTTACTTTTATATAAAATACTTTAACCCTTTATAGTTTATAATAACTTTAAATCTATAAGAGCTCTATAGCTCTACGTCCTACGTACTTAAATAGGATATTATAGCGAGGAGCTCTTTATTATAAATTAAATAGTTATATTAAGTAGGCGTAAGCTTTTATAAATAAAAAGCGATTAGTTAGTATATACTTAACGGATTTTTTTATACGAGGGAGCTTTTAAATATAAATCTAGAGTAATCGGTTTTAATGACTATCGCTAAGTTAAGGTTAAAGCTTTAAAATAAAGGCGCGGATATAAAACGCTCTTTAAGCGTTTTAAAAGTAGTATTTTACTTAGCCGTTTATTTAAACGGCGCCCCTTTTTTAGTTAGGGCGTTAAGGGGTTTAATAATAGCGGAGTAGTTATATATAAATACGCGGTAGTAATTAGCGAAGCTAAAGAAGCTTTTAACCCCTTTTACTATTTTAGGTACGAGCTATTTATAAATAGTATATACTTTCTTTAGGTTGTACGCGATCTTTTATCCCGCTTTAAAGATAAATTTAATATATTTTATAGTTTAAATAGAGAACTCGTTTTTAGCTAGGTCGAGATTAAGGCCCGCCGCTACGAGGGCGCGTAATATTCGCTATACCTTTTTTTTATAGTCCGCTTTTAATTTATTTAAATATATTAATATATTATCTATATATATAGAGGCGAAGTTATTAAGGAATTCTTTTAGGGTCTAGTTTATATACCTTTAAAATATAGTAGGCGCCCCGGTTAGGCTAAATAAATAAACTATTTATTTAAAAAGGCCGTATTATATTTAAAAAGCGGTCTTTTTTTAATACCCTTTAACTACTCTAATTTTATAAAAGGCCGCTACGACGTTTAGTTTTATAAATTATTTTGCTAAACTAATTTTTTAAAGGGTTTTATTAATTAATAATAAGGGGTAGCGGTCCTTTTATGTAATTGCGTTTAACGTTTTATAGTCGTAATAAAAGTATAGGCCGCCCCCTAGTTTTTTAATAAAAAGAACGGGGGCTTTAATAGAAGAGCTGCTAGCTTAAATAAAGCCCTTATTAAATAGGTTTTTAAAAGTATTACGTAGTATTAGTAGCTCTTTGCGGGATATAGAATAAAGGGGGCCCTAGGGGAGGGGCGCTTTTTATTTATTAAATTACCGCTCGAAGTTAATTATAAAGTTAATTTTTAACTAAGCCGGTAAAAGGGGGTATACTTTAAATAGTTCGAAGAGGTTACTATATTCTTTTTTTTTATTATAGTAGCTAAGAGAAGTGGTCGGTCTTACTCTTTAGCTTTAGGGCTTTATTAATATCGACGAGGCTAATTATTTAGATCCCCGCGGTATATTTATTTAGCTAGCGCTTTTCTTTTATAATAACTTTACGATATAAAGTAATAAAAGAGGGGGCTCTTAGGCTTTATATTTTATAAATCTCTTATACTATAGCGCCTTTTTTTTATTTATTAAAGTACGCTTTTATTTTACCTTTTTTATATTAGATCTATTATTTAGTTATATTATATATAACGCGGTTCCGTTTTATTTAGGGTTTTTTAAGGAATACGTCTATATCTAGGCCTTTAATAATATATATATATACCTTTTCTATATAGTTATTAATCTCGAGGTTAAAAGTAATAACCTTTTTAGTTATAGTTTAGGCGGACTTATCTACGAATTTATAAAGTCTATACTTCGTTTTATTTATATATAGGAGGTAAAGACGGCGGGCTAGTTAAGAGTTTATTATAAAATATATATTATATCTATAGTTTATTAACGTTAGAGTTTTATATATTTTATTAATCTTTATGGTAAATAGCGCTAAAGGCCTGCTTATAGTCCGTTATTAGTTAAATAACTTTTATCTTATCCGTTTTTTATTTATAGGCTCCGGTACCCGATTTTATATTAGAGCTATTCTTTTTTTAAATAATATTCGTTATTATCCGAGTTTACTTTTTTTATACAGTGCTCTATAGGCGCTATTTAAGCTATGCGGGCTTCCCGCTTTTATTTATAGTTCTTTGTAATATATCCGACTTTATTATAATTAAAGTAGTACTAAGTCTTTAGCTTTATTAATAGCTTTGCTTTTTATTTAGGCTTTATAACTTTTACGGCTCTAGTTATAGTTATATCTCCGTCGCTATTAACGTATTCTTTTATTATATAATATTTTTTTATATCGGAATTTAGGGGTTACGCTAGTCGAAGTCGTAGCCCTTTATATTACTAGTTATTACCTAGACGCTATAAAGGAAGCCGGTATATAACGACTTATTTTAAAATATAGCGATTATATATTTTTTTAATTATAGAGCTAAAGCGCGGGTAAAGTATTAAATCGTAACGTTTATAGGCTACTTTTAGCCTCTAGCGTTAGTTAAGGTTTTTTTAAATCGGGGTAGGAATACTGCGAACTTCTTGCCCTTTTTTATAATTATTATTAATAGTTCGTTAAGGGCGTTCTTAGCTTAATAAGGGTCGTTATATACTTATAAAAGGTATACGAGGAGTTTATTAAACCCTCGTTTTTTATTTTTCTTTTTTTTATAATAGAATTAGTTTATTACTTTTTAAACCCGAGGGGCGAGGTACGAAAAAATAAAATATTTCCGTTCTTTATTAATATAGTAAAATAGCGTATCGATAACGAGTTTGTTACGTATCTAGGCTTTTTAAATACTATATTCGTTTTTATTATCTAAGAACTTTACTAGGTCCGGTAAGGGCTTTTTACGGGGGGCTCTATTATCGAAGGGCGCCTCTAGGCTAGCGGGGGTTTTATAGAGGTCGGGTTCTTTAATAAAAAGCGCGGGGGGTCCGTTTATTTATTAAAGCTACTTTTATAATAGCTATAAAATTTTATTAGACTTTTTATATTCGCGCTTCTACTCTACCGTATTTATTACTTTTTTTATTTTACTTTACCTCTAAGCTTCCGTTAGTTCTTATAAGCCCTAAATAATCTATTCCTAGGTCTACGTTATAGCTCTCGCTAACTAAGTACCTAGCGGTACATTAATAGTTATATTCGTTTTTATTATATAATATAATTAGTAATAAAGTAAATAAAAAAAGGAGCTTAAATATATTAAAAGTTTAGCCTATATAAGTCTACGTTAGGGGGATTTTAATATATAGAATCTAAATTAAGGAGTAGAGGTTTTTAGAGCGGAGGTTCTATAGAGGTTCTATAGAGGAAAAGCGCTTAAATAGGACCTCTATAGAAGCGGCGCGGTGAGCCGTGGTAGTATCCGGGCTGAGGCTCGGATCCACTAATCGGGTCTAGCCCGTAACACTATGTTGCCGTTACCGCCATTCAATTCGACGTTAGATGGACTGGTATTGCTGGGTTGAGTATGATTATTAAAGAACAGCTCAGTATTGTCGGCATTGTCGAGAACTAGAAACCAGGGGCCAGCCTTCTGTCGCTGAAACCAAGATTTTACGAGCGTTAGCACGTCGATGTTACGGTCACTACGCCCGGCAATGTTGTATTCTTCCGCAATATCAGAGTAGGCTTGACGAAACCGATCGGAATCACTGGCGTGCACCCAGAAAACCGATATTTCAGGATGGGTCTTGCGTAGCCAGTAGGTATACGCAATGGCGATTTGCGTCTTTCTACGCAGTTAGCGCATTGAACCTTTTGGGTGACTTCGAACGACGTACCCGATCCCTCCGAGGCCATAAAGACAGACTCGAGATCTAGCATCTTCAATGTCGTCCTCGGGACCATGGCAAAATTCACTCTTGAGATGTTCAAAGACATCGGGCCGTTCGACAAAACTATTGTTTTTCGCATATGGTACAAGAACTGTTCGCATTCATCAATTATGAACTCATCTTTGAATCACTTCTAGCTACGTACATTTGGATGCCGTCTTCTTTTGTGGAGTTGTGGACCTCTTCTCATTTTGGTCCTCAACTGCTGGAGGTGGCATGCTTTGACGTTGTGGTACAGAGACTTTTCGATCAAACCTCTTGATCCAAGTTCGAAGTTCATCGCATACATCGATAAATCCAGAATCCTCAAGACTACTGAACTTCACCATGGTATGATGCGTTCCATGTATTCCAATGGCATCTTTACCTGGGAAGATGGCTGAGTGTTGAGGAACGACCTGATATTGTTGACGCAGATTAGTCACTAGCATCCGTACAATTGGCCAGGTCAACTAACCAGCCCGATTCCAGGAAGAGGCAGCTCCTCGTAGAAGCACGTAATCTGAATAGTGCCGACACCCTCCTGTGTCTGGGATTGTGTCATGTTGTGAAAATTGTCCTGAATCTCGGCGAGAACCTCCGACTCAGGTCTGAGAACGCCGAGGATTTCGGTATTTGTCTGCTTTAGCACTCCGACGGATTTGCCAAGTCGTTCTGCCCACACAGCAAGAGCTGAGCCGTGGTGCGGTGTACCGAGGAAGAGTATGCCTCGGGTCGCTTCGAGAACTTCTTTAAGGTGTTCTCTTGTGTAGGCGCGGGCAAGAGCCTGTCGAAGGATGAGATTAACATGGCAGTACTATTTCTTGGTTTCCCCTCAACGTTCATGACGGTGAACACTTGGGTGACACGTACAGCTTGACAGACCAGTCCACCCAGGCTGTGACAGACAAATATGATGCGGACGCGCAGACTGAGAACGTTAAAAAAGCGCTTAGCAACGGCAAACAGAACGACCCACGCTGTCGGTTCGATCTCGAAAGTTCGTAAGTCTCTTCAAAAAAGTCGCCGCATGGTCTCGAATGCGACTGACTGAGACCATCTCGGTAGCCTTAGCCACATCTGCATCGTAGCCGTACGCCAGAATTCGAGCATTCGGTATTTCGGACGGGAGCAAAGCTTTGGGCCAAGGCTCAGATGCCTTGTCTGATGTCCAAGTCTTTTCGCGATGACCTTTCAAGCCATGGATGAAGACGATGCTATCGAGACGTCTATTAGCATACGCGATGGTTCATTCCACACCGGGAAATACTGACTCCACAGCAGCGTTTCCCTCGGAGGGATTGTGCAACACGCTCATGCCTATTGGACCAGACGAGCTTGTAGTCAATTCGTCTGCCCCACGTGAAGCCATGGTGTTCGACCCATGTAGGCTTATCGACGGGACCGGAGGAAATACATTGGTGGAAATATTGGGCACTTCCTCCTGCGCGTCATTCCTAGGTCGCTTGTCGGGTTTCTCGTGGTCCTTGCGCCAGTCTGTCTGAAAAAGACGCTTCATTGGTACGACGATAATGACTTGAGGTTCTAGTAGCCTGAAATCTCATGAAACCCGGATCACCTAGGATACAAGACGAGGTAAAAGTAGAAGAGAAAATAGGGGAAAGTAGGTGATGAGGTGTCTCAGCCGCATGAAAGGGGCATAGACTGACGAGGGCCCCTGTCGATTCATTGAGGCACAGCCTGATCACGCGTGACCAACATCTTTCGACCAATCAAAAAGGCACCTCGCTTTTGGCAGATTAAGTTGCAAAAGCAAAGAAAAATCACGTTCTGCAGCTTTCTATTTGAGAGAAACTCCTCATGCAGTCAAATATCCCGAAAGTAGGGGCTCATCATCATAGCACCTCGCTATTGGGACATCAGTCTTATAGTACAGAGCTCTATTCAACACCCGATTTCTCACGAAGACTAAGTACATACAGTAGCTACCTTTGAATAGACGCATTCTCTAGCTTGAGACTTGCCGGATCTTGCCCTTTTAAGGAAACTCTCATGGTGAATCAAACCTGTGGGTATTTGACGAGCTAGCATTCCTCTGTCCGCTTTTCAAGCATCTACTCTTAGAATACCAGGGATTGGGTGTTCATGTAGTACCCGCGAAGGAAACATCATGCCGGGTATTATCTGCTCATTAAGTTGGTATGTCTGTCGTTCTTGCCGTCACCGTGACTTGCGCGGAGTGGAGTGCCGTTGAGTGGGTCGTTGTACGTGGCGATTCATTTAGTTCCGGAGACTCCCCTTAGACCTGGCATAGTTGAAGAGAGGATGAATCCAAGTTTCGACAGCGGAGAGTTCGTAAATGTTCACTAACCTAAATTTAATTACCTCTTGGAAATGCGATTTTGCCGCGATTCGGAAAACATCTAGGTGCAGTTCCTAGATCAACGTAGATCCTAGGTCCCTTGGTTGAAGCGTTCATTCTCTACTCTTTCTGCACATAGTTGAAAAAACCTGTACGAAAGTAACGAATACTTGAAGGAATGGCTCAAACATTAGCCTCCTAAACTTTCAGCGCTGTCAGGCTGGAAGACGGGAATCATGGGAACGGCTGCATTGTGACTATCGACGAAGAGCCGCTCGGATCCGATGGGACAACACGCGGAGATTGATGCGGAGCCCCATCGCGGGCCGCATTTAGTCAAGAGATACCAGGAAAAGCTTGATTTAACAAGCTAACTCCTCGGTTGCTCCAATTAGTGGACCAAGACAACGGTAGAGGTCGGTATGCATACCGGAATTACAAGCTCGATTTGGCCAATGTGCTTTTCTCCATCATTGCACTTACCGAGGCCTTTCGTCTATAATGGGAAACAAAAGTTCCATCCACTTGGTCCGCAGCTCGGTCTTTCGTTATGTGGCGTGCAACGGAACGGAGCTTAGATTCTCTACGACCTGTAAAGAATTATCTCCTCCCAGGTATAGCAAATTCGAGAGGGCACTCGGTGATATCGGTCGGCATGTCCCCAACTGAGACGTCAGTCGACACTTGAGTCAGAGAGGCGAAAAGTTGACCAGATTAGGTCGGAAAATACAGGGAAAAGAGGAGAAACTGACAAGAAAGATCAGGGGGGGCTTTCCGTCTTGAAAACGATAGACTTCGAAATATAAATACTGGGATACTTTCTTTTAATTCTCTTTTTCATATCATCAGCTCTTCACCCTTTACTCGCATCATTTGTCTTACAGTAGTGGCAAAAATGTCCTCTTCCTTGAAGTTTCTGGTTTATGGCTGTGCAGCTGCCATGGCCGTGGCAAGCTCGCTGCCTTCGTCGAACTCGAGCGCCACCAGAGCAGCTGTGAAGAAATTTCCTGAGTGCACCTCGTTGCATCAGAGAAAGTCCTGGTATTTTGGATTAGGTTCGGGTTCCTCAAAATGCTTCTCTAACGAAATCCCAGGACTGCGATGACGACCACCGAGAAGAAGGCCTACATCGACGCCGAGCTCTGCTTGATGAACAAGGCCCCCAAGCTGGGCGTCGCCGGCTCGCAGAACCTTTGGGATGACATGATGTACGCCCACATCTACCAGGCCAATGTCATCCACAACGACGGTCCGTTCCTTCCCTGGCACAGACTGTACAGTAAGTCTCGTTTCGTCATCATAGTTGAGGACAAGCAATAAGGAAGCAACATCGCAGTGCGTGTCCATGAGGTCTATCTCCAGACCGAGTGCGGCTACGAAGGAGGTCAACCCTACTGGAATGAGCTGGAGGATGCCGAAGCCGGTTTCTTGAACCAATCTACCGTCTTCGACGCCGAGACCGGATTCGGAAGCTTCAAGAATGGCGACAATGGCTGCGTTGCCGATGGGCCGTTTGTGAACCTGACGATGCACTTGAACCAGACCAGCAGCGATGCGAACTTCTGCTTGACCCGCGATCTCGACCAAGACAGCTTCTACCAGGCCAACAGCACCTACGTCAGCGAATGCATGGCCATCGATACCTACGTCGACTCGTGGAACTGTTGGGGCACGGCACCCCATCTTGCCGGCCACATGGGCGTCGGCGGTACCGTGAGTCAAAATCTGATCTTCGAATACACTGAGATATCTTGACTGACTCTTGCCACAACTAGATGTTGGACGTCGTCTCGAGCCCTGGTGACCCTCTGTTCTTCCTTCACCACACCAACCTTGACCGATTGTGGTGGGAGTGGCAGTCCGCCAACCTCACCGCTCGCCTCAACGAGATTGGTGGACCCGTAGTGGCTTCAGACGCCTTCCTCACCATGTCCAACCTCGATTACCCCGGTGCTGATCTCCTGGACTACAACGGCGAGAACGGAGGCAACGTGACCACCATGGCCCACAACCTTTGGACTGCTGGACTGTTGCCCAACGCTACCATTGCGGATCTTATGGATATTCGCGGCCCCATCAGCTGTGCGACTTACGTTTGAGTCTACTGCAACATGTCTGTGAGGTTGGGCAGGTAGCACGGCTAAAGTTTCATGCGGTGGGATACCGGTAGATGATGTGGGGGCCGCACCACCTACCACCACCTACCACCACCTTACATGTAGCTTTGAGTCTGTTAATCTCTCTTAGTCCTCCTTAGCCCAGCCAACTAAAGTGCATGGCTATTCATGCGCTAGATAACCGAGGTACTTGCAATGCCTCGTAAGCTTTACTTTCTTCTGTAGATATTCAAGGTTGTACAACGGCAATAGACTGTACATACTCTCCAAATGACTATGTCTGCAATGCAGTTCTTTTTACACACCTCCGAGAGGAACTGTGAATCTGCTTTGATATTTGTATTTGACTTGTATTCAGCAAATGAAAAGAGACTGGCATGGCATAAACCGTGGCAAACAAATTACTGAACAAGGAACCGTCCGGTGGTATTTGTTATTTACAAAATTGCGAAAGGTCTCCATCCAACACGAGCCACCTTGGCCCCCATCAAAGCCACAAGAGAAAGGACATAGATGAGACCAGTGAATAAAATCAACCCCCAATATTCCCCGTTTTGCGCAGAAATGATCTCTCCAGCCACAGGCACGTCAAAAAGGCAGGCAAACGAAGCCGCCGTATAAGCCGTCGCATAATACCGCCCATAGCTCTCCGTCTTACAGAGTTTGCCTATACAAACCGGGCTGATGCTAATGTTGTTCCCGCTAGCGAAGCCGAATAGTACCACAAAGACGACGATGCCTGCCATAGAGGAGCCCGCCGGCAGCCACACGGCCAAGCAAGCGACGATGCTCAGCACGAGAGCCAAGGTATTGGAGTTGAAAGGTCCAGCAAAGTCACCGAACCACCCTGCCAAGATACGTCCGGCTACACTTCCAGCATTCAGAATCGTAGGGATCTGATACGCAAAGTCGATATCGAAGCCCTTATGAATGGCATAGCTCGATATGTACGTGAGAGGAATGAAGAGCGACCACTCAAGAAGGAAGATGCCGAGCGTAGTCAACGCAAATGCCGGATCACGAAGTATCCGGATGTTGGGATGAACCGAAGCGTTAGGTTTAGGCGGCAGCCGTCTGTCGATCAGGAGGGTCGCGGCCCCGCAGAAGACAAGGACAATAAACCCGACGGCCCGGATCGCCCACGCCCAGCCCGCTCGTTCGAAGAGGGCACGCAGCATCATGGGGTATACGATGCCTCCGAAACAACCTCCAGTGGAAGCAATGCCGGTAGCGAGTCCTCTACGATGGTAGAACCAGTGACCAACGGCTGCGAACGATGGTGTGAACAACAGGGAGGCACCCACGCCGTTGAGAACTCCGAAGACGAGCATGAAGTGCCAGAACTCTGATCAACGATTGCTGTCAGCTAAATGTATCACTTCATATTCCACAGAACAGTGTATATAATATACTCACGGGTAGATATGCTCAACAACATCTGAGCCGTCACAACACAGACTGTGCCGGACAAGATCAGCCATTTCGGGCCATACTTATCAAAGACGGGGCCAATGTAGATCCCACAAAAGAAGCAGAGGAACATGTACATGGAAAAGATCCAGCCGATGGTGCCTTCGCTGTAACCTTGCAGCTGGTGAGAGCTGATGTAGGCGTGGATGGTCGCAACACTGTTTGAGATGCCCAAGGCCGAGAAGGATGCGAACCAGGAGCCTAGCACGACGGACCAAGCGCGCAGTCCTCCTTCGGGGTATTCATCTTCTTCTGGATTCGGGTTGATCTCGTCGATACCTGGGTTGTACTGCGGTTCAGATTTCGAGTCTCGGTTTTCGGCCTGGTCGGTGTTGTGGTTCGGTGCCATGTCGTGGATTCCCTCCGGCGGGGCTTGGTTCTGCTCAGAGGATCTCAGTGGTTGAGCCATCTTAAACTCTGGAAATCGCGCGAGAAGACTGATAGCTTGAAGAAAATACAAGAGAGCATCTTGCAAAGTCCTTGGAGACTCCAGCGAAATAAATAAACTTTGCAGCAGAGTGATTAGTGACTCAAGCAATTATGGCAACAATCTTTTCCGCTCCCCTAAAGGTAAGTTAAATCGAGGCCTGAACCTCCAAAGACCAACGCAATGAATGTCGTTTAGACTCCATAGGAAAAACGCATGGGTCACCCTACATATTTTTACATATGCACTCCACGTAAAGCGCGCCCTGCAACTGACATTCTGGGAGGAAACGGGCTAGACCTCTAAAGGAAAGAGAAAATTTTGAAATTCCACAAACAGCGTCATTAACTCGGCCACTTTTTTGTTTCCTTGACAAAAGAATACGTGCACCAGCCAATGAGCTATTGTCTTTCTCTTCCTGGTTTCCTTAAAAAGGTAACTTACGCCTATGTTGGACCGGCGTTGGCATCGGCTCCGGCTCAACGACCGGTGCTCGCAATCGCGGGAAAACAGGGGACCCAATAAGTGGGGCGGCCCGAAAGGCAGTTTAAACGTCACATTTCCCACCTCCAAATGACTCCGAGACTCGGAACCAACGCTAGATCTTACCTTTACAAGACAAGCCGTCAACACACTCGAATCTTTCGCCAGGTTCATACCAGGGAAGGAAACTCGAGACGATGCTCCTCCAGATCCTGGGGTCTCTCCAACACCTCCGGGCCTCAACCATCGTCTACGCTCTCATCGCCCTCCTCCTCCCCGTCACCCTCACCGTAGCCTTCATCCTCCACAATGGCGACGCAGCATCCACGCGCAGGAAGCTCCGGAACCTGGAGTCCTTAGGTGTTCCGGCCAACAAAAGCCACATGGCAGATCAATTCGACTCCAAATATGCCCTCCCAGAAGACACACCATCGGGCAACCAGGGGCCGATCCGCATCAAGTCAATCTACATCCATCCGATCAAATCCTGTGGCTTCATCGAAGTAGACAGAGCCCTCCTCACAAAAACAGGATTCGCATACGACAGATGCTTCGCCCTCGCAGCCGAGACGCCCGACCCGGAAACGGGCGCCGTCTCCTGGAAACTCATTAGCCAGCGCACAAAGCCAAACATGTGCCACATCCACACAGAAATCTACCTCCCCAGGAAGAACAGCGATCAGCGAGACCCTCTAGTCCAAGCCGGCGGCTGCGTCCTCGTAACCTTCTCAGACCCAGACCCCCCAACCTGGACCCAACGCATCGAGACCCTCCTCTCAAACCCCTTCAACCCCTCCGCAACACCCCAAATCTCCTTCACCGTGCCCCTGAACCCTTCCTCAACCCTCGTAGACGAATTCAAAATCGGCCTCAAAACCTTTGGCATCCACGCCCGCGATGCCTCCGGCCTAGACATGTCCCGCATCCCCTCCGTCGCCACGACTCTCCTCCCAAAACTGAAGAAATTCCTCGCCATTCCGCGGAACCGCGGCCTGACGCTCACGCGCTGCACGCCCGAGACCTTGACGCGGACGACCCTCAACCTCGCGCCCGTGAGCTACATCGGGTCGCCCGCTGTCCACGGATACACGGACCAGCAGCCCGTCAACCTCAACAGCTTATCCTCCGTCCACGCCGTCTCCGCACTGCTGCCGCCGGAAAACAGACCGCTTGACGCCCTCCGCTTCCGCGCGAACTTATGGGTTACGGGAGCGCCGGCGTACGTGGAAGAGACGTGGAAACGATACCGCATTATTCCCAAAGGAAACCTCTCAAACAACAGCAGGCCGCGGGCGGAGGTCTCACCGAAGCTCTCCGTCGTCTGCAGAACATCCCGCTGTACGATGCCAAACGTCAATCTCGCTACAGCGACCTTTGACACGGAGAACCCGGCGTCAGCTGAAAAGAAGAAAGGAAAGCCGCAGCCTAGCTCGACGCTGATCGAGCACCGCATCCCTGAGACGGGGAACCCCAAGGCGCTGGGGTACCTCGGGATGCATTGCGTGCCGGAGGACGATGATCTGGATGAGGCTAGGAGGCAGGGGAAGGGGCTGTATGTCCATGTCGGCGATGAGGTCGAAGTTCTTGAGACGGGGGAGCATTTGTATGGGTCTACTGCGAATGATTATTGAGGCGGCTACTTCCCGGGAGGGTTTGAGCTAAGGAGACCGGAGTGACAATGAAAGCGGTGCCGCTTGAGACTTGCGTCGAAAGGTAATGAAGGCGATGTCTCTATCAGCTTATTGAGAAGGGGACGTGGAAGCTACCCGGTTCAAGCTGCTTAGGAGCCAGTGTGACGTTGAAGAGTTCATCCTTTGTGGTTAAGGGTCCCCGCTAGATGGAAGACCTGGATGGCTTTCCTAGCCACTTGGAAGTTGTTATAGAGAAATTACCCACGAACTCAAAACCTCTCTTGTTCGGCCTCATTCAATGGCAAGTCTGATACTTAGCATAGACAGTGGTGTAGTCAAAAGTTGATAGTGATGGCTTTGGGCCGGTATACGCCAACATGATGTCCCTCACAACCCAGCAAGAACCAAGATCTGCATAATGGGGTTGGCTTGAAAACGAGATGGATGGAAGATCTTGATGCAACGGAGCCTCTTATCGTCTATATGTTGCTGATGTTTCACGGCCTGCTCATGCTACGTCTATATCTATAACACTCCGTCTATACCACATAACTCCCATCACAACCCACAAATCCCATCGCTCATATCCCCAGCTCACCGAGAAACCTCAAGCTCTCTTCAAACCCCACGTCCCATGCGAATTGAAAACGCCTCACTTCCTGACTCCAACCTCCCCAAGCACTCTCCTCGCCCCCAACTCCCTCCACTTCCCCACCGTCTCCGGCCTCGAAGCCCACACAACACCAAGCATACCAACAGCATTCACATCCGCCCCGTCAACGCCCGCCTTCACCCTAGGCACCACAACGATCCACCGCCGCCCGAGGATGACATTATGCGGCACCGCCACAGCCCTCCCGTCCCCGTCCTCCTCGACAACCTTCTCCCTGCCGGGGATCAGCTCCGTCGCCTGGCGGAGCAATTCTCTGTACTTCGCCGTGAGGTCCTTCGTCGAGGGGGGTGACGTGCTAGTGAAGTGGTGGATGAAGTAACGGAACGGCGGCTCCTGCTTCCCATCGCCGGCCGCTTCCGTCCCTGTCCCAGACCCGGAGGTAACGAGGTCAGGCCACACGGGAATCGCCTCCGGCGCAGGGATAACCTGCATATGCTTATGCAGCCGACTACACCCGCCCTCCTTACCACAGTTGAAGATGACCAGATACTCCCGTCTCTTGTCCTCGCCAACAGCATCCGCATCACCACCCCACACCCCATTCAACCCCCCCAAAACCTCCACCGCAGCCCCTAAATCCCGCTCATCCAACCCCTCAAACTGCCTCCTCCTCCCATCTGCAGTCAAGAGGAGAAGATGCGGCCTGTACGCGCAGAACTTGTTGAAGGCAAGAACATGCGTAGCATCTTCAGCTCCGCCACCGCTGATGGTTGTGAGTTCGAACCCCGCGATGCTGATGTCGCCTCCGGGAAGGTTTCCTTCTTCATCGAGGGTGATTTCTTTGTTCGAGTGCTTGTCTTCGCCGTGGGTGCGAGCGTTGGCGTTTGAGGCTGCGCTTGCGGTTATCTGAGACGGCGGGGTCTTTTCACCATCTGCGTCGTCTAGCTCTGCGTTGTCTTCTACAGCGGCGGGTTTACTCTTCAACGCGGCCGTCAAGCGGAACTCAAACTAAGACAGGATTGTCAGTCTGTGTGATTCACTAATGATTCCCTTGGTTCTAAAGCCCTTCACTATTCCTCACTCTGCCCCTTATCACCACCTGTCTCATCATCTCGACCGAAGAGCAGGATGGGATTATCCAAAGGACGCCTGTTATTCATGCCACAACTACAAGGATGAAATCCAGAGAAGAAGAGAAAGACGAACGAACTTACCTTGAAACCTCCATCCTCATGATAAATCTTCTCCATATCCTCCGCGTACATAACAATCCCGTCTCGAACCTTTTCATCAAAGGCAGCGAGGACCGAGGCCTCGGTTATCGGAGAGGCCATTGCGCGTCTCTCTGCTCTGATGAGTTGTCACTTTTGGAAATGATGTAAAAAATCTACCAGTAGGAACGATATGCCAAACTGTGAGATTGGAGTAAAGTCATATCGGGGTATTCATGAAAGAGGTTGTAAGTGAGTCGAAGTATTGAACGTCAAGTCGCAGGAGTGTGCAGTCGGAATGAAAGCCGGTTATTGGTCGTTGCATATGACGACATCAGAAAGCACCCCCTTGCATCGATAGTTGCACAACGCGACAACGTTCAGTCTTAGTTTCTAACCCCCCAGAACAGGTTCTTGCATGGTATTTGCGAAAGTCATAGTTGAACTTGATGCTATTAAGATTTTAGAGTATCAACCGCGTGACGTTCCTCTCGCGCCCGCTTTTACGTTTTGTCTCCAAAAGAGGTATTATACTACAATTTTCCACCACGCTTGATCCCCCCCTGACGCCATCATCGACTCGTCAAAATGCTGCTGCTATCTAAACACTGCAGCCTCTATGCCTCGTCTCACGTCGGCAACGGCTTGCAATGCCAGATATACCCCAACCTCCACCACCTTCGACCCCCGTCATCGTCTCAGGTCGTTATATGGAGTATCTACGCAGGAGGAACGGGAGCAGCGGGACCGGTGCCAGTCGCGGCGCCTCGTTGGGCGGGAGGAGGAAGGAAGAGGGGCAGATAGCTGACGGCGAGAGCCATGACTGTTATATAATCGTCAGTGAACAAGCTTACGGAAATACGACCTGGGGCAGAGAGAAGTGACATACCTGACATGCCCACGGAGAAGTACCCCGGCGTCGCAGAGCTCTTCTTCGTCTCCTCGCTCTCTCCAAGCCAAGTCTGAATGCTGAAGACGACGGAAGCCCTGTTATCATTGTCACATCAGCAAGTCTGATCTCCAAGCTATGCCCATGTAGATCGGTGCTGTAGTTGCTTGGGGAAGACCCAGCAACGCTATCCATCTTGCTGAGGGTGAACAGAAAATGCGTCGTACCATCCGATAAACTTGTTGCGCGTAAGCATCGCAGCCATTGGCAGGGTAGAGGACAGCGTCGAGGAGAGCTCGGTGGAGTCGCCCTTGGCCTTGGGCTCCTGATAGGGGACGACTGCGCGGAAAGGCATAGAGGTTAGCAGACATTCGCGACAGGATAGGAGTGGTGCAAAACATACTCAGGTCCGGCCGACGCATATCCCGCTTGGACGCCATTGTGAGAGCTCTGGTTGAATTGAATATGCTGTGCAAAGGGATGTAGGGAGCTATGGCGGAGGGGCGTTCGATAGGTACCACGGTCCTGGATGCGCGAATGAAGCTCTCACCCGAAGAGACGGGCCGCAATTACAACACTCCAACAGAAGATCATGCCTAAGTTTTCAGGCAGAAACACACGCGACCCCCAAAGAGCTGGGGAAGGAAGGAAGGGAAAGGGAAAGGAAAGGAAAGGCCGGCCGGTTGCCCCGCCCCGATTGCACACACTCAGCCGACGACACGTTTTCTGCTATATCCACACCCTCCATTTCATCTCTTCCGAAAGGTGCCTGGGGGGTGTGTATCTTGTCCGCGCGAGCCGTCAAGCGGCCCCTCCGAACGCCGCCCCACGAACCGATCTGACAGTGGGAAGCCAGAGTTGTTGCTGAGATTCCGAGGGACGCGGATTCCGATAACGAACAGGCTCACACTTTACGCAGTACGTGCCCGGGATTTCCAGAAACCTGATACTAAAATGATGGGGATCGCCGTCTGCCCAGTGCGAAAGTGGGAGGACGCTCCCGCCGACGGGCTTAACCTTGCTATGGTGTTCGTTCCGTTGCCGAACTCGACTTCACGAGTACGCCCGGGAGTTGGAGAGTCAAGTTTACAAACTGCAACAGATAACCTCCGCTGGACATTGCCTTCGTGTGCCAACGCTCCGCAGGGGAGATGATTACAACAGGATCCCGAAATGTCTGACTTTGGGACGTGGACCACTGGACACCCTAGGGACCGAAGTTTGTGGGGCCTCGGAAGATGCGGCCTACGGAGGGTCCAAAAGAAAGGAGACGAGCAGAACAGCTGCATATTACTCCGGCGTCTTCTCCGTGGTCGTGGTAATCATTCGCAGCATGGAGCTTTGTCGGAGCATTTTGTTTTGCGCGCCTGCACGGCACCCTTACGAAATCCCCTCCTCCGTTATCTGGCGCGGAAAGTATCGCCTGTATGCGAGCCCCTCTGCAGCCAAAAAGGCACGAGATAACAGCTAGGCCGCGGCCATCTGCCCTTGCAGGCACAGCTATATTTCCCCACACGGGGCCTGCAGGAGAAGGAAAGGAGGGCCCTGGTGGCTCTTTTTGGAGTTCGCTTGGAACTTTCGAAAGAAGGTTTTCGACATCTTCTGGGGCCCTGGGCTGGGCATTGTCGGGGAACTGGCCTTGGAGTCTGGAGATGCGGTGTGCTAACACTGTTACTATGGAATATCGACCATCATGGCCTGTGCTTGTCCAACTAGCCCTCTTGATGCGGGCTTTGGTTGCAGCGACACGGAGCCTAACATTATAGATGTCGTTTGGCGAATAAGGGTCGGTCAACTCCAATCGGGCTCTGCGCAACGTGGATGCCGCTGGAGAAGAGTCTTGGATAGTGGAACGCAGAACAAAAGCCAACGAAAGGCCTCCAGCTGGCATAGTTGATGGGTCTGTTTGACACGCAAAAGTCCACACAGCACCAGTAGAGCCCGAACCAAGTCAGGCACGGAGACCCGACTATGATTGCACACGCCTCCTCAGAAGAAATGTTTCGAGTGTTGGTGACCGTGGTCACACGGGAGCAGGTCGTGTCAGCTGAAAGGGGATGGCCGATACCATCGTGTGTTTTCTTGTGTCTATGGCAGGTGTTGGGCGGCTTCTCAGTGGCTACCCCCGCCAGGTACCACCTGATTTGCAGCGGCGGATCGCATGCAGCATGATGGCAGATTGCGTGACACCTGGCGGCGATTCAGCCATCAAAGAAGACATGGACAGCGCGTGGGCGACGCAAACCAAGCAGCCGCGGTGCCACGGCGGCCCGATGCCTGGTCTGGTGTAGTAAGACCGGCGGGCGTGGTTTGGCACGTTTTGGTTCGCCGGCCGAAGACAAACTTTCCCAGGGCCTGGAGAAGGAGTCTACCCCAGTGCGCAAGGAGAGTTGGGACAGCCGACCGGGATGCTGTTCGATATAAGCCGAAGGGTACTATAGCCCCCCTCCTTCCGTCGTTGAGCCAGTGGTTGAAAGGGTCCCGGGGATATGAGGACCAGAGACAGGTGTCCCAGGAGACCGGAGAGTATGGACGAAACGCGGGAAGAGGTAGGGCCGGTTCTTTGTGTCAAACGGGGATGGTGGGTGCTGTAAATCTGGTGGTTGTTCTTTGCGGATAGCAGTGCCGCTCGCTCAGATCGTCTACCAATTCTTCACAGTTGGGCCTGTTCTTCTTGTCCCTCACCACCCGTTCGGGAGTCGGGAGAGCGGGCTGATGGGACGGTGGGGAGAGGGGCACAAGGGATGAGACAAAACACACGGGGTCGTAGACAAATCAGATGCAAGAGAGAGAAGGGCAAGACAGGCGCTGGTCGAAGCGAATGTGTCGATATGGGCGATGATGCGTCGTTCTGTCGATTTTGGGTTGGATGGTGGCGTTGGAGTAAAGCACCCGAAAGTGGCAGCTAAGATGCAAGTGGCAGCTAGTTACGGAGACGAATACCTACCTACCTGCCACTCTGCGAAAGGGACAACTGTCCGGGTGTATTCTATCGATACTAAGAGCCCATGGGAGGGACGTTTGGTGCGATTGGACGGGGTAAGAGAGCGGCAAAAGGCCAGGCCAGGCGATAGGAGCAGCTGCAGTTATATTGGGGTCTTGGACCGAGTGCGGCTAACAACATCTCAACAGCCCATTCCGGCTTCCTCTCTCCGCCCTTCCGTCTGGCGATGCGCGGTGGGCTCTTCCATTCCAGCGGTACGGAACCCCGAAGGAAGCAAGATTTAGACCTGGGCGAAGGGGACACCCGGGCGTTTGGGTTCCCTAGTCTGTCGGGGTTTCCAGTGTGCTGCCCACTCTAGGTCCAGGCATTAGATTGGGAGAGGAGGTGTATCCGGACTTTGTAGGAAGAGTCTAGGAGATGCAAGTGTCTTTACTAAGCGGTGGCCCGGTCCTTGTCAGCATCGACTGCGAACTGACACTTGTCTAATTTAGCATGCTTCGGGTTATTTTGATGACTTCCAAAGTTTATACGCGAGGATGCAAGTCTGATACGGAGTTTTGGAAAAGGCAAAAGGGGGCTTACGATGATGATGATATTGATAATGGCGATGAGTATCTGTAATCCATCATTGTCTTACATCTCAGCACTCCATAGAGTCTATACGGATACACTGACTGGGTACCTACGCCTTTTGGAACTGGACAAGCTAGAAAGGAAACAAGACCGGGGCGAAAGCAACTTGGAGGCGGGAGTTGGGCGAATCAGCTGTAAGACATTGGCTGAACAAACCAATGAGACGGACATAACCCCATGGCGGTGGACGGGGGTCGTCCTTGGACTGGCTGATTCTCGAGGTTCCATTGGCATCAGGGGACTGAGAGGAGAGAGGAAAAGAGACAGAAGAAGGGGGGGAGGTGTGTGTTCTTTTCCCCCAGCTGATCGGAAAATCGACCTAACCTATTCAGGCCAAAGCGCCAGCTTGGCCTGGTCGTCGTCGATAATTTGTTGACAGGAAGCTTCCGATTTCCATTCCTAGTTCATTACATCGCATCGTTACCAATTGTTCGTCGTACAGCCAGTCTCAGATTACGGTTCGCATGTAGGCAAATGATCAAAGTGACAATCTGCCTATTGCCTACTGTGTTGCTGTAGCAAATGAATCTTCCAGCCTCGTCTTTTACCGCCAATTTTTCTTCATTGCCGCCGCCGCCTCAAAGCCTGTCGCGTATCCGCCTACTTTATGCCGAAACATCAAAGTATTCTTTTTCCTTAGCCAAGAACGGGACGTTGCTGTTTGGCCCATGTCTGCATCGTGTGGTCTGAGAAGTGGGTGTAAACTCTGTCCTAGCCTCCTAGGTACAGATGTTCCCAGTTACTAATGCTTGGTGAACTCGGGTCGGCATCCGAGTTTGCAGAGTTGGAACTTGCACACCACATAGACATTGTTTTAACCACCCAGTACTGTTTGTAGTCTGCGTATCGACAAAGAAAGTGTGTGCAGAAAGATTAAACAGTCCCTGCGCTTATCGGGAGCTTCCCGCAACTCGGCGCAACTCATCAACCTGGTCATGTCCGTGAAACCGAACTCATCCATCTCGGAGAAAGTCCCAATTCAACAACTCTCACACACAACAAGCCGTATGAAATTGGAGTACTTACGGAACACAGCGTGGGAATGAGGCGCTTAATCCAACCAGCCCACTCACCCCAAATCGCCGTGCTAGTTCCAAGGCTCCAAGCAACAGACTGAGAGAAAAACTCCCGCTCCCTGAAACCGCAGATCCCATCGGCTCCCCGCCCCACGACTAAAAGCAATTTAGCTGCTGTTCCCTGGACGCCCACTCACTCTCATACACTGGAAATAGGTACACCTTCTTTTCACTCACTCCGCTGTCCCTCTCACTCTCACCACTCACTTTCACTCACTTACTCATTCAAACCCCCCTTCTCAGCTCACGCCCCCCCCCCCCTTCCCTTGCCATCTCATCCCGTATCACACGCCACACCCTCCGCTCTCCGTTCCGTCCACCAGTACCAGCACTTGCCAGGGTTTGTCAGGTTGCTGCTTGTGGTTGCCTTTCCCATTTTCAGTTACCATTCCCATTCCCCATTCCTAGCCTGAATTCGGTCGGATTGAATTCGTCGGGTCCTTACTGCGTGACTAGATACTCAGTCCTGGGCTGAGCTGAGCCAAGGCACACTATAACGCCGAGCCATATTTGCCGTCCCTCTAGTAGTCTCCTGCACCACCTAACAGGTACCTAAGGTACGCTGCGCTGCGTTCTGCCTGCATTGTCAACCCCAACCCACGGCAACTCTGTCTGTCACACTCAAACACCTTCTCAGGCGCCCTCTTTCTGTTTTCCTTTCCCTCTCTCTGCCTTTTTGAAGCTCTATCTCCCCAAATTGTTAACTCTTTTGGGAACAAGACTCTCTTATATACCTGGACTACGAGTTTCTCCGCTCCCCGCCTCCTGGCTTTGTTCACGTTTCCTGATCTTGACGTTTGCTCTCTGCAAGCCATCGGTCACCATACGACTTCTCCCCTTCGCCTTGACACTCATGGTCAACGGCTTCAACACAGTAACATAGGCTCTTTCAACCTCGACAGTGTCAGCAACCAACAGGATTTCCAGCGGGCCGTTGCGAGTCATCCGACATCAGCGAACCTGGCATACGCGGGAACCTTCGGAGATACTGCGCCCCCCGTCTATGTATCCGTGGTAGTAGCCAGCCGTACGAAAGATCCCACGCGCACTTTGCAAATCCGCCGCCGCTGGACCGTACGGCACCGCACCAGAGCCCTGCACACTCCACCGCTGCATGCACCCACCCTACCAGCGCCTGCTAATCCAGTCCTAATCCGCAAACTGCTCTTGCACCCCCCGACTGCTGCACAGATAGCGCGGCTGACGCCGTCAGATCCCCGACATCAATCCGTCGACCGATTATTCCTCCTCCCCCCTTCCATCCAACATCACCTCAGCATCGTCAACCCGTTGGCACTCGGCATCGCAGCCTCGGCGCTTCGACTTAATCGCCTCGTCAACTTAATCGCCTCGTCACTACATCCAACACACCCGATCATCTCTTGAGAAACCAGCAATGTCGCCTCGGAATTTCCGCCTGCGATGACCTCAAGGACCCCAATGGGCGTCCAGCCGCGACCGCCCCAGCAGCGAACACTGAGCAGTTCGGGCTTGTCGGTCCAACGGCCAACCCAACAGCGTTCCCTATCCGCCCAGTATTTGCCCCAGTCGCCCGTTCGAAAGGATAACCTCATCGACTTGACTGGCGATGCCAACGATGCCGCCGTCGCACAGAACAGATATGGCACGTTGCCGCGGAGGGGAGGCTCTCGCCTCAAGCTGGAGTTGTCCAACGAGGCCATGCTTGCCCAGCACGGCGTCAGCGAGTCCCCAAAGACTCTCACGCCTTCCCGCCTTATGCCCAAGAACGAAACCTCAAACCTTACCGATATGAGCTCGCCGGCCTCGGCCAAAGGCCAGCCCGTCGACGCAGATAACCCACCGATGCCCATGCCGAAACGTCGTCCGCGATTCGTCGTACCCGCCGCCGTCAAAGATGCGCCAGCCCCTGTCATTGCAGTTAAGAAGGATGGCCGACCGAAACCGTACCACATCGAGACCCCAAGCATCGCCCCCCGATATGCGCCTTTTAGCAAGCCGAGGCCCGACGCCGCAGCCAAACCAGGCTTTGGAGGTTCGAGCAGTGGCGCGCGAGATATCTCGGACATGGGTCACGCCGACTTCTTCCCGTGGACCGGAAACCACCCCGAAGACCAATATACCGAATCGATTATCAAGAATGGATACTACGATAAACAACCGCAGGCCTCGATCGAGACACAATCTGCCAAGGCTGCATTGTTTCCCGCCCTCAAGCATAAGAGCGGGCTGAACTTGCTGTCCAACATTTTTATCGGAGTGCTAAATCAGAGAAAGCTAAATGGCCAGATCTCGTCGCCGTCAACTTTCAAGCCGCCGCCGCGCGTTACCCTAACCGATACGAAGCGAGAAATGTGGCTGAGGGACTTGGCGAATCCATCGATATCGTTGCGCCGACTGAGCCGAACGATTCCCCACGGTATCAGAGGCAAAGTGCTACTGGACCACTGCCTCAATAAGAATGTGCCGACAGAAAGAGCAGTCTGGCTGGTAAAGTGCGTCGGCGCCAACGAGATCCGAGCCTTTAAGAGAAAGGGGAACGGTCCGGGACCCTTTGTGCTCGGTGGCGAAGCGAAGTGGCTCAGAGACTGGACGGTGTTCGTGGAGCAATTTGTGGAAGGAGTCTCGACGGCCTTTGGCGATAACGACTGGAAAGCCAAGGTCCAATATGCGTAAGTCTACATCATGCGATGCCCATATACGCAGGAGCTAACCTTTCTATAGCATCCGACTCGCGACGCACCTCTATGCCGAACAGCTACTCGACCGTGACCACTACATGGATTGGCTCGTCTCCGGATTGGAGAACTCGACACAGTCAAAGCTACCCATGTGGATTCTTACAACACAAATTTACTGGAAAGATTTGCTTCGTTTGAGAAGATATGGCCGACGATTAGTGAATGCGTTGCTCAGCCATCTCAACACGGTACGTCAGCTCAGACCCACAAGGAGTTCTCAACTAACTGTTCAGATTCATAACGATCCCGACCGCGATATCCTTACCCAACTATCGACGAGGTTAACATCTCTACTTACTCCCCTCTTGTCCGCCCACTCGGACAACTTCGTGTCTCCTGCGACTTGGTTCAAGTACAGAGACGCTCTGCTCGCATCTATTCCGATCGATAACGACTTTGCCCAAAACGCATACAAGTGGATCAATGTCAGAAACGAGCAGCTAGTTGCATCAGCCAGCAACTCCCAGCCGGCAAACCGACAGATACTGGTCAAGCATCTCGACACCTCATTCATGTCTTTGTACAGCCCCGACTTGGCTACGCAGTGTTGGGCTGTTAGTGAAGACAAGGGAATGATAGTTCGCACATTATTGGAGTGGTGCACCTCGCCTCACAGACCAGGCACCACAAAGGTGTATACCACTGCCAGCCTTCTTCGAGCTTGGGCGGCTACTGGAGTGGATGTGACGACAGCTATCCTCGAGTTTCTTAGTGCAAACCCACCAACCGAGACGAGATCGAAGAGGGTCTTCCACCAGCTGGTGTCAGAAATTGTACGATCAGGAGACTTCCAACTTCAGGGGTACATATTCTGGCTCATTGCCCGAGGCGGACTGAGAGAACCGGCCGATACTGAAGCAGAAGGATCTTGTGCTACTCGACTGCTTGTCGATCTCCCTCTCCATGCCCTTAACTCGTCTGCCCAAGCTACACGAGCAAGTCTCTTACGACGAGCATCCTACGACGTCAGCGACGAAGCCGAGGATATTAACACAGCACTCAAATGCATTCAGCATGTTATGGGACTTCCTCTTCCGCCAGGAGATCCGATGCTTCAGCGGAAGCCCGTACCAGTAGGAAAGCTTTGCAGGCTAATCTCCAACAGCAACCGTGCATTACAAACCGAGGTTGGAGCTAGGCTTCTGCAAATATTCACCAAGGAAATCATCATGACGAAGAACGGCCCCCAGGTCTCTCCGGCTATGTTCAACTTCGCTCGCGCTATTCTCGAGGCGGCCTCCGACTACTCAGTTCTCGTCGAGATTGTGAAGGTGGTGTCGAGAGCTTCGAGCCCCGAGATTCTGGCCTCCTGCGCCGATACTTTCAACGTTCACCTACCGATTTTTGCAGCACTTGGCGTGGCCAAGGAACTCTTCGACGCGCTGATGGAAAGGTTGAAAGTGGTTAGTGACGAGCAAGGACCTGCTGCGCGACCTCTTCTGGCATCCCTGGCAAATCTTTCGACTCTTATCCCCGGTTATACGAATACTGCTGTCTACTTGCGTCAGCAGCTCCACCAATGCGATCGTAACAACCCTATCGACGCATGCTCGCCCGTATCTGATAACATGACGGCGCAGCTACAGGATGCCGAGGGCGAACTACACGAAGAGATTGAGAAGCTTTTGACAAGCGGGACCAGCGTCGATCGGCCTACCATGGACCGCCTTTTCCAGACTGTAGTCGGACGGCTAGAATCTTTCTGGTTGAAGTCGGCGGACAGACAGCGTGCCTATAGCGCACTTCTCGGAAGGCTACGCATTTTCGACGCTCAGCACTTTGACGTGCGCATGACTGACTGGGTCCACCACATCAGCACGTTGAAGACTCGTCCTGCGCTCGAAAACATCTATCCCCTTCTCATCAGCATGGGCTGTCTGACCTTGCCCATTATTCTTACCACGACTTCCGTCGAGGCAGGGAGGATCGGGCTGAACCCGTCAATGCCCCCTAACAGCACTACGACTTACATGCAGGAAGTCCTCTCTCTGACGACGATGCCCCTTCCCGCCAAGACCGCATTAACACCCGAAGAGATCTACCGGTTCTATATCCAGCAACGAGTGGCACCACGTCAAAACCACAAGGATATGGTCTACCTTGTGAGGAATGCACTCGTCGAGTTCTCGAGGCTGCAGGGTGTCGTCGACTTTTCGACGCTGCCACTCGCGAACCCCGAAGTCAAGGACACCGCACTGCAATTGCTCAAGTTATTGGTTCTGCGAGATCCTCCTTCGGTGGTCCAAGCGCTGGGTATCAAGAACCCAGAGCCTGCGTTAACAGGACTGTTTGCACAGATTACAACCAAACTCCTACTACCAGATGCTGGGGACGATTCGCCGCTAACGTTCGAGACGGTTCTGGAATTGGCAAACGAGTTCACTCTTCCCTTCTGCCAGCTCAAGCTTTCGGTTGGCCTTGCGGCGGATAGCACGACGAGCCCGGGAGGAGGCGAACAGGCTCTCACTCAGTTCGACATGTTCTCGAGGGCGATGGATCGCGCTGTGTCAGCCAACAACGTCATGTGGACTAGCATGCTACCCTACCTGAGCGAGGACATCACGGAGCATCTTAAGAAGCAGGCCCATCTGCGTTTCCTAGGTCTCTTTCCGTCAAACAAGAACCCCCCTGCTGCGGATCCTCTTTCTCAAGAAAGCACTCAGCTCGCGGGAAGTCTACTTTCAGTCGTTGAGGCTATCTTGAGAGGTCGTCCGCCTGTCCGGACATCACAGCTTACTTCGGGCATGGTTGAGAAGCTTGCGGAGCTATGGGAAGTCCTAGCAACCGACGACATCAACAAGAGAGACCTACGCGCTTCAATTCTCCGGTACTGGCTCCCTGCCTTGTTGCGGTTCATCACCCTACATACGACTGCAAACGAATCTGCGCCAGTAGCAACCCAACCCCAGGCCGCCAACAACATGAAGCCACCCGCCAACACTGCTGTCTTTGAGATTCGGGCGAGAATCCTAATTGTTCTGTCTGGTCTTACACTTGAATTGGACAACCAAGCATTCCAGGACGCTCGGAGTGGCCGACCTCTCGGTCAACAGGTCTTCGATCTGGCTTTGCTGCTAGTCGATACTTTGCCGGACGACGTGCGCCTGCAGTGCGTGCGAGTCTTGCTTACAGGCGGCACCATGCAGAATCCAGCATCCTCAGATGCCCGTCTCCGATACCTATTCAGCCACATGCCCCCACCGACGGAGCAATTTGTGCTTGCTCATAGACAGCAATCTACTACACAAACAAACGGGCCGCAGAGAATCAAGATGCCAATCTCGATGCAAGGCACCGATAAATTAACGCCGTTCATCTACCGCAAATGGGAGATGCTCAGCGAGCCCACTCCCAATGTTGGAGAAAACGACACGGCTCTCAGTCTCACATTGTTTGAGGCCATTAAGATTCAGTAAACAGATTGGAGGAAGCGTCGGGGATACACACACATATACACACAACATTTCATTACTGTCATGCATACTTCGGAAGAAAGGCGGGGTGTTCATTTATAGATACCATTACTGGTCCAAATCGGGATTGTAGAATCAGGAAGGCGAGGGGGGAGCAACGAGAAAAGATCCTTTTTTGATACCAGGATGGAAAGTTAACAGTCGGTCGGCGTCGGCTGACTTGGAAAGATTGAAGGGGAGGGATGGAGGGGTCATCGACATGATTGTATTACTGAGGCGGGCATTAGGGTGGTTTTCCTTTTTCATCATCATGACAACAATATTATTATCCAAACGTGTTTATGACAACTTTACTCATCTTGAGTTGCGTGCGATTGTGGTTTCCTTGTGGCAGTGCAGTGCCTTGAAACTATGATGGTCTGGGTATCCAATATTCCTTGAGACATTCTTACTAGGCTTTTTGTATCGGCACCTCTATCCGTAGAATTCCTCTGTATAAAGGTACTGCTTTTGGCGGTTCAAATCAACCTTTTACCCCTCTTCAGGCTCTCCAGATATCAGCCGCATTTTGAGATCACTATCCGTTCCAGCCCAAACCGCCTTCTCTCAGGCCTTGCTCGATGTAGCGCCTGCCCCAGCATCTACCAGGTCCTCGTTCCCAAAACCGGAGTTCTCAGTGCGAGTAGTATCAGGTCCTGCAAGTCTAACCAGGGTATAATACTCAAGACACGTATTAGCTTTTCGCCTACCTTGATTTCAAAGGACTCAGCTAGATTCATGCAACCTATCTACAAAGCATACATAGCGATAACACCGAGATAAATGAACATGACGGTTCGAGCCCATAGTAGTGTAGGGCGTTTTTACCGGACCCGTATCCATGACCCTGGACGGTCATATGAATATGCAATCCATTTTTGGTGAAAGCTTCCAAAGTTCCATTCCTTTTGTCGATCTGATTGTTCCGTTCACCCAGATAGAACCCCGTATTGTTGGAAGGTGTTAACACGTGCCTGCCGCCACGGTTTTTGCACTTCTGATTGATGTCTATATATTCAAGCCGATCTTTGACATCCTTGAGTATTAAACGTGTGCTCCTATGTTGATGTGTGCTCTGAGAAAGTACTTCAGTGAGATGGGCCCCAAAAGTCTTTCAGCTGCGGTATCGCTGCCCTTGCTGGGTAACATCACCGGTAACACGGCGCCATCATGATTCGCTTTAAGAGAGAAATTCTGGACAAGGCGATTTATTGCTGAAAGCTTATCGTACGCACGTGGATTGAGGGCATCAAGTCAACGTTAATCATATGTCAAAGTTTTCACGTTCTCAAAAGATGCGTTGTGGCATCAGTCTCCCATGTGACGCTTGTTACGCTACGGTGATCGCAATGCATCTACACAGACACTTTGGCTGAATTCAGCTTGCGTGTGAATTGCATAGGGAGATGATGTGTTTCGGTTTCCTAAGCGTAGCATTATGAATTCTTTTCCATATATGAAGACGACAGGCTCTTTGGATTAGCACGAAAAATGTGCTGGAGACTAAACTGTTATCATATTTGTCGTCTGCGGCCTGCTAACCAACCTTTGTCGAATTCGAGGCCAGTCGCTTTAGTCCTTCTGCAACGCTCATCACCAAAGCAATTAAGTGATTTCACAGGGTATAAATAGGCTCGACTCCCTTGTAAGACAACAGAGAGACTTTAATGGGCGCTTGATTCCATCACAAGTGGTGTGAGTGGTTAACAGCTGACTTGGTTGAAAGGGGGACACTACAGACCCAATAACAATGAATCTAAGTAGCCAAGCATGGGTATGGCCAAAAAATGGTCAGGAAATACTCCCATATCAGAATAAAGAAACATTCGAGACGTGTGGAAGAGTTCTTTCTATTGGGCTGCATAGATTCAACCTATGCAATTCTTTTAAGTTTTACTCTGCCATCCATCTACTTTTTGCGGCGCTTCACCTACCTCCTTGCCTCCATCTCGGCAACAGCATCTTCGTTTAGACTCTTATAATCAGCACAAAAAGTCACAAGATGCCCTGCTTCTTCATTCTTTGGTACCCAACCAAGGTAAGGATCCTCATCACGCCGCAACTGCAATCTCTGCATGAATCTCTTGCGGACAAGTGTCCCGGCAATGACGCCTTCCGCTAGTAGTTTTCTTGTTTGTTGATGTTCTTTGTGTGTGTGTGTGTGTGTTTGTGTGTGTGTGTGTGTGGGAGATGAAGACTGAAATTGACAGGAAAGACGTCTAGCTCGCCCGTTTGAGTATCGAATACTTTTGCGTAGGGTCTACTTCAAGGGACTCTTGTTGAACTTGAGGCTCTTTGACATAACTTATCTCAAATGTTCGCTGCCCTTGCTCAGTTGTTCACTACACCTTTTCACACGCTACCTAGCTGCTATCTCGACAAGGAATCTGCGTATGTACAATGAAGTCGGACAAATACCCTTCTAATCTCGCTCCATTTGTTCATTCTGAGTGTATCACTGCTGATATGTATACTAATATAACCCTTGTCTGATAGTATGCCAGCATCCAGTTTTTAGCCAGAACAATCAGTCTGAGGTGATGCAAAGCTCCAAGGGACGTTCAAAGCGTAAAAGTTACTCAAAGACGAAAATAATTCACTCCAGTCTTTCAATAACTTCTTTCTTAGTTGCTGGGCAGAGAAGTAGTCTAAAAGCTTGAAACATGTAGTTCTCTTAGCATGCCTGGGTCCAGCAATAGTGGTATGCATATTTTACCTTAACGTACTTGGTCTACATAAACAAACATCCATCAGCAGGACACAGACCAAGCTTGCCACTTCCCAAGCTTAGAGCTTGATAATCTGCAACAGCGTCAGTCAACAACATGTAGCTCCAGTACAGAACAACTTACTGAACGCATCCATCCTGGACCTGATTGATACGCTGCCAGTTGGTAGGATTGCTGATGGACGCCACGCAGCCTGCAAGCCCGGGCCGTGTAAGCCTGTCGGTGAAAATATCAATCGTGCAGCCTCCAAAGACAATGTTGACGCTCTTTGCGTCATAGTTGGCAAAGCTCCTGTTGATGCTCGTCATGGTGAAGCACTGGGCGAGATGTTCGGTTCCCGTGTTGGAGCCACCACCGTAGTGGAATGTCGAACCGCCGGCGCATTGGTCGTGGTCGTGGAATGTTACTGACCAGGCTGAAACAGCGGTCACGGTGGAAAGAAGAAGAGCGAGCTTCATTTTGGAAGTGATTGAACGATAGTGAAATTGAGTGATAGTAATGATTAACAGAGAATGGAGGGTTGAGCGGTGACTGTGGCTTGGCATAGCTTGGTTTATGTAGTGTCGTTGGCAACGTGCGTGTACGAAAGACAACTAGGGCTTGAATTTTTCATGTTTGTAGATCAAGAACGCATCAAAACCACGCGTGTCGTTACAATCGTGAAAGTTTCATTGCCTACTTTCTAATAGATTACTACTTGCTCACACTCATCAAGTTGCGCGGATAATCGGCATGCTTTGAACATGGGCTGTGCGGGGCCATTGCGAGCTCTTATACTGAAAGTCAATATAGTACTTGTTAAGATTTACAAGAGCTACACATCTTTAGAGATTAGGTATCAAGTTTAGAGTTGCGGGATGACCGAAATTTGATGCGAGATGTGCGAGTAATTCGGCTTCGTCTATCTGTTCTAGGGAATTGGTTCCCGAAACCGAGAGGCGTAACGACTAACGGCCCTGTGCCTGACTCGCCCTCTTCCTTAATACTAGGACGATCAGAGTACTACTGGAGAGAAGACGGAGAATCCCGTTAATGAGAGTCCAAAAGACCACTATGTATAAGTGTCAACAGGCGGCCATTAGTACATTCTACCAGTTCGAATCGACTGGGTGTTTCCTTTTCCAAGTACAATCGATTTGTTCCTTCTGTCTTCATGATGCTTAGCAAATTCTTAACAAGTTTCATCTAGTGTCAAGATTTCGTGATAGGAGTTGGGAGTCATGAATTCTTTTGCCATCCGTAAAAATTCATTTTTTCCGCGTGAAGTCATTGACATGTTCCGAGTTCAAGCGTGTTTGAGGACGAGTTACACAGGCAAATTTCAAACGATGTAGAAGGAGCTGGAAGGCAGAGCCATGTTGAAGGACTTGGTGCAAATTGACACGACTTGATCATTGTATACACAGCCCTCTCTTATCAGAATGAAGAAGATACCCCTGTGGGTTCACCTAAACAAGCCTGAATTCTTCAATGTGGGCAGTTCCAGCAGACACATTCTCGGACATTTGTCCCTCCATGAGGCCACATACATATGTATCCCCAATAACTTGATAAGCGTCGCCCTGCTTTCGAAGAGCAAGAGGTACGGGACATCCTCCTATCAAGACGATGTGGTCTTCAACCTGCGCTCCTAATGGGGCCAGTCCCATGTGCCCATACTCAGTAAGAATGAAGGACATATCCCGTGTAATCCTGTCGACCTCGTTGGCAAGACTAAGTTTCAATCCTCCTAGCATACTTTCACCTATCATTTTATCGTTAGCTGGTAGCATTTTGACACTGTGCTGTTTTTCTTCGCCAAGATAGAGGTCGTTGAGCTGAGAGTCTTGATTCTTCTGAAGCCAGTATGATCGCTCTGCCTGGATGAAGGGGGTGGGGTGAACGGGTGGGTGATGACCAATTTCTGCCTGGGACTCTTTCCTCGAATAGAAACCAAAAACGGACTGCATCATCAGGATATATGCGTCCTTCACGCTGATGGAATGGATGAGGTCGAGGGGCATCCGCTCATTGACGAAATAAATCGCTCCGTTGTCATTCTTGAACAACAGCCGGATATCTATCATGCGGTCACGATCCATGAGAATCGTGCGGTAAAATGCCCGCCTCCAACTGATATACGTATGATCTGCGGTATTGGTTGCTGCGCAGCAATTCCACTTGACCATTCTCTCGCGGAAGGATGTTTCTGGGCTCAGAACAGAAGTAATTCTGCCCGCTTGTACACCACTCGCACGGTGAACCAGGGCGTCTTGTGCAAGATGCCATTTCAGTTCCTGAGGACAGAAAGTCCCAGCCTCAAATTTGATGTCTATATGCGCCGTCAAAATGCTGACGCCGGTACGGCTCTCAACGAAAGGCCCGCTATGATTGGGAACCCACGATGGCAGATGGTTGCAAGATCTGCGCCTCCTGGTGCAATTCTTGTGTCCAATCCCTGACCGCGCGATGAGTCTGGAATCCTCCTTCAAATTCAGGAGGGCGAGATCCAAAAAAACGGCAGTTGGGCTCTTGGTGTAATCTGGCTTGATCAAGTGAGCTAGGTCGGGAAACAGACCAAGGATGCCAAAGAGATGGTCCCGGGGATCTGTAGCCATAAATCGCGCGGCATCCATCATGGCTTCGTTTAACAGGGAAAGAGGATCTGATATCGTATGGCTCATGAGCTCACGAGGTCCTATGAAAGTATTGGCTAACATCCCGTAGCCATTGAAGTTGCGGAGGTCGTCGGCAGCTTGCAAAAACGACTTGATGCGAAGCCTCTTAGGTTTCAGATGGAGAGAGCGGTCTATTTGAACTAGGCCCTGATATAGATCATCGCTGCTGATCTCATTGATTCCGCACAGATAGAGGCGTTTCCTGGCTAGTACGTTTTCTTGGATCACCCATACTCTGTACCAGTACGGTCGGAGAAGTATGTCCCGAATCGCTTCTGATTGAGATGCGAAAGCTATTGGGATCTCGGGTCTAGGCAGGGGAAGTGCCATTCCGCAATTTATTTCTGCGCACTTTTGTATGAACGGGAAACCTGAATCGTCATTCGTAGATGGCCCGAGCCAGCACAGGACTTCCCGAGCCTCTGAGTAGAGGCGTGCCATGAGTGAAATCTGATGGCTCTTTTCGGAAGTGTCTCTCTGGTTCACGCATATTGCATCCACCCATAGAAAGGACTTATTCGGTTTCGATCGCAAGGCTTTCAGGGCAGCATGGAGATTATGGGTGACGCCGAAACGAAGACCATTGAGAAGGATGGGCGTGGTGCAGTTCTCATCGCCCCATACGTATGAGAGAGCTCTGAAACGAGGTGGTTTATCCAGGCTCTTGGTGTAGAGATTGACCGTTATGATGTCTTCGTTGTTCTTCGGTGATTCGATTCTAAGCAAACGGATTTGAGGGCAGTCTCCTCGACTTAATTCTCTTAAGGCATGTCAATATATGACTTTCATCTCAGATGCATTCTCTCCTCACTTGTAAGGGTTCCGGTGTTCCATGATGTTGGAATAAGTGCCATTCAGTTGATCTTGGCTTTAGAATCCCCGGAAACCACTTTCAATCTGAGCCTGATGGTCTCCAGCATGTCATATGTACTCAGGTAATGACTATGTCACCGTTGGGCATCCAGGCTGAGAGCCTAGCTGGTCTGCCCGACTCGCAGCGAGGCAACAGTCGTGTTAAACACCAGTGCCCCCGGTAAGCCAGCCGCTACCTCAACGGCCTCCGGATCGAGCTCCACGTGCGCGAGAGCCTCCCAAGGGCTGTGCGGACACTCCCGCCACATGGCGGTGTACTTCTCGTTCGTCTCCTCAGAGACGTTAAACTTGCCGCCGGCCATCTTCCTCTGCAAGGGCGGCAGCTTCTCGATCCCGCTCATCCTGGCCAGTTGCATGCAGCTGCCCAGCCACCGTTCCGTCACTCGAACTCTGCGCAGCCCATTCCCGTCGTCTTGAGGCCTGGAGGCGACGCGTCTGGTATCGTGTACGTGAAACTGCACCAGCGTCACGATCCGCACGAGCTTGGTATCGTATAGTCGCGCATTACCGTGAAGCCACCGGTAACTCGCAGCACTCCCTCCCTCAACCGACGACCACGCCGCCCAACTCCAGCTCGGAATCCTCAAGCCCGCGTCATCTCGACGTCGGACGGCGCCCGTGTGGCTCCACATGAGCGTCTGAGGGAGGTACGTGTCCGGTAGGCCGAAGGTCATCTTTGTGCGCATGGACTCGCCTACGGCGTTGCCGACGCCCGCGAAGGCGTTGAGGATGTCCGTCTCGCGGGAGAGCTGTCGCGATGTGTAGTCTTCAACCCATTGGCAGTAGTTTGCTAGGGATACTTGGCCTCGTAGCTTGACTGGTGCATCTTTGCTGTGGAGCGCTCGGCGGTAGAAGCCTGGGATGCTGGGTATGCGGTGTGTCTTCTGCTCGGTCGTCGGTTCGTTGATGTCTATTTGAGCCGTATGACGAGCCGTTGAATCGTATTCGTCGATAGAGTCTTCTGCTTGAGGTGGAAATGCTTCCTCTCTAGGCACGAGTGTAGGAACTTCATGTCGTGCTCGTCCCCAAGTAAGTTCCTCGGCGGCGTGACCACGACAGCATTGGAACAGGACCTGGTGCTCCGTGATAAAAATGCTGCGCCTGGAAAGTAGCCTCTCTTGGAATGTCCATCCTCTCCGGTTCCACAGGGATGCGTCGACTACTGTTTGCAGGCCGTTCGGGTCAATACCTTTCCCAACGTTTCGGTTCCGCGGAGGGCACCACAAAGAGGCGCGAGGTCTCCTCGGATTACCAGCATATCCAGGAAAACCATTACCCTGTCGATCATTCAGCGCGGCCAGGATTGAGAAAGACGCAGACTGGTAAATTCGGTCCATCCCGTCGATCTGGTCAGGCTTCGATCGCTCGTCGTCCTGAACAATACAAAGACGGTCTACCCAAAGGTAGCTCTCACCAAGGTCTCTGCAGAGAGATATCGCGTCCAGAATGATGCGTGGTAACTTGACAGACTCAAGGCTCCCCGCAGCTTCCAAGTCCTCTGCGTTTGTTTTCTCTAGTTGAGCATGTCCCGATGCCTCGGAGGCCTCCCACATGTAGCTGAGAGCAACGAAGCGGACCGGCCTTGACGGCTTGACAATTTTCATTCCATGGACATCGATGACCCTGAAGCCGATAGGAAGATGATCTGTTCCCCTGTCAGAGTTTATGCGCACAGAGTCGAGCTGCACATGGCCACTCACCAATCGACTTGTACTTGCTCACGCAGTGGTGGCCGTGAAGGATCTCGCAGCCATCGATCCAAACCTTCAATGTCTGAACGTCAAAGTATTCAGCCTCCCAACCTTCGATCGCCAGGAGTCTCTGAGGTTCATCTGTCGAGTATCTGAAGAGAAACTGCGGCGTGACCGCAAAGGGAGACGGCAACGAATTCAAAGCCCCCAGCTTCGACTTGTCTGGCACGGCACTCAGAGTCAACTCCAGAAACAACCTCACAGAAACTTCATCATCGGAAGAGACGAACAACCGATACTTCTGGTCTTCAGCTAACCCCGAGTCAAGGAAGAAAGGGCCCTGAAGCGTGACGAACAAGCACGCCTCGGAGCACTCACGTAACCACTCATCCTCCCGCCTTCGCGCCTCGACAGCCGCCGCGATCGCGTGGCAAGAGATACACTCTAATGATTGAAGTGAAATGTTCTCCAAAGAGACGTAGTGGTGTGCCTTGGATCCCAGACCGGCAGCAAAGTCGGGGACGTCCCAGTCTTGGCACCGCTCACATAGTCGTGGGCTGGGGTTGGTCTGTTTGCGCTTCTGTACGAGCTGCGCGACGCGCGGGAGGTTGGTGGCGGAGGCGAGGCCCCCGAATGAGACGGCTTCGGGTCTCTTGGTTCTCGGGAGCATTCAATGGGCTGGGGATCGAAGTCGATGATATTCGAATCATGCGAACGTTTGTGAACGGAGATGGTGCCGCAGCAAAGGCTTACGTTGGCATCTGTTGAATGGTGCCAAAGGTGCCACTTCAGAGTGTAAGCCAGGTGAAATGAAAAAAAACTCGGTTTTGTTGAAGTTGCGACGATTTTATAAGACAAAGGCTCAATGGTTATGAGGATGTTGGTGATGATGGAATCGTCATGTAGATCTGAGCGGAAAGGTGTGGGGTCTGCTGTTTCCTGAGCCACCGAACGGGATTTCGGTTTGCTGACCAACATGGCGGCGAATCCTGGCGCTACCGCCTTAGCTTGAGACTAGTTTTCAACACAGACGACGAGGACGACGTGGTGCTTGTCTCGCCCCAGCGAAGGCAAAGGGATCAATCTCATTTTACATGCGCGAATGCATACTGATTGGCGACGGTGGTTGATTTGGTCTGTCGGAGAATCGGCCGAGGAAATGTCAGGGCACCTTGCACGCAAGAGGAGAGCATCGGAAGGTGGAATCGAGACAAATAAATCATATACGATGAACAGCCAAGTCAAAGTCTCTAAGACAGCATGGCAAGCCCAAAGATAGACCTGTTACATTCCGTTGAACTCCCACCCTATGCCCCATGGCCAGCGACCTTCGTATTGTACATAATTCGACATCTGCACGCTCTGTTTCTTTTTTCGACTTTCCGCCGCAACCCATGAATTGCGTACTGAGTTTTCCAAGGAGAATCCCTTTCCCCTTTACCATTGATTTCGTATACATGGCCAGACAGTGTAAGAGACGGTCTGCTGCGTTTAGTCTTCCAGACACGAAGTCTTCACCCTGTATCAGGGTGATAGACCGGTTGGAAGACCACAAACGTGTGATTAATAATTTGTAGGTAACGAACGTGGAGTGTGCTGTAATGCTGCACATCACTGAAGGGTGATGAGACACGAGGGAAAACGTATTCTATACATGTAAGAGGGTTATAGGAAATGAACCGCGTAGTAGACATTGGCTTCGTTGATCATGCGTAGAAAGCCTCGAAGAAGTAGATGAATCCGAACACCAGAAAAGCGACAGCGCCACCAACCGTGACTATGATATGTTAGCTGGGAGCTTGTAACGTGGATGCCATGACAACTTACCAACTTTGAGACTGACACGGCCTGCGATGGCACGGCCGCCAATAACGGCAGCACCTGTGCAGATGCAGTGGCCAACCATGGCACCAAGAATAACCCACCAATAGTCCTGTCCTGCAGCCATAGCAATCGTTGCAATCTGACTGCGGTCGCCCCATTCGCCCAGGAAAGTCATGACGAACGTTTGAACCCAAGCAGGGCTGAGCAGAAGACCGAGGAGGTTGTTCAGACCGTTGAGAGAGCCTCTGATGCCACCGGAACCAGGAGATGGGCTGCGAGGCGGCGAAGAGGAAGGCGAGCGCGGAGGCGAGGGGAAACGGCTCTTAGACCTAGACTTCCTGCTGCCGTTAAGGCCCATTTCCAGCGCGTAAGGAGACACAGCAGAGCCCCGTCTCTTGCCCTCCTTTTCCTTCTCGGCCAGCTCGCGCTCGACCTCGTGTAGCTCGGCAGTCACACCCTCGTTAGGGTCCATGCCCAAACCTTCACGAAGGAGCTTGGCGCCAAAGACGAAGAACAGGCCAGCAGCGAGGAAGCTGGTGACACGCTTGGGGATCAAAGTCGGGACAGCGTGGCCGAGAACGGCCGACAGGACAGTCATGACCAAAAGAGCACCAAAGGCGGCGGAGAAAACGACCATCCGGTCATGCTTCATGGCCATGAGGGCAGCCACAAGAAACGTCTTGTCGCCAACTTCGGAGACGAGAATCATGGTGAGAGACAGGACGAAGGAGTGGAAGGGTTGGATGACACCCTCAGCTTCGTCGTCGAGGCTGGAAGAAGACTTGCCCTTGGACTTTGAAAGATCCAAGTGGTCCTTGTGCGCCGAGTTGGGAAGCGGGTTGGGCTTGTCGTCGAGCTTGTCAGGGAGACCGGCCGGTTTCTGTCGCATGTCAGCATTTCACGTTTCGACCAATGGGGTAGCAACCAGGGAACTCACCTCGAGCCCCGCAACCTCGTCGGCAGTGTGGTGATCATGATCGTGTTCTTTGCCAGTGGATGTGTCCTTTTCGCTCGAAAGCTTCTCCTGTTCACTGTGCGGCAGAGGGGGCTTCTCCTTAGGGGCCTCTGGCTTGTTGTCGGCCTTTTCGCCAGTCCGGCCCTCAGCTGCCTTGCGCGCCTTATCCTTTTCACTGACACCTCCTTCGGTGCCCGTGGTTCCCTCCTTTGGCTTCTGGCGTGTCTTGTCGTTCATGACACCGTCGTTGGTCTCGGGAATCTTCTTGCCATCGACAACAGTTGGGTCGGAGGGTCGTCCCTTCAAGGGAGGCAAGCCCTTCTTGCCATCTGTATCGGCAGTCTCTTTCTTGGTCTCTCGGGTCTGGTCAACGAAGGGACCCTCGTGAGGCATGCCGTCTTTGCCATCGACGGGCGCGTGGTCGGTGCCGTATCTGGTCTTGATACCAGAGGTGACGGTCGAGTCGGTGGCCTTTTCGGTGGAAGCTACGGCCTTGCCGCCATTCTTGTCCTTGGTTTCGACGGCGAGACCAGCGACGAGGGATGGGATGAGGAGGAGGAGCAAAGGAGAGGGTCGGGTGCGCAGCCTCATGATGACTCGTTCGGGCTGTCGAGCCTCACTGGTATCTGGACAATGGATGTGAAATGTAAAGGAGAGTTTGGAAGTAAGCTCGAGAAATGTTCTGCTCCTCTGCTAAGGGGGGAAAAGAAAAGGAAGGATGTTTTGGTGGTTTCTGATTGACTCTGGCAATGCGACTGCTCAGCCACGGGTTCTAAAATTGTTACGTATCTTTTGCTGCACGGCCACGGGGTAAGCAAGTACCTGAGGGTACCTGGGACGTGAGGTGGGAAGAGCTGGACGCGCCGCCGCCCGCCGTGGCCCCCCATGTTCCGAATCCCTTGAGGCGCCCCACAGGGGGCGACATTGGGGATCATGGAACCCCTAGAATGTTTCCGCCTGAGAGGCTCTGAGGGGGATATTTACATAGAGGACAGTTCAAATGTCGGATAATGGCTTAAAGCGTATAGGCGTATCAAGCAATTGAACTGCAGACAATCGACTGTTCATGCATGCGTAGGGTGTAAAACAAAGTTTTAATGCCGTCGTACATATGTATAACAGCTAAATTAATGAATAGGAACGTCCTCGCTGAACCCATCTCTACCATTTCGTGAACCGTTTGGTGTACCTGAAAACACACGAGAGTCAAAGGTGCGTTGCGCTGCGTTTAACGCGCATTTGACCAGGTTGCATACAGGCGACCCCAGATTTGTTGCTGACAGAATTCCAAGAAGTTGCTTGGCTTGACCAGAAAAAGGTACGTATCTGTAAAGTGCCCGAGGAGAGCTCCAACAGCTGGCGCCACTGACTTGCCGGAGCTTACAGCAGCTGTGCTATCTTATCTCCGCCGTTTGGTCCAGGACACCCCACCTCCCCGGGGACTGAATGAATGTCGTCACGAACGACCGCTTCTTCATGAAACATAATCTGAGCGTTGCCTCTTGTTGTCTTTCCTGTTCACTTCAATCGTCTTGTTCTCCTGCAAGTCAGCCTTAGAACGCATCACGTACATATAGCTCGGCATCTAGACGATTGCCACGGACATTCCTGCATAAGACCCTCCATCACACGTCGGCAGTCTCAAATCCGAGCTCCGTTGTATCACTAAGCATCAATCCGAACTTCCGTGTGAACCCAAAGCCAAAATGGACGACTCTGGAGACAGTATGCGATCGCCCTCAGCAAGCATGAATTTGATTGAAGAGGATGACGAGCCGGCCTGGACTTATACCTATGACCCGGAAGATGCCGAAGGAATGGACGACGACGATGAGTACGACCCTGACTTTCAAGATGAGCCAGAGGAAGAAGACGGGGACGACGATGATGAGTATCATGGTAGCAATCACTTCTCTTTCACGTCGAACCATGCAGAGACTTACCATGCGCAGATGCCGAGGAGGGCGAGGACAGCAACGTAGAAGTGGAAGTGTTCATGGGTGCTGGCGACGAGGATGATGATGATGATGCTGAGGAAGACGGCATGGCCGCTAATCCAATATCGAGACTCATGACTCTCATCAGTGAGTCAAACTAAGGTTCAAGTAAATCCTATGCCAACCTCGCTAATCTATGATACAGCTGGTGCTGCGGGCAACGGGACAGGGTTTCTTACACGAGCACAACTGCTAGGCCTGATTCAAAGTGGCGAAGTTACATTGCGCAGTACACTCGACGACGAAGACGACGACGAAGACATTGGCTGGGGAAGAAGACGCAGACGGCCTCGCGCACGGGAGCCGAATCGCTTCCCCAAAGTACCGAGCGAAGAGGGCACGAAGTTGATGCACTCTGGAGTTTTCGGCGCAAACGATTATCGAGTCACGAAGAAGAAGCAACTGGCACGCAGGATATTGGACCGCGAGCTCGGTCTGGGAGATAGGCGCGACCGGAAGCAGAATCAAGATCTCATGGCCCAAGGCATGATACCCTCGACGAATCCCGAAATGATTGTGCACTACGACGATCCCGTTTACTCCGGCCAATTCTCCGACGACGGTAATTTCTTTTACGCCTGCGGTCACGACTTCAAGGTCCGCATGTATGACACCTCGAATCCGTACAATTGGAAATATTACAAGACGGTCAATTACCCTTGGGGACAGTGGACACTGACCGACGCATCCCTGAGTCCTGATAATCGCTGGCTCGCTTACACGTCAATTCAAAGTAATGTTTGTCTGGCACCTACGGATCCCAACGACACGGGAGACCCATACACTTTGGATCTGGCAGAGAGAAGTGCGGGAACTCAACACGCAGGATGGCGATCGAGACATTCCTTTGGTATTTGGTCTGTAAGGTTTTCGGGAGATGGTCGTGAGCTCGTGGCCGGCACCAACATGCAGTCAATCGTCGTTTACGACATTGAGTCGCGCACTGTGTTACACAATGTTGTCGGCCACGAAGACGACGTGAACGCTGTGTGCTTCGCAGACAAGTCTTCTCCTCACATTCTCTACTCCGGATCAGACGATGCCACCATCAAAGTCTGGGATCGACGTAGCATGGGAGACGGCCGGCCAGCTGGTGCTTTTGTGGGCCACGTGGAAGGCCTCACGTACATTGACAGTAAAGGCGACGGTCGATACATTCTGAGTAACGGCAAAGACCAGACGATGAAGCTTTGGGATCTGAGAATGGTCATGTCCACGGCCAAGTACGACGAAGTCAACCCCACGAGGTTGACCAGCAACAGCGACTTCGACTACCGATGGGGAACATATAGGGACGAAGACTGGTTCCCACACCCCAACGACAACTCGCTGGTGACGTTCAGAGGTCATCGTGTAATGCGCACGTTGATTCGATGTCACTTTTCACCACCATCGAGTACAAATTCGCGTTACGTCTATTCTGGTAGTCAGGATGGCAAGGTTTACATTTGGAACATGGACGCCACGCTCGCTGGCACCATCGACGTGAGGAAGGCGACCAAGAACTCGAGGCCACTGGAGCGAAGATACCGTGTCTACCACGGTGACGACTTCCCCGGCTGGAATACGTGCGTGCGCGACGTGAGCTGGCATCCCAATGCGCCAGTTCTCGCTGGTAAGTCCTTCATATTCTGCAAGTTTCGGGCTATAGCTAATCTCTTCCAGCGTCTGCATGGAACGGATACAACATGGCTCATGGAACTTGCACGCTGCATTCGTATAACGAAGCCGAAGATGACGAGGCAGAGCCGCCAATGGGTCGGAATGTCGACGAGAAGCTCCGCCCAGTTGGCGAATCATTCCAAAGCTAGTTACTTCTCGTCAAGAACCATTTCACTTTTGGAAAAGCGCTGTGGGATGATTATTTTAATTATTTTGTACATCTTCCACACATGTCCAATCCCTCTTTTGGCAATGATACATGATCGATGAAGCCTCTTTGGTCTCGGGGTATCTCCCATCACTCCCGCATAGCACCTCTTTTAAGTGTTGCTGCGCCGCTTCTGCAATCTGCCCGTGCAATGCTTTTGAGACCCATCCCTACGTTTAAATCATGTTTGGTCGTCACGTGTTGACGTGAACGTGTTCGAGAAGCCGGCCCGACATGTCGGTGCTTCCATTGAAAGGTAGATACATGGCGTTTATGCGCCTCCGACAAGGATGTTGTTAAGGGGAATGTGAATCAGCTTGACGATGTAGCCGACAGCACCCATGATGAGGAAACCGACACCGACGGCCTGGCAAAGCTTCAAGAACTCGAGCTTGTCGGCTGAAGGACACGTTAGTATTCGAAAAGCTGACAGGAAATGCAACACGAGGGCGCAACGTACGCTTGGTGCACCTTCTCATGAATTGAACACCTTCCTGAGCGAACTCGGAGGGAACCTCGAGGATCTCCTTGACTTGGTCGGCCATTGTGGATAGAAGCGCGCGTGGGTTGCGGAGAAGAGAAAGGGGTGGGTAACTTGATGAAAGTCGCAAAGGAAATCCCAATGGGCCGCAGGGAACAAGAAACTGCAAAGTCGATGAAGGAAAGGCGCGACGACGTGTGTTTAAGGCGTTGCAGGTCGGAGAGGTGGAAGATTCGAGAGGTTCGAATGGATAGAAGGGAGATGTGTTAAATTGAAGCGCGCTGTCACCAACTAGTCCCCAAAATTTCGGGACAAGCTCCCGCTGTGGAAGGAAGAGCCAGATTGCCATTAAGGAGGCATGGAGGAATTATGCGCCGGCCGCCGAGGCGCACGCCACTGGACAGATTGCTTATCTAAGGTTGGGATGATAGGAAGGTCCCCTTGGTGTTCCCCTTCAGACCTCAGTGGAGGAGGACCCCCTGGATTCCCCCGCTAGTGGGCAGAGAGGGTCTGGTCTGGGCCATTTTGACCAGCCACAGCTCAGCGCATTCAAGCACATGACAGGGAGATGAGGTAAGGTACGTACCGGCTCAGCGGGCAGTCGCGAGCCCCATACGGGCATCCACTGGTGTAGTCTGTGCCTGCCGCAGCCTGGCGGCCCTTGTCCAGTCCCGCCTGGCTCAAGATGCGACCTCAGCTCCTGAGAGAGCTCCCCCCAGTTTTCTTTCCCTTCCCAAACGTTCCTCCACTCACCTTCGTCGACCGCATCTCTTTCTTCGCGTCAACATCAAACCGAGACGTCCATACCTGAGCTGCACGACAACATCACAGCTCCACCCAAGCTAGCCTACGCGTCGATTTTTCAGCCATCGCGATAAACGTCAGATAATCAGCGAAGCGACGCGCAGCTGCTGCTTACTCGCGAACCCGCCGGAAACCTTCATTGGGCTTCCTTGATCACTAACTCATCACGGCTAACAGCATCACCCACATAGTGAGCGGGCAGGAACACGGTTGGAGCGTCGGCCAAAGGCGGTGGCAGAACGAGCAAACAGTCTCTGGAATCTCGGGATCCTGTTTCCATTCTCCCTCGTCCCAACTACATCATCTTGTTCCCTGTACCTAAGGCTTCTGGGCCGAACAAGGAAAGAACTACGGTCACGTCGCCATTGGGGAAGACCGAAGCACAGAGCTTCGTCTTCAATTTTTATTTGGCTAAAGGAGAGGATTATATTGGCTTGGCAATTTCCATCCAACCTCTTCCATTCTGTCTGCGGAACGAGGAGTGTACGTATCAGATGTTCTCTGTTTTCTATCCTATGTTCGAATTCGCTTTTTGGCTCCAGACTTTGGCAATGACCCTGTATTGGCAGCGGCTGATGATCATGTTCAAGACTGCAGACATATCCTGTATCTCGCAGACTAATAACAACCTTTTTTCAACTACAACCAAGCTCACTGCCCCAACTCACGGCTACCAGATAAGAACGTCGCCATGGCTGAGGAGGAATTCGAGATCGATATCTACGGCGATGCGCCCCAGGATCACCAAGACGGAAACGCCGAGAACTACGATGGAGCCAACGGTCATGCGGACAACCACCAGGAACAACATGATCAGCAGGAGCACCACGACGATCAGCAGAAGCACGACCAGCAGGAGGAATATCACGACCAGCAAGAGGCGCCTGCTCCTCAACAGGGTGTCAAGAGAAAGGGCGACGACCGGCCGATCGATCCTGGCGCAACCACAGCTCTGATGGTCTCGGATCTTAACTGGTGGAACACGGACGACGACATCAGGGGATACGCCAGAGCAGGCCATTGCGAGGACGAACTCAAGGATATCACGTTCAGTGAACACAAGGTGAACGGAAAGAGCAAGGGGTACGATTCATGGTGTGAGGTTGCCTTGCATGCAGAGATGCTAACGCCACCCACAGACAAGCCTACATTGAGTTCACATCGCAGCAAGCTGCCACGGCCGCCAAGCACGCTTTCGAGTCGACAGACAGCGCTCAAGGCGTACCGAAGAAATACCAGGTTACTTACTCGAACCCCCACGTCAACCCGTTCCGCACGCTGCCTAAGGATGCACCGAACCGCGCAGGTAAAGACCAGGGCAGCCGACCGAACAGCAACTACAACAACCAGGGTTCCTCGATGGGCGGCAGCGACTTCCGTGGAAACGGCTACCGCGGTCGTGGAGGCTTCAACGGTCCCCGTGGCGGCATGAACCAGGGCGGCTTCAACCGCAACTTCTCGGGCGGCATGGGAGGTGGCTTTAACAATAACAACATGGGAGGCGGCGGCTTCAACAACGGCATGGGCGGCGGCAATTTCGGCGGCGGCGGTTTCCAGCGGGGCGGTGGCTTCGGTGGTGGTATGCGCGGTGGCCCCGGCATGCGTGGTGGCCGAGGCGGCATGCACAACCCGATGGGTGGTATGAACATGGGCCCGATGGGAGGCATGCCCAACATGGGTATGCCTAACATGGGCATGATGGGTGGTGGAATGCCTGGTACGACTCCCTTTGTTTTTGACTTTTCTCAGCGAAATCACACTCCCCCAATATCTCGACTTGCCTCTGGTTCAACCCAGAAGCGGAAGCCCTCTGGTCGGCGAAAAGGCAAAGCTGCCAACACCGGCCGAAACGAGACCCCCTTGAGCACCAAACGGCTGAAGGTGCAGCCAAAGCATGTATCTGAACAACCAAAACCTGTAATTGCACCAGAGGTCGGCCGATGAATAAAGGAGAGCGGTTTGGGGTTTACCATGGTTGCCCCTCCGCTCCCTGCAGCTACTCGGTTCAGCTCGAGGATGCCGCCTCACTGCTCGGCTCCTCACTGAATGTTCTTGACTGATTTCCCTGCTGTTTGCGTTCTCATTTGTTATTTGTCAAAGAACACTTAAGCTGACTCTTTTCCAGGATTCCAAGGCATGCCTCAACAGTTCAATCCTGCATTCTTTGGCGGTAACCAGGGTGGTGGAAACGACTGGGGCAACCCTCACGGTGCTAAGCGACCTCGACCCGAGTAGGACTACCGGCCAAGGCAGTTTGCGCGATCCTGAGGTAATAGCCGAATCGACTTGTCGCGGCGCGATCCAGTTGTCATCGCGTCGTAGAGCTTTCGGTCACAACCTCCTCACCGCATCACATTTAGGATTCATTCCTTCGACTAGGGCTATTTCATCGACGGGATCTCTTTGCGTTTGTCAGAGAAACTTAGTTGATCAAGGCCTCTAAGCTTCAGATGAGTGGCGGGTATATTGGCTGCGACGTCACGAAGCTCATTGTTGCTACGGATGGATGATAGCAACCACCAAAATGCAAGATGTTTGCTTTGAGTTATTGTATGTGTACTATTAGAATATGGCTGCATGGGAACAGCCCCTAGCACCTCGGTTACGGCGTTACAGTTCAGACCTCAAAAGCACAATCTACGACTGCGTTTCGTCGTTTCACGCCTCGCTGCTCTTTGCTTTGCAGGAACCGGTAGATTATTGTGTATCGGAAGCCTTCAACTTGTCTATCGTGCCGCGTACTAGCAGCTGTATCTGCTTCCAGCGAGCCACAACCATATCACGCTGAAACTGCTCACCTTCGTCCAGGCCGCGCACTGTCTTCATCTTGGACTCAATCTCCTCATCATACGCCGACAACATCTCGCACAGCAACGCATCGACCTCGGGCTGCTCGGCCTCTCCGTCCGCAAACCCGTCCACGAATTGCGCCCACTGCCTCGCCGGCAACACGAGCGTCCGCAGCGCCACCTGCGTACGGTAGCACACCGTCTCCGCGTCAATGACATAATTCCCGAGAAAACCCCTCTCCTCCAACCGTCGCCTGTGCGCGGTGCCCAGGCGAGGCAGCAGCACGTCGTCGATGCAGATCTCGTCCCACTCGTTTTCGCCCTGGGCCATGACGAAGCCGTACTCGACGAGAAGGAAATCGTTGCTGTGGCGGCCGTAGCAGATGTGGATCTCCTCGCCGGGAGCGTAGGCGCGATCGGCTTTGATGGTGAAGGAGTGCTTGTCAAAGGCGACGGAGCAGCCGCGGGAGGCGTGGTTGAGGAGGTCGGCGACGGGTTGGAGGATCATGTGGTCGTCGCGGTGGCGTTTTGCGGTTTTGGGTGTGACGTGGTAGAATGTGCGCGAGTTTACGAGGAGCCAGGCGTGGAGGTAGGATTCGTACGTGAGTTTGCCGTCGCTGCCTTCTGGGTGCTGGTACTGGTGCTCGTCATCCTGGGGTAGGTCTGGGAGAGGGGTGGAGGAGACGAGGGACCAGTGGGATTCGAATTTCTCGCGCTGGGCTTTGAGGAGGGTGAGGGCTTGGGAGGGAAGGAGGGAGGCGAGGGTTGGCGAGGAGGAGGACCAGGTTAGTGGGCAGGAGGAGAGGTCTTTGGGCGTTGGGAAGACGGCGGACCAGATTTTGAAGGAGGGGGATACATCGAGGGCGATGTCTAGGGCCAGGAGGGCGTGGACGTGTGTTTCTTTTGGGAAGGGGCGGGTTAGGGGTTTTGGGATTGTTGCGATTGTTTTTAGGCAGGGGATTGGGACGTCTAGGATTGTGTCGTCTTTCTGGGGTGGTGGTCGTGGTGTTAGTGAGATGAAGGTTGTGAGAAGTGTGAGAGGCATGGCTTACTTTGAGAGGTGATGTTACGACGATTCCTATGCCTCTTCCTGGAAGAGTACGGGGGCCGACGTTTGATACTGTTATTCCTTGGGTCTGAGCCCAGGATAAGAGGTTCTCGATTGCGTCCATTTGGTATGTTGTTTAGAACCAAAGAATGGATTGGATGGTGGTGAATTTAATAGACTGAGGTTGAGGTGAAGGCAGTTTGGAAAAGTGATGAAAGCTCATGCAGGTATGAGTCGGTATCTTGATAACTTTGTAGTCAAATGCAGTCTCTGTGAGAGAAAGTTGTTATGGGAGTAGTTGCCTTATGAGATGTAACCCTCTAGTCTTACACCGGGACGGTGAGTGGTTCTCTCATTCGTGGAACGTCGACAAGGTTGTATGAGACTGAGATGCGCAAGTCCTGAAGGCCTGGATGTCGAGTATCTCTGCTTCTTTGAGAATTTGGAGTTGCGCTCAAACCTAATGAACCCAAGAATAAGATTTGGTTGGCAGCAGAGTCTTGTTGTTGTGAAAGCTTCAAGTTTGACAAGACGGAGGGAGTTGAGATGAATTTCACCTTCCAGGTGAAGTGACGAATCAAATGCGCCAGGGCGCAATTCCAACGATCTGGAACGGCAGGCCCTGTCCCACCACCAAAGTGCTCACCTAAACCACCGCCGAAGAAATGTACAACAGCGGACAGCGTGCCAATCGTAAAGGTCGGCGCTAGTATCCACCGACTCTCCGATCCGACCTACGGGACCCTAGCTGTCCAAATTCTCGGGGGACCGTCGCCGAGGTGAGGTAATGGAGCTGCCCCGAGCTTCCAAAAAGTGTTCCGGTCATCGAACCACTTTCAACTCTGAAGTGAGCAGATAGCCCTTGACAGCTCTCAACAGCTCCCTCGCCCAAAATCTTCAACCTGCCGACGACTTCAAACGGCATGCCACGAACTCAAAGGTCATAGACGAAACAAATCAACAAAATGAAAGCCCTCACAACCCTCCCCGCGGCCCAAACCCGCCGCGCCCTCCCCGCCATCTGCGCCGCCTGCACATCAACGACGCCCTCCTCCTCTTCCACCCCCTCGCGCCGCCCCTTCTCCGTCCTAAACCGCCCACCGCCAAACTACCCAGGCCACGTCCCCCTCACCAAAATCGAGCGCGCCGCCCTCGGCCTCGGCGCAGGCATCTGGTCCCTGCTAAGCCCCTACCGAGCCGACCTCATCGCCGCCGTAGGCGAGACCACCGCGACCCCCTACTTCATCTACCGCCTCCGTGACGCCATGCTCGCCGACCCGACCGGCCGCCGCATCCTGCGCGACCGGCCGCGCATCACATCCACCTCGCTCAACCTCGCCCGCCTGCGCACCATGCCGGACAACAGCGTCGGGCGCGCTTACGTCGCCTGGCTGGATGCCGAAGGCGTAAGCCCGGATACGAGGCCCGCGGTGCGGTACATCGACGACCCGGAGTGCGCGTACGTGATGCAGCGGTACCGCGAGTGTCACGATTTCTTCCACGCGCTGACGGGCCTGCCGATTGTGAGGGAGGGCGAGGTGGCGCTCAAGGCGTTTGAGTTTGCGAATACGTTGATCCCGATGACGGGGTTCGCGGTGCTGAGTTACGCGACGATGAAGGCTGGGGAGAGGAAGCGGTTTAGGGAGATTTATGGGCCGTGGGCGGTGAAGAATGGGATGAAGGCCAAGGAGGTGATTAATGTCTACTGGGAGGAGCAGCTGGAGAGGGACGTGGATGAGTTGAGGGCCGAGTTGGGGATCGAGAGGCCGCCTAATATGAGGGAGATTCGGAAACGGGAGAGGGAGGAGAGGAGGAGGGCGCAGGAGGCTCTGAAGGGGGTTTGAGACTGCGGTGTTTGTGGGTATTGTGTATAGACGCGAGGTTTGTACAGATATTGTATGTTTGATGTAGTTTTTGTTTGATTTTAGAGTCCTGGTGGAAATCCCACTCGGACAGAAGCCAATCTGCTACGTTTTGCAGTCATGCTTTATAAACGCCCTCCAACGCCGGCATGTTGTCCCTTCCAGCAGATGTAGGTTCGCAGTCTCCGCCAGGCGACTCGAAATCGACGAGGTAAACATCATCGAAAGAGACCCCTACACACTGCGGACAGAACACACATGCTTGAAATGAACCACCCTTTACCCTGATGACTCTGCAGACTGCAACTACAAATCCAACAAATCATCATCGTCATCATCCCACCCCTTACGTCTGCTCACCACAATCTTCTCCTCCTCCTTCGTCCCCGCCACGGCCTCGAGCAACTCCTTGAGCTGCGTCTCGGTGACTTTGCTGCGCAGCTGCCCGCTCTGCGCGAGCATGATGAGCCTGTTCTCCACGTCCTGCGCGCGCTGCTCCTTGACGAGGCGGATGCGGCCCAGGCGGTCCGCCGCTTCCGGGTGGAGGATCTGGTTGAGGATCTGCTGGCGGGCTTCTTGTTCTTGTTGTCTGCGGTGGACGCTGGGTTAGCTGACGTCTTGTGTTCTTTTTTCGTCGTGGACGGAGATGAAAGAGGGGAGAGAGGTCGGGATGTCATGGGAGTCGGTCGCGTTTGAGGAAATCTTGGTGCTCTCTCGATGAAGGTTAGGAACGAAAGACGACGTACTGGCGCTGTTCTTGTTGCTGCTGCTTGTTCGAGCCGCCGCCGCCGCCGGAGCTACCTCCCGCGCCGCCTTGCGCCTTGAGCTGCTCGAGGCGGGCCTTGCGGATCTGTAGTCGCTTGCGTCAGTCCCATGTTACAAGCGCTCCCGTCGCGCAGAAGAGTCCTGGTGGTACGCACTTGTTCGAGTTCGGAGTCGTCCATGTTTGCGAGTATCTGGTTGCGTTTGTTTGCGCGGAGTGGTTTGGTGGAGGTTTGGGTTGTTTGGGTCAGAGAAACGCGGGGCTCTTTCTGGTCTGCCTGACGTCCAAGTTTTTGGCGGGGTTTGGAGCTTGGGGTCTTTTTTTGGCGCCTTACAAATTTCATGACGACGTGCGGTACCAAATATTAACAACGTAGACTATCTACCTTGAACACAAGAGACCGAATTATTTTTCAACATATTACATGGTAATGACAATCTTCAAAATATGTGATGAAATATCTAAAATGTCTAGATTCTGTGCTTGAATGTAGTCATACAATGCTAAACCGCCCATCAAGTAAAATACATACAGACGTCCAGTTGTACAGCCGTCGACCGCATCATTCACCTCCTCGAGGTCAGCTCTAATGGCATGTACGACCGGTTCTTCTCCACTTGCGCCTTATGCTTTGCCTTCACCATGCCCACAACCATCTCGTTCGCCGGCAGTTTCACGCCCAGCCTACGACCCCTCTCGATGAAGAAGCCGTTCAAATAGTCAATATCCGTCAGCATGCCCCGTTGGATCTGCAACGCCATCTTACTCGGCGCGGACCCCTTCCCTCTAAGCTTCCCCATAATCTCCTTGCGCATGCCTTCACCACGCAGGACGCTCTGCAGCTCGGGCGAGTTCTTGACCTCGGGCATGCGCGCGACCACGTCGGCGATCTCGTTCAAGAGCTGGTTGATGAGCTTGTTGGCCGTCGGGTTGTAGATGAGCTCATTGTAGCGGTAATCCAGCATGACGCAAATAGGGTCGCAGACGGCCGAGAACATGAGCGACGGGATCTTGACCTTCATCCAGCTGTCGAGGGCCAGACCTTTTGCCTTGAGGAGGTCCGACGACGCAAACTGCTTCATCATCCCTTGCGTCCGCAGCCAGCTATCTGTCGAGAGGTGCTTGGATTTTTTGGGGCCGTAGTAGGGCCGCACGCCAGCGAGCGCCGTCTCGTATTTCGGCGTCATCACCTTGACCGACTTTGCCTTTCGGTCAAACGCCAGAGAATGTGTCATGTGTCCGAGCATAATCGACGGGCGCTTATCTTTCTCCGGGAAGACTCGGTTGGTAGCTGCCTCCGCGACGCCGAGTCCGTCTTGGACGTAGCAGACGGCCGTCCTGTCGTCGATCCGGTGCTTGACCTTTTCGAGCAGCTTGATGCTCTCGCTCGGTCTCCCGGCCACCACAAGGTTGCTGATATGTGTATCGTCCTTCTCAACTTCCGGCGACGTCTCTAATGCAGCATTCGGTTCGATCCAGCCTTTTGGATTCTTCCTGGAGCCTAGGTTCCCGGCAATGCCCCGATATGGTGTGTTGGCGGGTATGTCTAGCGTCTTGACCGAGTCGTAGATGCCGTGCAGAGCGTGTGACAGGAATAGCGATCGCTCGTCGTTTCCGAGAACGTGAACCGTACGCGACGAAGGTGGCGGCGTCGAGTTGTGTCCCATCATGACGGCCGGCACATAGAATCGTGATGTTGAATCCGCCCTGAAGATGGCGTATAGCTCTTTTTCATTTTGCTCGGGCTGTAGACCCAGTACTTTGTTGAATTTTTGCTTCGTCTGGCCCGGTACACCCAGTGTTGTGCCTCCAGGAACCGTAGCTGCCATCTCTTTGGGTGCCACCCTTCCAGGGGCGATGCCCTGCGGCGGCGCTGCTCCCGTCCCGAGACCGAGTCTATTATCGATCGATACACATCTGATGGCTCCCCGGCCCATAGAGGCGTTACCGGTCCTCCATATCGTATGTGTTTTGGGTATCCGCGCGGAGAGCCGCGGTCTCGGGAGGCTTGCCAGAGTGCCTGCCACGATGAAGGCTTCGAGGGTTCGGCGCAAATCACTGCGCAATGCTCATTAAGGGGAGGATTGAGGCGCGATCTTGGGCGATTATAGCTGTAACAACTCGATAATAGTATACGTGGTCGTCGAAAGTGTGGAAAACGGTGTTCGGATATAATGGGCGTTCTTTTTCGTGGTTAATGAGCGTGTGGTCTTGTCTTTGTCGCAAGAAGGAGGCGTTGAGATGGGTGTGGATGACGGGGACACTCGTTAGGTTCTCTCTCAAAATTTGGCGCGTGGTAGGTGGTAGGTGGTAGCCGTAGAATCCCGGCCGGCAGGAACCCGACCCACCGAGCGTGCGGCGATCCCTGCGCCTCGTTAGATGCATGCAAATCCTTCAACGCCCGGATTTCTGAATTTTCAACGTCCGTCTCATCGATGAGAAGGAGCTAGTAACGGGCACTCACTTACATCCATCGCATCCATTTCATTGTTGCTTTTGACCAAGGGATTACATCCATTTTCCAGGTCGGATTCATCGATTTTTATTTTTCCGCGGCTACATCAACAACAACCATCATGGCGCTCAAGGACATGACCCCCGACCTGAAGAAGCTCGATTCTCACATCGACTCTCTTGAGGATGCACTCAAGCCCCTGATTGACAACCTTCCCGAGATGGCCAACGAGCTCCCCCTGCTCGACAAGGCCAAGATGTACGCTCTTACTGCCTACGCCATCGAGACTCTTCTCTTCTGTGAGTGCCTTTATGCAGCAAACATATATCGTCGTCGTCCCCCTGACTAACCCCAATGACAGCATCACTCCGTCTCCAAGGCGTCGACGCCAAGGATCACCAGGTTATGACAGAACTGAAGCGCGTGCAACAGTACTTTGGCAAGATCAAGGGTGCAGAGGAGACACCCGCGCAGCGCACAACGACAGTCAACACGGAGGCCGCAACCCGCATTCTGAAAGCGGACCTTGTAAGTCGCATTTGCAGGGGGAAAAGATATCTGGACCTGAGCAAGCGAAATTGACCAACCGCCGCAGGGAAGCAACGACCAAACGCTGAAGAAGAGGCTGGAGGAGAAACTTGCCGAGGAGCGCGCCAAGGCACTGCTCAACTCGATGCAGAAGACCAAGAGGCCGGCTCCCGAGTCGCCGTCCGCCAGCTCCTCTGGCCCGGAGAAGAAGCAGAGGAACTCGAGAAGGAAGAGCTCCAACAAGAACAAGTCTTGAGAGCGGACTTCCGTGAAGACCTTGATGAATGTCCACGATGCCGCTTACAAGAAAAAGATTTTCGTTTGGCTGTCACAGGAAATGGAGGAAGAATCGCCAAAACAGTTGGACGCCTCTGAGCCACGAGAGATACTGCAGATTTGAGGTGCACATGGCTGTCTAATGCCATGTTAGGCGAATTGAAGATCACAGCCGACCTTACTGCGTCCTGAAGCGGAAGTAGGTCAACATTGGCTGAAGATTACCCTCATGGACTGGAGTGGCAATGTTATTTTGCGCACTGGGAAAAAGGATACCCCCGAGATAGAGATGGATACCAAATAATGAACAAAATTCCTCAATGCGCGGTCATTGTCTAGACACCCTCATTTCATGTTCAGAAGTATGCCACAGCGTTGCCACTCAAACTGCCATATTCGCCCCCTTTACTACATATACCTTATCCACCACTACCCAGGCAAGATATTCATTTAACCAGGAAAGGACCCTTCCCCAATTCCTGACCACGACCAAATTCGCCCTCCGCTGATTGGCCACACCACGCCACCCACCCCCGGCCCGCCGAGCTTTGCAACTCACGCCGAAAGGCACCTCTCCAACTTTTGTCACCTTAACCCCGGGGCGCATAACTTCTGCCGACTTCCCTACCCATCCACCCGTCATTTCTGCTCTCTTCAAAACACCACCCGCTCCCTCACTTCACGAAGTCACGATCAACACTACCAACTACACCATCTCATCTCACTCGAGTCCTCTACACACACAAATCCTCCAAGATGCCTCGCCAACGCTCCGCCGGCCGCCCCAGCGCCCCCTCGCGCCCTACCGTCTCGGCCGCGAAGCCCGCTCCCACCCAGACTCGCCCGGCAACGACCATGGCCGCTCCCCCCCAACAGCACGCCGCTCCCCCGGCCGCGGCACCCGCTGCTCCCGCCGCCGCTGCGCCCTCCCAAGGCCCCGGCCTCTTTGGCCAGATGGCTAGCACCGCTGCGTACGTTCCCCATCCTACAAAAGACACCTACACCCGCAGAAGGAGATATCTAGGCCTCCCCTAGCTTAAGAACCTCTCCTCCTTCCTCGACAATCACTCCCTCAAAAAGAACTCTCAAGAAAGGACCAGAAGCTAACTTAATTGTTCCCTCAACAGCGGTGTCGCAATCGGCTCCTCCATCGGCCACGCCATCGGCGGCATGTTCGGCGGCGGCTCCTCCGCGCCCGCCGAGGCCGCGCCCCAGAACAACTCCCCCGTCGCCTCGGGCGAGTCCTCGACCACCCAGCAATGGGGCAACAACTGTGCCGGCGCCACCCAGCAGTTCACAAAGTGCATGGACGAGCACGGCGGCAACATGCAGATCTGCAATTGGTACCTCGAGCAGCTCAAGGCCTGCCAGGCTGCTGCTAGCCAGTACTAGACACCCAGCAACTCTACTTGTGTGAGAGGAACGGGCTTATAGCTACTGCACGTGTTTGAAATATTCAACTTCTTCGGCTGAAAAATAGTCGGGGCGGTGATATGTGTACCTTAATAGTCAAAAACGGGAATGGGAGGGAAAGCAAAACAAAGGAGAAAAAACTGGGCCTTGGAGCTTTCACGGAATTCATACAGCATTTTTTGCATTGGCGGAAGCATTGAAAGATGGGCCATTGAGGAAGAACTACATCTCCCGACGGTGTACAATACATGACATTCCCCCTCGTTAAATTACCTTTGCGCTTCATCTCATACGGTGTGATGTTGAACATGGTTGCAATACAGCCCGGCCCCCTTACTCGTCCTTCTTCTCATCCGGCCGCGGTTCAAAGTTGAGCTATGATTAAGTCAGCAATCATGATTCAACATTATCTTCACCTCTGTCCTTGGGTTCAAGCGGACAGGAAAACTTACAGAGTTGCCATTGTACAGCTGATGATCACCCCTCCGATCATCAGGATTCGCAAACTGCGAAAACTTACCCTTTCTCTGCTCCCTCACCGTAACTGGCTCCGCGCCCTCCTCCTCCTCAGCCGCCGCCCGCCTCGCACCCAGCCCAGAAAACACACCAGAGATCAGCCCCCAAAGCCACTGCAGCAAGCTCAACGGCAACAAAAGAAACGTCACAGCCATCTCCCCAAACGACGACCCTCCCGCGTACGCACCAACGTGCGCGCCAATAGGCGCCAGCACGAGCGTCGAGGATGGCGACAGCCCCAGCTCCGCCAGACTCTTGCCCTCCTCCGTGTCGTCAATCAACCTGCTCGGCCGCGGCGCAAGCACAACCTTGAACCGGAACGGCTCCCCACCACTTCCGCTGCCTGAAAGCTCGCTCTCAACCCACTTGCGCACCTCCCCGCCAAGCGTCTTCGCGCTAGGAAACCGCGACCGGATCGTCGACCCATCCAAAAGCCGAACCTGCAGCGCCGTCATCCCGCTCGCAGCAGAGCTCGACGGCGCAAGCGAACTCGACTCGGACCTCGTCAGCGCGGCCGCGACCTCCCCCAGCTTAGGCGACGCAGCCTGGGTCCTAAGCGCAGCACGCTCCGCGGCCTTCGCTCTCCTCTCGGCGCGGTCGTCCTCGATCTTCCTCAGGATGCGAGCCTTCTCGTCGGCCGCCTCCTGGCGCGCTTTCTTCAGGGCTTCCTTGTGGTTGCGCGTCTGCTCCGCCTGCTTGGAGTTGTCGGTCTCGGCCTTCTCCGCCGCGGCTGCGCGAGCTGCTTTTGCCTTCCTTTCGGACTCGAGGCGCTGGGCTTCCAGGCGCGCGCCGCGCTCTGCGAGGACGGCGCGGAGGGTGGCGGCGTTGTCTTCTTCTTGGGTTGGGGTGGCCGGGCCGCGCGGGCTGGAGGAGGTTGTGCCGGGCCGCGCGGGTTGCTGGTCCGTCGTGACAGGGGCGGCTGCAGCGCGAGGAGGGTTGTACGGGGTCTCATCGTAGAGGTCGTCGGTGGGTTGGGCGGCCGGCGCGGGAGCTGGGACTGGTGCTGAACTGGCTGCCGCGGGTTGAGCTACTGCTGCGGCTGCTGGCTGGCCCTGAGCGCCACGGAATGCGGCTGTGATGCGCCTGACAAACTCATCCTTGCTGGTGCCGGCAACGATGTACTCCTTGAGGTCGCCATTCTTGATCACGACGACGGTGGGAGTGTTGGGCAGGGGGAAAATGGCGGCCAGGTAGCCCGCCTCTTCCGATCCCTTCTTCAGGCGCAGTGCGACGGCCTCATCTTGAAGTAAAGTCGCAATCTGGTCCAGTCGTTAGTCCCTAAGCCGAGATATCTTTGTCATGGGAAGCTCAAGTACGTACCGAGCTCTCTGTCAGGTACTCAGTCTCCCAAGTCTGGCTCTCAGCTTCCTCATCTACGTCTTATCAGTGGAAAGGTCATATAGGTATGAGCTGTGAGATGTAAGCTTACCCGTGACAAAGCAAAAGACACATTTGCTCTGCTGCAGTGCAGTGGCAATGCCCTCTTGCAGACCTCCTGTGAAGAACATAATGATGGTGGCGAGAATATATGTAGGTCTCTAGTAATTCCTCTCTGGGTTGAGTCTAGGAAGTTTGTAAGTTTACGGTTGAGTGTTGCTCTGAGGAGAAGAGGGATACGGACGCTGTGGAGCTCAATCTTGGACGATGCTGAACCTAGATCTGAAATAAACCCACCAAAGCTTTCAAGGTGTCAATCACAGCTTGCTCCTAGATTCTTCACAGCAGCACTTTGTTTGGGTACAGAGCAATATCGCCTTGTCGTCTGATGAATATCCAACAGCTCAAAGATGACGAAGGAACAAGTGTCGTTGGTGTAGCTGCGAACGGCACCAGGGGACCTTGCCTTAGTCCAATGTATCCCTCTCTTCCGGGGGCGGATAGCGAGCCACCCTATTGGCGTCGCCCCACCTTTTCAACGCCACTCCACACTGAGGTACGTCCCATTGCTTCTGCAGCTTTGGGAGCTCGCTCCCAGCTCATCCGTTTTGCATTTCCCGCTGCTCAGGTACCCTAGAACGGGCCGGCCGGACCCCAAAAAACCGAAATATCCTGACCTCATCATCCGTGCCGGCAAGCTCTCACTTGTGAAAGTCCTCCCACCCGCATCACCACCGGGGGAACCACCGATTCACCAGCCCCAAACCTCACAATGCCGCCTCCTTTACCACGAGCGCTCTTCCGGGCACCGGGCCCCGCGGCGCAAACCTGCCTACGCTCAATTGCCCGTCCAAGGACATTCCCTTCAGCTCAATCATCACCATCATCACCACGCGCACCAACAACCCGCAAATTCCACACCACCCCCCGCGCCCGCGCCTCCGAACCAGCCCCCGACTTCCACTCCATAGTCGACAACCCCCCGGAACTCGTCCGCGCAGGAAACCGCCATGGGCCCGGCCTCATCATCCTCGCCCTGATCCCCATCACAGCCTTCGCCCTCGGCACATGGCAAGTCCAGCGCCTCGACTGGAAGACGGACCTCATCGCCAAGTTCGAAGACCGCCTCGTCCGCGACCCCCTCCCGCTCCCGCCCAAGATCGATCCGGACGCCGTGGCCGATTTCGACTACCGCCGCGTCTACGCCACGGGCCACTTCCGCCACGACAAGGAGATGCTCATCGGCCCGCGCATGTGGGAGGGCGAGCAGGGATACATGGTCGTGACGCCGCTCGAGAGGGAGGGGGAGGGCACGACGGTGCTGGTGAATCGCGGGTGGATCAGCAAGGAGATGGCGGATCAGCGACGGAGGCCTGGTGCGCTGCCGAGGGGGGAGGTCACGGTTGAGGGGCTGCTGAGGGAGCCATGGAAGAAGAACATGTTCACGCCCGAGAATAGACCTGATCGCTGGGAGTTTTTCTTCCCTGATGTGCACCAGATGGCGCAGCTGACGGGCAGTCAGCCTGTTTGGATTGAGGCTACTATAGGTATGTTGTGGCCTGTTTCCTTGTTTCCCTGGAATCTGAGCTGCCTTCCTGGGGGCTTCCTCTACAAGATACAAAGCTCATACTGACTTTCCTCGCAGAGCACGAGTTCTTCCGCATCGTGGACCTCAAATCCAAGGGTATCCCTATTGGCAGAGCCGCAGAGGTGAACCTGCGGAATAACCATGCCCAGTATATCTTCACATGGTCAGTCCAACCAGCCCCTGATTCCTTCATCATTCATTCCTCCTCCACGCGCCGTCTACCACGATCGAAACTGACATCCGGCAGGTACGGTCTCGCATTCGCTACCTCAATCATGTTGTGGATGGTCGTCAAGAAGCCCCCAACCGACACCGCGCGGAAGGTGCGCATGAATAAGCATTGGTAAGGGTTTGCTCGGTTTTCCCCTCATTGGAGGGACCAACATCGCAGTCATAGTGGGAGCAAGTCGGACTCCTCAAGTCACTTCCTCCTGTCCGCCGTCGGTCAAACGACGGCGCTTCTTCCTCGGCTCTGCCGGTGGCAGCGGCTTGGGCATCCTCAACTCCTGCAACAGCTCTCGGGGCAGGTGTTTGTGTGCCAATGAAAAGGGGGTCGTCGTCGAACTGGTCTGGCGTTGTCTGTAAGGATATTAGACATCATTGTATTTGTACCAAAAGAACAAAAGGCTTGTGGATATAAAAAGGGAAACCCCCTTCCTCTCAAAAGACTGTCGATACCCCTGAATTGGAGCACGCAAAGTTCGAATAGGGAAAGGCTCATAAAAAAGAAGACATACCTTCGCATGAGAGTGAGCATATCACTCTCATCAATAGTCTTGCGCTTGGCATGCTTCGCATACGCAGACAAATCGTCGCCCAATTGCTCAAAAAACCAGTCTGACGCCCTCTGGATCTCAACCAGCGTGTCCGGGCTAATCTTGGTCTTGCTGATGCCGCTCGACTTGGCAAACGTGTTGGCCAGCCGCTTCACCACCGCGGGCGGCAGCGACGGATACTCCACGTTGTACTTTGACAGCTTCACGCCGCGCTTCGTCTTGCGCGGCCTCTGTCCTTGCTCCTGCTCCAGCTGCGCAGCGCTCACCTCTATCCGACCGTCCAAATCTCCTTGCGTCGCTTCGGTGGGCTCGATGGGCGTCGAGCTGCGCATGTCGTAGTACGAGTTTCCGAAACCCAGGTCCTCGTCCAGCGGGGCCGCTGGCTCGTCGTCTACCGGCGCAATGTTGAGCGACGGCTGTTCGTCTGTGATCTCGGGCAGCGGTCGTGCCGGTGAGCTCTGCCCGTCCACCGCCATCATGAACGTCGTCTGGTTATCCGCGTCAACGGGCACCTCGAACCCGAAATCGCTATCCCGCGCCGAAGCCAAAGTCTGCCGCCTCAAGTCTTCCTCCTCGACCCTGTTGTTCCCAACCCCGTCAGTAACGAAGCCCTCGCTATCGCTCAGGAGACGTTGTAGCTGCAAAACTCACCTGTCCAAAGTATCCTCCGGCTCCCTCCCCTCCTCATCTAACGCCCCAACCTCAAACGCAGGAAAGAACCCTTCCCCGCGATTATCATCGTCGTCGTCGAGATCCCCGTAGTTCCTAAATTCGCTCAACCTTGCGCTTCCCATCGACATGCGCGACGGCTGATCCACATACGCCCGCCGCGGGAACTCAATCGTCGCATTCTCATCAATCTGCGACAACTCAGGCGCAACAAGCTCGTCCTCGTCGTCGTCCTCAACATCGAGCGGTAACGACAACCGCGGCCTATCGATCGGAAGCTCGTCATCGTCGTCGTCGTCATCGTACACCGTGCCCCTCCGATTCACCGTCCGTATTGGCAGACTCGCGCTCGGCCCTGCTGCTCTCGATCCGATGTCGCTGGGTGACGAGGACGACGAGATGGGCTGCGTGGTGTGCTTCACCACGCGGCTCAACCCGCGCAGGACATCGTGCAGCGACTCCCTCCGCGGCCGGAAGCTCTCGCGGCGTTTGTTCCCGCCGGGTGTCAGCGCGGCGGCGCGGCGCTGGTCGATTGTGCGGTAGGCTGCGCGGGCGTGGGGCGTCGCGGCGAGGGAGCGGCGGCCCGAGGCGGAGAGGCCGCGATAGCCGCCGGCTGAGCTGCGTAGGGAGGAGCGCAGCGGGTTGCTGTTGTTGGAGGGCGTGCGTGGGAGGAGGGAGGCGCGGCTGGAAGGGGGGTCAAGGCTGAGGGCGCGGCGGTTGGGCGTTACGGTGTCGAGGGCGGAGGAAAAGAGGGGGTCGTCGTCTTCTGCGCCGGCGGCTGCTGCGAGGCGCGGGTTGAGGGGGGTTGTGAATGTTGGTGAGGAGGACATCGTGTGATTTTGGTTTGCGACGGGGTCGCTGTGCGCCGGCGTGGTTGTGGTGTTGGTGCTCAAAGAGAGCGCAAAGTGTTTGTGTAAACCAGTGTCGGGATGACTTGGTGATGTATGGGACGCGGTCGTCCTGTCGCAAGACAATTGGGTCGCTGGAAGGGCTTGCAGTATGCCGGCGTTGATCTTTCGCAAAGGCGATCGGGAGTGACAACGGGTGGTGTGGAGTTTGTCGACGGTAGTATGTGGTGGGCGCGGCGTCAAGGTGCCCCCCGCTGTCTCGGAGCTTTACCTTGGGAGGACGCGACTCTCGACGCGCCTGCTGAGGTGCGGTGGATGTCATCAAAAAGGCAGATTGGCGCACAGACCATCTTTAGATGTCCGGTATATCGGCCCCACTTCGCCGGTTCTTCAACGGGACGCCGGGGGTCTACAGCTGCACTGCTCACAGGAAAGACGGCCAAATATCAACCTAATCGACGAGTCCTGCCACTTGAGAATTACAAAACGATCATTGATTTCTCGCAGGCCATGTCTACACAGGTGTTGGGTCTTGGCCTCTATGTAAGGCAATTCCATCCCCAAGAACCCATGATCTCCACGGCACCTAAACCCGCGGTGTGTGCTATCAGCCATCTAGCAACGACACCGAACAGTAGCTCTCGCTTCTCGTGTCTTCTCGTACAATATAGATACACGGACGCCTGGTCCCTGGACAGAGCTCGCACTCAACTATCTTACCTCAGTCAATAGTCATCTCCTCTCGGCTTCTGTAACACCTGTAACTTGCTCGATGAATAATCCCAGAATGACTCTTACTGATGAGTAACACATACCCTCTACTGAAGCAGTGCTCAAGGTACCTTTGCTTTTTAAAAAGAGGTAGACTCGATTTTTACTACTTGGTGTAGCTTAAGATGGCTATTCAACCGATAAATGCAGCAACGCATCTTGACCTCCAGACGGTTATTGTAAAAGGAAAAGAAGAACAATACACTTGAACATGAGACTTATTTATATACCTTACTAATTCAAGATGCTTGTGTGAAGGGAAAATGCTAACACTATAAGTAGGCAGGAGATTTGACGTAGAATACACCCAAGCCAGGACAATCGAGTCGGTAGGAGGAAGTGAGCCCTTGAAATACAGTCACGAGTAGTATCCATGTGGCAGATATAACGGAGAGTAACTTCTCAGTTAAAATAAGACAATACACTCCCTCATCTCAGGCTCTTCTCACACCCCAATCTAGCACGTTCTCTAGTAACTATTATCTCCAAGCCGTATATTCACTCGAGAATGAGACCAAGGAGACATGCACCCCGGACAAACGTACAAAACATCACCCTAACTTGCTCGTCTTTATGGGCTTGTTCACACACAGTAGAGCCTTGGACTGAGGCTCGGCCAGGCTAGAGGGTATGACCTTTCGCCTCCAGACGCATGCCCATCGCATCAAAGCGGTTAGCGGTTGTCACAGCTTCAGCAGCCCACGAGTGCTAAAGGTCTTTTTATTCCGGGTACAGAAGCATTGACGGGCGTCTTTGCGCTCGCCATCTGTACTTGATTGTTAGAATACATCTACTCTCGACGACCTCTTTGGATATATACTGGGGGAAGGGCGCAGGGCCTGTATTACATTTTCCATCTAAAACAGTGTTCATAAACTAGTGCAGACCTCTGAGCTTCTAGTATTTATCAAAGCCCAAGTCTGAGATTGATGATCGTCCCTCGGTAGTCCAGGGTCTGATTAGACTGGCCATACAAAAGGCGACGGGCTTCTGGATAATGCTCAGCCGTCCGTATCGCGGAACTTCCGACCTTGCATTCAACCTGTCTACCAGGGTGGAGAACATCTATAGATTATGTAGATTGCGGGGTGCCACATCTCCAAGCATCGCGAGATAAGAGAGATATAAGATATGAGTGAATCCTTCGCCGAGGACAATGAAGGCAGCCTGCGATGAACTATATCGCCAACCAGAATTTACCTCACAATCACCTCACATCACAGCGCCCGACAACCAAACGCGCACCATGACGGACGACCTCATCCTTTTAAGCGGCGCAACAGGCTTCGTAGGCTACAAGACCCTCATCACAGCCCTCGAAGCAGGCTTCCGCGTCCGCTGCGCCGTACGATCAAAAGCCGGCATCGACAAGATCCTCGCGGCGCCGAGCATCAAAAACATCAACCCAACAAAAGACCAGCTCTCCTGGGTCATCGTACCCGACATCACCCACCCAGGCGCATACGACGAGGGCGTCCAGGGCGTGACGTACATCGTCCACTGCGCGTCCCCCGTGCCCACTTTCGGTAAAGACGAGCGCGTCGGGACGGAAGAGGAGGTATACGTCAAACCAGCCGTCGCCGGCGTCCTCGGTCTCCTCGAGAGCGCGAAACGGCACGCGGCAGATACCCTCAGACGCGTAGTCGTCACGAGCTCGATCGTGGCCGTCGTCCCGATGGAGTGCTTCATGGGCCAGGGCCTAGACCGGCCGGCCATCGATGGAAAATCCCGGGTGGCGACACCGGCTGCTCCGTACGGGTCCGGATTCGGGGCCTACCGCGCGAGCAAGATCGCCGCCCTGCGTGCCTCGGAGGCGTGGATGAAGGAGCACGGCACCAGTACCAACTTCGATCTCGTCTCCATCATCCCGGCGTGGATCTGGGGCCGTGACGAGCTTTCGACGACGGCCGAGTCGCTCCTGTCGGGGTCAAATAGCGTGCTACTCGAGTATTTACGAGGCAGGAAGAGCGACACGCCCATCCTCTCGAGCTTCGTCTCCGTCGACGATGTTGCTGCGTCACATGTGCGCGCGTTGTCCCCATCGGTATCTGGCAAGCAGAGTTTCCTCTTGGGCAGGTATGTAGCCATGGAGGAAGCCAGGGTCATCGCGATGGAGAACTATCCCCAGGCGTTTGCGGATGGCGTCTATAGCGCGGACGGCAGTCAACCCACTGTCAGCATACCGACGGATGCTTCCGAGGGCGAAAGACTGCTTGGCCGTAAGTTTGTAAGCGGGGGAGACATGGTGAGGGATGTAGCTGGCCAGTTTTTGCAGCTTGATGCGAACTAGTCCGTAATCTTTTGGTAGACTAGCATGCGCAGCGGTCCATGGTTGTCTTTCCTGGGTGTTAACCACGTATCAAACGAGACATGGCCATGTTCCCTCTCGAGAAGGAAAAGGTCGTGCTGCATTCCAAGTCTCAAACCGGATCCAAGGAACAGATACAGTCGACGAGCATCATGAAGCTCACAGCCTCACCTGCGACTGGGCGAGGTGAAGATGGACCCAGCTTGCCCTTGCCGGCGATCCCGTGCGTCAAGCTATCTGACAAGGTGATGTGATGGCGTCTGTGGGCAAGAGTGCGTAATCGGGCACGATGGGGAAACGAGTACGGTTACATGTGAAGAAGCGATCTGTGCGACGTGCGGTGAATTGGACCGGGTTTGTGACGGGAAGCAAGCGACACTTGCCGAGCGTTTCGAAGAATGTTCTTCTAGAGCCAGTGACTTGAATCCCCTCCCGGGTGGAAGGTCCGGAGGGTCTCTTCCTCAGCATATTGAATATGGCCGCAACGCAAGAGTTGATGGATTGGAAGTACTCGTCGCCAAGGAAGTCGAGGATCTGACCCGTGTTTCCTTGACTTGACAGGACGTGTAAGACGTGTTTGACAGGGAAGAGATAGGATGGGTGAGTGTGACAGAGATCAGAAAATCTCAGTCAGTAAAGAACATATGGAGAGCTCTGGTCTAATGGTCTTGTAAGGCCTATGCCAATGGGTCTATTAGGACGTCGAACAGCGAGTCATTAGAGGCGAGTAGACATTTCCTAAATGTAAAAGCCGTCGAGGGTGGTACATGAAGACGGTTCAATATCTGTGTCCTTTGACATCAAGGCGAGGGTAGATGAGGTGAACTGATAGGTCGCCGAATTCAATGCCAGCGCTAGGCCGTTCAATCTCGGCGAATCAGATCAGGCGTCTTTTCGCCTCGAACTCGTCAATCTCAATATTGCGGAGCAGTAATAAGGATCCTCTGAAGCCTATAGCGTGTGACATGATAATATGGATTCGAAGATGTGGATGTAAGTGAGAATGCGCATGGCCAGTAAAGATGGATCAGCGCCAGAGCCGGGTACTCCTTGAAAGAGTTCGAGTCGGCAAGGTCGGGTGGACAGGTTGGAAGGCGAAAAGAAGGAGCTTCAAAACGTTCCTCCAAGTGTTCCATCAAAGGCGGAAGTTTGTTACAAGACGTGCGTCAAGTGGCGCCTGAACTCTCATTCTGGGGCGAGCGAGCGGGCGGGCGGGCGGCGAAGGGGACGGACGTTTCTCTTGCATGTGTGTGAGTGTGTGAGTTGAGTGTGTGTGGATTGTGGAATACCTTAGCCACAACGCGGCAGAAAGACGAGACGAGACTGGTGATGGAGACGGTTAGATGGAGACTGACAGGAAACAAAGGAGATGTGACCCGACTCATCGTCACAAAGGAAACGGAAACAACGCCTACGGAGGTACCTCAGGTCACGTCTTGGGAGCGATCTACTTCCGTGGTTCAGTATCCGTAGTCTGTAGCAAAGACCTTTGGTGGTGGTGGGGGGCAGGAGAGTTGGCTCCAGGTTGGCAGTGGCTAACTGGATTCCTAGAGGCTGCCGCGATTGACAGATATCGTGGCCCGGCCCCTGGCAACCTGAGTTTCGCAAAGCCTCCCAGTTCGATGGACGGGCCGGGGCTAAACCATTTCTAGCGAACTACCCACTTTTACTTCTGAAGACCCTTCCACCCCTTGACTGTGTCTCCTTCCCTTTCAGTTTTCTATTGCCTGTTCAGTGAGGTGACGTTGAGATGAGAGAGAGCCTTCCGTTTCTTCAGGAAAGCACGGGTCAGGAAAGTCACAGGAGAACGGCGAGAAGTTGCTCTTGAGGGAAGGAAAGGGGGTCCGCTGTATCCGTATTCGTACGAGGTAATAGGCCGGACTGAGCTGATTTTCTGATGATT